AAAAAATGTCCACGGCGGTATATGTCTCTCTATCTTTTAAGATTAACTTACAAGAACGGACGCGGCCGACGTCGTAGGCAACAGCTGAAAATTTGCAAATTTATGTCAAAAATAACGGCGCGGGTATAGCTAGTCATTAATAACAGACATTTGAAATGACTAAAAAAATTACAATACCACATTTGGATAGTTCTTAAAACTATTCCAGCAGGCAAATCAAACTAGGTCGGTCTTTTTACACGGTAGTATCAAGTTACAGCTTCCAGCCCCTTCAAAAACATTCCAATCGCTCCTAAAACATTCCATTGAAAAGAGCGTCAATGCTATTTAAGATATAATAAATAATGTTTGAATAACAGCACGCATGCGTTTTAAAACACGAGTGTTTGTAAACAGGCGCGTTTCAAGCGACAATAACGTTCGCTCGACACTGATAGCCATAGTTGACCTAGATTTAACGCTAACTGGAAAAGTCTATCCGCTTTGGCCTAGTGTTGACACTTGAGTGCGTGAGGTCGGGTGTTTGAATACTGTCGGTCATCAAAATATATAGTTAAATGTAATGGAAAAATTGTAAAGTTTTAAGGAGAGACAAGCATTAGCTTCATTTGATGGTAGGTATACCCCCAGCCCTACACCATCTTAGCAAGATGCTAAGGTGCTATTTGGAAATCCAGACTGTAACCGAATCGCGATCCAACTTGACGGCTTTTCGTCTATCGACGATGGGTGGGTGGATGATTCCGGCCGGAATTTCGATATTTTTACCACCAATGGGTGGTATTATCCAGATGAAGTCCAACATGTGTTTCAGAAGAAATAAAAATTGATCAGAAAAATGTTGGGCCCCGTGGGAACCGCACCCGGGACCAGTTATTAGCCATTTCACCAAGGAGCCTGTCCAAACAGTCTAGAAACAGAAAATCAAAGCCGTGTTAATGTCTTAACACATTGATATGCCAGTCCTAGAAACAGGCCACCTCCTTAAGTAGTTCTTTAGATTCTATATAAATAAAATACTATTAACGGTTTAACGCGAAATGTATTAAATAAGAATTCAGTAAACTAATAATAAATTACGCGTATTAAGTCGTTAAAAACGTTTTATTAAAATTTGTAAAACTCGCGTAAGCCACAGGTATAATAGTTTCTAATCACCGACCCATCACGCTGTTTCTGCGGGTTAACGGGCCTTTACGACAACACTAGTTTAGCAATAAAAATTTAAATTATTATGTGTGACGTATAAAAGCTTTTGATTCTAAAACAATAAAGATAAGACGTGATTTAAATAAGCTTCTTTATTATGCCTACAGCCCACTTTCCTTTCAGAACTTCGGCGCCATTTTAATCTTTTGCGGCGCCTTGATTAAAAATCTAGACGAGATATTGCCAATAGGATTTATAGCTTGGTTTAAGCATTCATTCTATAAATATGGCAAGTGTAAGTTCCTTTTACATCAAAATGGCTACACCAATGATGACAAAATTTTATTGCTTGGTTTTGAAATTCGTACTCAGCAAGAAAATCACTCCCTTAGTGTTTTGAGTTAACGTTAATAAACCTCTTATTGCATCAGATATTAAATTTTTCATAAACTGTTTTTATTCTTATCTGTGTTGTTTTAAATTCAACACATAATCTTTTCCGCTTTTGATATTATTTTTATTATTTATCTGTCTATGTTAAATCCGCATACGTTCTTTAAAAACATATATGGCTCGAACTAGTTTATTGCTATAGAACTTAAGTAAATCACTTTCAACGGTTTAAAACGCAAAACGAATAATATATTCAACTGTTCCCGAAGCCACGGCCGCTGCAAAGCAACCAAAACGCTGGGCCCTAGTTAAATTAAGAATAAGTTAATTAATTTATTTCGGGTTTTAAACCGTTGACTGTGTTTTATTTTAATAGTTACTACTTGCCACAATATTAAGTGTAAAACTGATCGAAGTTTAGTCTTTCTTTCCGGTACTCGTCAGCAGGACCTATCGCGCTTAACGCAACGTAATATTATAGAAAACACACTGTAGGTACACGTATATCAGAAATCAACTTCTTCAACTCTAGATTTGGTATCGCTAGAGAATTCCGATTTTTCGAGATAATTCTTTTCGTTTGTACTTTAATCTTGCTTCCGTGTGTGCAAAGATAAATATAATCGCATTTAATTTGGAACAGTATGGTTACAAGAGGTAAGTGATACAAAGCATTTTTTCGTAAAGCACGAATAAGTACTAAAAGATAAAGAAATTCATATATCAGGTCATACGGTATACGCCGCCGGAAAAAATCTTTGAGGGTTTCCTTACATGCGTAAAGATGGGAGAGAAATTTTCTTGCAGATTTATTTAACTCAGAGTATTATCTGAGTTAAATAAATCAATTTATTACGGTTTACAGTTTTTTTTACCTATGGCTCGGTATTTCGAATGCTTTGCAGCAGCCGTGGACATGGGGGAAATAGTAACGAATACATTTCGGGTTTTAAGCCGTTAAGTGTTTTATTTAAATGTGTAAACTACAGATAGTGCTTAGTATACGAGTTAATAGAAGCCTATTGAATCTGTACGTGCCAATCCGCGAGTCGGGCCATAGATTTGTAAACAAAACGTGTTAGATTAGATTAATTTAATTAGTCACCGGCACTCGGATGTCCGGTACAAACAGATTTGGCACTCGTGAGCATCACGACCTTCGTTTTATTTTAGTTTTGTTTATCTTTACTATCCGTGACACACAATTAGTTGCAAGACTGGACACGGGTCACGGATCTAGCGGTGTGATCGGTTTATGCCAACTTAAAGGAAACAATAAATTGTGTAAGGCTTTCACGGCCATCGTTCAGCATCAGCCCGAATAACAATGATATGTTAAAGGAAACAATTTTTACGGACGTGTTGGTCTTATGGTAGCAATGTAGGGATAATCAACGGATCGTAGGTCCGATCCCTGTCCTGTCCAACATATTCTGAAACATGTTGGACTTCGTCTGGTATATGGATATTAGATGTGTAGTAGGTATATCGAAATTACGTCAGAGTTACGAACCACAGATAAAAACATCGTAAAGTTTAATCTCGTTTTTTTGTCTGTGGTTTACAAATATCCAAAGCGAAAATGGGTTGACATCTTGTTGAGATTTTATAAGACTGCTCTATATTACGGTCTATCACCTCTTGCATCTTTTGACTTTGTAAGGTACTCTATATTTTAAGTAGAATTATAGGATCATACGACATTCGCCTTTTTTCATTTTCCTAAATGAACAAGCTTTGTATTACATTACATTTTATAGTTTAGTATAATTGTTATATTCTTTGCAAAAAAATGTTTTAATAAAAATAGGCCAATATTTGCGTTCCGTTGTTACGCCTTTAGAGTTAGTAGTAATTCTTCAACTACATAACACTTATCATGTTTGTATTAAGTTTGTCATAAATTAATTATTGGTAAACCCTGAAAACCAACACAAAAGCTATTGCAAATGGCGATAATTATTATTTATTCATTAACGCAAATTAATTACACGTTACCGTCGTTCAGAGGCAATTCGAGTTATTAATTTATTTGTTTTCCCCCATAGCTTATCGTTTCTAGAAACCAATTTGGCCTACTTAATTTAACTGCGTACTGTTGGAAAATTTCAAGTGCCTCTCGGGCATCTTGCATTTCAATTCATTGAGTTACGTGTTATGATGCAATTGTTGCGGGTATTTTTGATTCAATGTCAGTTGGCACACTGTCTCACACTTTCTTTTAACGTCATCCACGTGGACGGGACCGGCAAAAGGATCTCGGAATTTAACATACCCAGTTACAATTTTGTAACTGGTCAGTACTAGCTATGTCTTCACGGTGTGCAAGCTTTGAGACAACAGATATACCGTAAATGTTAATAATAGATTCCGATAGTTGTCGAAACATTTTGGATATACTGATTAGATTCCATTCAGGTCATAAGATCGGAACGAATGTTATCGAGCATTTAATTGCAGATAGTGAAAGCAACGGCGATAGCTCCATTGTTTACAATCGCATCACTATCATGTTGGTACTCGAGATTAGGGTAAATAAAAGAAAATGTTCAATGGTATAATAATCTTCATAATTTATTTCACTTCATTCTTTATCTCCATACAATATGTATCCAGTATAAAACAATATACTTATTTTGTTAAATTCATAGAAATATATTATTTTAGTCATATAACTGTTCTTTTATTATAAACTTACAAATTATTGTTAACATTCTGAAATCTTTTTGTATAAAAATAATACGAGGGCTCGCCTCCCGGGGACTCGCGTCTCACAATATATTAAACAACATTCGGTCGGCTTCCCGGATATAATATATAATAACAATCAACTTGTTAGTCGGTATATTCACTTATAGTAACCTATAGAAGACAATGGTACAGAACAATTTCACTGTAGCACATTTTAATGGTAACAAAAACAATAAAAACGTAATTATAGGCTTCCGTTCAAAAAGCGTAGGCACTCGAGATTGCTACTTGATCCTAAAAATAATCATTCTCACTAATAAATACATCGCACGTCCATATCGTCCTCTCATTCGTCACACTCAATCGGACGGCCCCATTAAGACCTCTAAAAGCACCGGGTCAGTCCTAGTACTCCTGGACCTCACGTCTGGCATGTCTCACATACGGTCAGTCTTTCACACGAGCTTTTGTGTAATTATCGAGCATATCAACCGCTCCATCGGTCGTCAGGCGACGATGCGCTATCGACCGATGAAAAAGTTAACCTTGTGCAACAAAACGTGATTCGGAACGTCCAATTGCCGAACACATGGCCGCCATTCCGCGAGGGCGGCGAAGGCGGAATTTTAATTAGCAGAACATCCGCTCGTGACTTCTGATACGCCGTTGCCGGCTCTACGGGTCTTCCCTCTCTGTCCCTCCCGTCGCCCGGCTCGGCCGACGGGTCGGACCTCTCGGTCGCTTGCGAATTGTGCACAGCGCTTAATATGCGAAACGAGGTAACAAATATGAAACTTCATGCCGGGTCACCTTTGTACGCAAACGAACAATGGGAATCCCGAATCGGCGGCGAGTTCTCGAAACCGCACAGGCGGAAAACGGTAAGTAGAGCCGGCAACGTCGCACAGGTCTCGCTCGGTTCGCAGTCCAATGACGTAGCACGATTATCCTTTCTAGTTTCTACACTATTCTAAATGAGACAACGCAATACTGATACGAGGAAAAACGATAAATTGCGACTTACAAAGGAAGCTAAACTTTGACTCGCTAAGTACATCCTTTCCGACGAGCGGGCGTTCTGCGCACCTTTATCACCTTACACTACAGTTAACTATATAATACACGATAAAATTAAGATCACAAATCGCTTTGTATGCTGCGTCCGAGCGGGCGCGACTAGCATGGAATGTGGGGGAGGGCGGCCGGGCGCGCTCAGAAGTGCGTGTCGATGTGGCAGCCGCCGTTGGCGTGCTCCAGCACTTGCTGCTTCAGCCGCGAGACGTGGTCCTTCAGCTTCACGACCATCTGCGCCAACTCCGCGTTCTCGCCCTTCAGCAGTTTCACTTTCTCCTCCAGTTTAGAGATGCGCTCCAGCTTCCGCCGTCTGCACTTGGACGCGGCCACTCGGTTCCTCTGTCTTTTGCGTTCTAACTTTATCCTCTCCTGCGTGTCCATATCGATGGGGGACAAGGGTGGCGAGTTGGTGGCACTGGGAACTGTTTGGGGCTCGTCTTTTACGACCGGTGTGGGGAACCGCTCCAGCGGCCGGTCGAGGTCCGCGTATATGATGCGCGCGTTAGGCGCGGGCTCGCTGCTGTGGTGCAGCTTGTCTAGCGCCTCGACGAATGGCCGCGCGTACATCTCTTGCTCCTCGGTGGGGGCCGCGGGGGGGAACAACACTGGCCCGCCCGGGGTCGGCGTCGCGGTCGTGATCATGCCGTTCTGCATGATCAGCTTCTCCAGCTCCGGGGAGCCCAGCTTCAGCAGCTGCAGGTCGGGCGAGGACAGCACGGGCGCGCCGTTCCTCAGCCGCTTGGCCCGCCCGAAATCCAGATCTAACGTCAGTGACCTCTTGAGGTTTTCGACGGGTCCGCTGAGGGGGTACTGCTCGTCATAGAAGGTGGTCTCCATCCCGTGGCCGGAGCGAACCATGTGGTACCACCGAGCGTCTCGGTATCACTGAACTCACTTAACACGAACGAAACTTTACCATGCGTGAGCGTACGTCCGTTGCGCTCGACGTTTCACTTGTTTCTAAACATTGTCAAGAAACAACCACGGCTTTTATTCCATGACTCAGATAAGCTATTTTTAGAGTTAGCGTGATCTACTCGAGCTGCTATTGGCTGAAAATGACGCGACATCACGCCATAATCGCGCGCCATTGGTGGGCGCGTGTGTGTATGAAGCGCGAGGCCACAGCGGGCTGTTTACGACTTGGTGCGATTACCGAGAATCAACGGACTCGTTTCCATTGTGTGCGCGATAACGATTTACTGCATTAACAGCTTAACAATGATGGATGAACAGAATCATCTATAACCTGCAGCTATCATTAGTTAAATAATGCTCTTATTTAATTTTTTGTTTTTCAGTTGCATTTAATACTTTAAATACGCTAAACGGATAATCCGTTTAGTCTATTCATTATATTAGACGTTGAAATAATACATGAATGAACTAATAGGTCTTGTACTTTATTTTGCACCACCAATATCACTATGACTTATCTCCCAATCTAACATAAATTGTAATTAAAATCCTCTAATTAGTGGGATAATTTTGAGACTCACCAAGTTCTAACTTTTAACTTACAAAAAATTATAAATAAAACAATTTAAGTCATGAATAATTCATTATTGAACTAAATTATATATGTATTTATAATAATTACCTAAGTAATAACATAAAAATAATTAATTACCTATAACATCAAGGGCTTCGTTTCTCTAAATGTTAAAATTTTAAAGTATGGAAATTGTTGCAACGTATATGCATGTCAGACCAGATGTTGTTAGTCGACATCAACTAATTCAAAACGTACGTCCTTCTTTTGATAAAATTAATCGGTTATTATTGTTCAAAGAACCACGTATTATTTAAAATATTGTCACTTCTAAGTAAAACAGATTAACAGTTATATATTTCCCTGTTATTGTAAGTTTGAAAATAAATAGTATAATGGAAATGCACCGAATAAGAGGCAAAGCGGAGGCGGGGTAGCCGCGCCAAACTGTCGGGCAGCGAGGAAATAATGGCGTGCGGGGCGAAGGGCGGGGGTCCGTTTGAAACACGAGTGCGAGCGAGACAGCTGCATCTCGCTCTAACAGATAAAAGTCCAGCGAGAACTGAGAAGGAAAAATGCACCTAAATTTTCATTATGTATCTTTGTTATTATTATTTTGACCTTTCTTTAAACTTTCGTGGTGAGCTACAAATGGCGGGCGATTTGAAAAAAATACAGTCTTTACGATATCGGTATACGTGTAGACATTAAAAGTGAAAATCTAGAAAGTTCTTCGTATATTTTCGTCAGTTAAATATAAAAAAGCATACTCCTACTACTTGTTAATTTATAAGTTTACTTTTCACTTTTTTTATTAAATATTAAACACAAGTATTCATTAAATAACTAGACATATAATTAAATTATTAATCTTTTATTATGACGGTAAAAATAATCAAATAATTAGAAGTTTATTGCCGTAAATAATTCTATGCATTCTCAGTTAGTTATTGATTCTACCTCCATCTATCGCAACAACTACTACGAGTTGTAATCCCTTCGTCGCTAGATAGCGCTTTGTTTGAATAGCACTGGTTTGATACTCTGTGTATCATAAATGGCTTGACCAATTAGTATAATACCTTAACTATAGACCTTTTTATTTAGTAATCGATACTGTAAACAAGAGGCTAATAGTGTTTAGCAGCCAGTTCAATTTTTACTATAAATATATATTTATATAATATATCTGATGATGTAATTTAGTTCACTTAGTTTTATTATAAGTAATTCTCCAGTTTTAATTTTTCTAAATAAGAATCAAAAATTTTAAAAATCTTATTTAATTACTTAGAAAACTAATTTATATTCACAAATTGTTCCTTACACTGTTTGTTTATTTAACTGTCACGGATATCACTCTTACGTCCTCGTATGGTTTGTCAGTTTTCGGGTTTGTCTTGACACTGCCAATGTTTTGAACCACCTCCATACCTCGAATCACTCGCCCGAATATTGTGTGCTTGTTGTCAAGCCATGGCTACAAAAAAGAAACAATAAATGGCATTACTTCCTACAATAATTTGTTTAAAGATAACTACATTACTCAAAAACAATACCCAAATAATTAAAAAACAATATGTTATATAACCTACTTTTATCAAGAAGGAATCGAAAATTACTTCTCCCTGGTTTATCAAGTACGCCATCTTTATCGGGTAACTCAAGCGGTCTAATATATGTACTTCGAGAAACTTATCTATCATTAATGTACTGTGTCTACTAGTCTGTGGTAACACTTCTATATTTCTTTATAATGAAAACACAGTTTCTCTTTGTCTGTGGTAACTTTTTTGCAGAAGCGATATTAAAAAGACATTCCTTTTTTTCTTATTATAATACACATATACATATACACTTACAGTGGGAGCGAGGGTGATGAAAAACTGGCTGCCATTAGTATTGGGCCCAGCGTTGGCCATGCTGACGGTGTAGGGCCGGTCATGTTTCAGCTGCGGTTTAAATTCATCTGCGAACTCACCCCCCCATATGCTGTCCCCTCCACTACCAGTGCCTAAAGTGTATAAAAATGAATATTACATTCTATTAATAAAATTACAAGACCAAGTATTTAATTGTTATTGTGACTAATTATATTCATGGGTTGGTACATACATGGTCCCGCATGTTTCTAATCAATTTTTAATTTTTCTGAAACCGGGATATTAAATGGATATCCAAAGCAAAAAAAGGTCGACAGCGTAACTTGGCAAGATCTTATATGACTAAATTATACGGCAAATACTTTCTGTAGTTTACATGAGTAGTACACTTATATAAAACACTTACATAAAACACTTTAAAAAGGTTTAAAACGAGATATATATTAGTTAAACTCCCCGTGACCACGGCTGCTGCAAAGCATCCGAAACATCGGGCCGAGGTTAAAAAGCATTTTCAAATGAGTTTAACTAATATATCGCGTTTTAAACGTTTAATGTTAGTGTTTTATTTATATACGGGAAATGATTAAAATGAACGGCGCCATTTAAAACAATCTACCCACCAGTGGGATCGCCAGTCTGTATCATGAAGCCCTTAATGACTCGGTGGAACACGTGCCCGTTGAAGTACCCGTTGCGGGCGTGTCCGCAGAAGTTCTCGACGGACCGCGGCGCCTCCTTGCCGAAGAGGCGGATGTGGACGTCACCCAGTGATGTGTGGATTATTGCTTGCTCGTATAGACGTTGAACACCTGATGATGAAAACATTTCAGGTCAGTCTTCGACCTTACGCGAGACAACTAAATTTTATAAAAAAACTCTTAATTTCATATTTAATAATCTTAAGCTGCATAGCATAAGACATTAAACCTTAATACGCAACCAATAAGTTGAAAAAATTCGACGATGAATGGCCGGTAGTTCGTTTGGTTACAGCAACAGCACGGAACGTCGACGATGCCGGTTCAAATCCTGCCCGAGGCAATTTTTTTCGATGTATTTTAGATTTTTAATCAAAAATAAATTATTATATTTTCGAATGTTTTTTACATTAGTTTATTCTTCACAACGGAAAAATATTATTTGTGTAATAAGCAGTTTAAAAAAATCTAAAAACCATATCCTTAATAAATGAGTCCTTAGGTTGGCTTATTGTATATGGTTAATGTCGGGTAAAGTTAATATAAAGAAGACCTTTTTTAATTCCTGACGGTGAAAGTAGTGTATAAAGCAGCATATAGTAACTGGAATACATACCTTGTCCTTCGGTAGCAGATATAATGTCCTCCTTAGACGGTTTCTCATTGAAGATATCCCGGTCAGCATCCGGTGATTTGACGTCATCAGGACCTCGACGAGAGAACATGTAGAACCTGTTCTTCTTATAGGCTGTGCAGAATAATGTCGGGTCCATCTTCACAGTGAGGAGCGCGGGGTTCTCTGAACCTTCCATCTCTAGGGTAGAGGCCACTTTCGATTGGTTTGTGCGCCCCTGTAGAGTTTTTCACATTTTTAATTTAATATACATACAGTATATAAATATATATTTTTGCGTCTATTTCTGCAACACAATCATTTAGCTGTATTTAAGTCTTGAAATATAACCAGTTTTAAAGTTTAAAAACGCGATATGAATTAGTTGACTATTTTATAATTTATTTTAACTACGGTTGGACGTTTCGGATGCTTTGAAGTAGGGTACAGGGGACTCCCCGTTTTGAGTTACCCGACGGACATTACAACTACCGAAACTACTAAGCACCCCGTAGGGACCACGAGAGATTAAGTCTATTGGGTCACATAGAATGAATTATATTGTTGTCGACACTATTTTTGAAACTTAAAAGTTAATAATATTACGCTTAGAGGACCTTTTAGAATTATTTTTATGTATTGAAAATAATTATATGTTGTTGTTCTTTCTGATCTATACTAATATATGTATAAGGGTAAAGAGTTTATTTGTTTGTTTGAACGCGCTAATCTCAGGAACTACAGGTTCGAATGGAAAAAATATTTTTGTGTTGGTTAGAGCATTTATCGAGGAAGGCTATAAAACATCGCGCTATGACTAAGAGCGAAAATACAGCGGGATATGTGAACAAAACAGGAAATTTTTCATCTCTGTGTCAGATGCTACGCTACGAAAACGGTTCAAGATACCTTGAAATGTGTATGAAAGAATGATTTCTCTTTAAGTGATCTAAAAAAAAATTCTGCGACGATATATGTCGATCTTTTAAGATTTTTTACCCGGGCGGCGACGGCCTGGGTTTAACTTGTAACAGGGGTTGCCCAAAATAACGATTCGAAAGTCGCTGCCACAGCTAGTATACAATACATCTATAATAAAAACAAACCTGAAACATCGCCAAGTGCAGGGCTCTAAGATTCTCCGGTTTTCCCAACATGGCGACACACCGGTTGGTCGCTAAGTTGACCAACTTGACGCCCAACATCGTCGCGTACGCAACAAAATGGCCGCTGCTGTCAAATATGATGTTCGCGAGCTGCGCGGCCTCAGATTTCTCGAGGTCTCGCTCTGTTGCCATCCTGTGGAAGAAATTTAGCTTATACTTAAATTTCTATATTATTGAATTTTCGGGTTCGAGTCCCGGAAAATAAAAGAAATAAAGAAACAATTTTCAAATACATAATATGGGGTAACACTATGATCGGTGTTTTATCTACAGGCAAGTAGTTGATGAGACTTCGGTGCCCTGCTCAAACGAAAGAATCTATTGCTTCCCTTGTATACGAAACCAGGAAGCCTCGCGCTTAACGCAATGCTAGGCAATACGTTTAACCATTTAGCTACAGAGGCCGCAACATATATTTGTATTTAATACTTTGTAGAAATTTATAAAACAGGAGCATATTCCCAAATTTAACTCATGGAAGCCCCCGCAAAAGAGGTTACAAATAAAACCTCTACTTTCTCTTACCGTCTCCCAAACTCCATGTTGGGCAGTTGTTGTGTCTGATGCTGCAACTCCTGGAAGCGCTGCAAACTCTCGTCCAGCACCTTATGAAGTTTACCAGTTAAGAAGTGAAATACTCGCACCTGGAAAAGCAATAAGTCATGAATTGAATATAAAAATGTTGAACATAATATTATGTAGTATTCATTGACGTAAAATTTCGTTGGCATATGTTTATTTTTTTTTTTTTTATATATATATATATATATGTTATATTAAAATTAAAAAAAAACTATCTTCTATCTATTAGGGGCTTAACAGTCCTATAGCTAGAATGTAAGGCAATTATAAAAGCAATGCCAATAAATAAGTTTTAATCATATGTAAACAAAAAACTGCTCACCTTTCTATCCAGACTTATTGTAGCCATCTTTTTTCCATCAGGTGAAAAGGCCAGCGCTGTTGGGCATGTCTTGTTTTTCACAAACTCGAATAAGTCTGTGTCTAATTTTGATGTGAATTTTACATTTTTAGGAAATACGTATTCATGTTTTGGTCCAGTCCAGTACTCCACTATACCTGCCTTGAAAAGGAACAAATAGTTAATGAATAACATTTTGATGGTTATAAACATTAAATACCGTCTGTAGTTTACCCGAGCACTACACATTTAAATAAAACACTTTAACGGTTTAAAAGGAGATATATGTTAGATAAACTTATTTTTAAATTATTTTAACTTATAAACATATTATTCATAATTAAAAGTATTCTGTACATTCGCAAGTAGCTAAAATAGGGAGTAATTAAAAACATAATTTTTAAACGGTTTCTATTTAAATAACACTTCGGTACGCTCAAGCTTTTGCAGCTGTGGTACGGGGAGACTCGAAACGTCGGGCCGAAGTTAAAAATCAAATCTATTTAGAAAAAAGGTTTAACTAATATATCGCGTTTTAAACCGTTAAAGTGTTTTATTTAAATGTGTCTTGTAAACTACAGACAGTATTTCTTTAGCAAACAATAGATTAATCTATTGTTTGGCCTATCTTTACGACTCCAGCAAAGCATTCAAAACTTTATCATACAAATATACAAAATATGTAACTCAATTTTTTAGGATTTTAAACTGTTAGAAGATATATTTTTGTTTCTTTTTTAATAAAAGATTCTGGAAACAATACATTAAGTATTAACAATACCTTATCAACAGAAACGGCGACTTCATAAACAGGATTATATTGGATTGTGGCGACATCTTTCTGATGTAATGCAAATGTGTGCAATGGAGTACTTGTCGTCTGTGTGCTGTCAAATATATGTATCTTGTTGCTGTTCCTTTCTGACCTGTTAGAAATTTTTATGTTTGATTATCATAAACTCCATACATATATATTATGTTAATTCTATTTGTATTGAAAATTTATTATACAGGTGGGACTTGAACCAGCATCCACAGTGTTCCATGCTGCTTTAACCAATTGAGCTACTGTGTCAGCTGTATCTCTTTTCCACAATTCCAATATAAAGAACAAAGACAGAAGTAGTGAAAATGAAAATCTCACACTGCTAATGAAGAGATAGGATCTCCAGCGGAATGCACCCACTCAGTGCAGTATGGCTCAAATTCAATTGAAATCATATTTATCATATCTGAAACAAGTTGTTTAGCAATCATCATTAATAATTTTTCATTGTTTCTTATTTCATTCAAAAAAAAAAGTTACCAAGTTGACAAGTTGAAATACAAATTTAATAAGTCTGGTTTTTCTACCCTAAAAATGTGAATGATACTTTTAACAAATATTACACAAGTTTACATGAGTAGAATACATCTACATACACATTATTTAACTTATTTTAACTATGACCTAATGTTTTAGGTGCCTTGCAAGTCAACGTGGTCACAGTCATGGGGTAGTCAAGTTAACATATTTCACATGTAAGTGTTTTACTTAAAATTTGATTGAAAAAGAGAGAGAAAATTACGCTTACCAAAATTTACTACATCAAAGATTTTTATGGTCTTCTCTGAGGAGGCTGTGCATAACAATGTACCCGTACTGTTTGTAGATATGTGACTTATTGGAGCTAAATGACATCTAAAGTGTTTGACAAACTCAATACCCTCTTCCTAAAATATCCAGTAAATGTATATAAAATGTCCAATCTTATGAAAGTAAAGGTTAGTTTTTTATTATACAGAACTGTTTTAATTATAAATATCCTGAATAATATGACTTTTATTCACATTTGCATAACCACAAGATACCTGTTTTTTCCAAAATTTCAAGTGACCATCCTGACTGGCTGTGACAACAAAGTCAGTTTTGGTCACTACGACATGTGTAACGACATCTCTGTGCATGTAACTACGTTCATAAGTTTCAGATGATGGCAAATTTTCTAAGTAGAGTGATTCAAATTCTAACACTGAAAACAGAAACAAAGAACAATGGAATCTTGGATGTCAAGAGAAATGCAGAAGGTTTCCCATTATGAAATGTTTTCCTAAACTAGCACTTTGATGGTTAACAAATATGATTAAATGATTACTTTTAATTGTATTACTAACCACAACTCAACTGACTTCACTTAATTTGACTTCTTATAATTATAATTCAAATGGTATCTATTCGTTTTAAGGAAATTATATTTTACTAAAGTTATAAAGTCTACATAATTCGAGAACCTAAACATTTTCGGATTCCGCGTAAAGAAATTGCATTTTTTTCTTGCATTGCATCTTTATTCTTTAAAAAAAGAACAAATGAATGCCTTAAAGTTTCTGTTGTAAATGAAACTATTTCTTTTATAACAATATGAAATAGAAAAAAACAGTATTTCTAGTTGCATGGTGTTGTAGTGAAATACAAAATTTAGTTATTATAGAATTAATGCCACATATGAAATACCTTTTCGTTTCTTGGGCTTAGGCTGTGCAGCTTCAGAAGGCATAGGTCCTATCCAACAATCTTCTTCTTCTTCGTTTTTACTTTTCTCCGGACTGTGAGCACGTTCTTCGGTAGACATGTTATAATCATAAACTTTTAACTTGAAGGGGTAACTATTAACTAGTAACAAAATTGTACGAAGTGTTCGAAATTACTTTATTACTAAAACTGTTGCTATTTTGCTGTTTAGTGTGTGCTCATGAAAACAAACCTTTAAAGTGTTGTCACCAGCCAATTGTCACTATGATGTCAAGGCAATACTCAGAAAGCAAATATGTTTACAGATAAAACATAAAGATCATAGATTAATAAATACATAGAAAGTATTATCATATAAAACAGCAATAAATATAATTGCAATAAATAAATGTAAATTTTTATATTCATATTTTCTTGTAAATGTATCAAAATGTGATAATGTAGTTTTAGTCGCCCTAGAACGATGGTTGTCGTAACAAATGAATGTGGGTCGAACTGAGAAGTGTAATACGAAGGACAAATTTGCTCAGCAGAGAGCTGTCTTAGGTCTAAAATCTTTACAAAAGAAAACACATTATAAGTGGTGGATTCTATAATTGTCATATGGTTAATTACATTTTTTGAACTAAGTTTCAAATTTGACTTGTTTAAGTTGTTTTCTATAATAACAATTATATAAATTATAGAAATATTAAATAGAATAAAGATAAATAAAAAAAATATTAAAAGGTATTATTTGAAGGATAAAAGAAAGTTATTAATATAATTACATAATTTATTAATTCTATAATATTTAATAGACATACAAATTAAATAGGCTTTGCTTGATTACCATTTATTTGAGCACTAAAATCTAAATTATAATTAAGCCTAAGGAATGCAGAAACCGGGTCCAGTGGGGGGTTGCGCATCGACTCCTCGCCGAATCATGCGGCAGGTGTGCTCCTCCATGCGATGATACACTTCAGAGGGTAAGGTGTCAAAGAAGGAGCGTCTACCAAGAGTATTGGCACTCCACAGGCGCTCTGCTACTGCGCTAGCTCTTGGCCAAACCCTAGATTAAAATGTGCACTGCAATGTGTATCTGTCCTTCTCTATCATAAAATTTAATGATCTCATAGCATATGACCACATAAAACGTAACTTTCTGTAACTAAAAATTAGCTCAGGAAATCCAGAGACTAAGCAGCAAGCTGTTAAATAAAGACTTTTTTAGGCTTTTTCTAGAGGCTTTGCTTTATGACGATATAGTTAAGGTAGACAATATAAAACTCACCTGCTCTGAACGTTCCTGTCATCCACCATCTCGCCCCACATGCAGGCTTCGCCTCCGACGACCCCGTTGAGTAGGGTCCTATTAGAGGTGACGTCATAGACCATCTGACGTGGGTCTGCCCAGTAATAGTCCGGCCAATTGCTGCCCAACGCGTCCAGATACCAAGTTGACGAGAAGATCAGCCGGTGTCCAGCTGTCAAAACCTGTGAGACATGCATGTTGTAACACTTATTACTTGATAACAACTGATCCCATTTTCAGAGGATTTTTTGTATTGCAATACCTAAGAATAGTGAGGCATCATTGAATATAAAGCATTGGAGGTTTGTTTTTCTTATTAAGAGGTCATAACTAGAGAAATTTGACTTACGAATTAAATGACTTCGTAAATACTACTAAGTTTTTTTTTTTATTTTATCATCGACTGGTACAAAGGTTTCTTTACACAAATCTTACCGTGACCATTTCGCTTATCCAACTTCCCTTCCAAACTTGGATCAACGTATCCTTTGATAGCGGCACTCTCTCGTCAAAAACTTCCTGAATAAAGCAGGCTTATATTGGCATATAAAATATAACATATAACATTCATCATATTTAACAGTCGACGTTAACGGTACTTAAAAATGAACAATTAAAAATGCAGTTTAAAAATTGAAAATAATTTCGACTCAGGCAGGACTTGAACCCGCATCGTCAGCGTTCCGTGCTGTTCTCTCTCTACCAATTGATTTCTTTATTACAGAAATATTGCAGAAGACGTAAAAGCTAGTACATAATATAAGTACATAGTCTTCTAAGGTGGTAATAATAGTAAAATTAATTATTTTGCGCTAGATCATAGCTTATTTTGATGTCGAATTAAAGTTTAAAATTCATAAAAGTATTTTCTCATAAAAAATTAAAATTAAGTGTCTAGTTTGGTTGAAAGAAAATGATACGGGCGGTACTCGAATTGATCGAGAACAAGATCTCAGCAGTACTTACCTGCCAGACGACCACCTCAGAGTCGTTAGCGAGAAGAGGAATTGCGTTTTGCATGAAGAGTGCGTGAAGTTCTGGAACCGTCAGGTTGTGCTTGTCCATGTACTCGCGGAGCTCTGGATTCGAGCGCCTGCATATAAAAATTGAATTCTAAACACATTTACAGATTTTTATTTAACCTTTCAGCCCAGCTATATTATATAACATCTCAACGAGATGCGTCATCGATCTATTTTAGCTTTGGATATTCGGAAATCCACGAACTAACCGAAACGCGATTAAACATGGCCGACTTATTATCTAGATTTCCAGACGAAATCCAGCATGTTTCAGGAAAATTATAAATTAAAAACATTTCGGTCGACCGGTGTGAATCGAACGCGACTGGTTGATCATTAGCTGCGATTAGACTAACCAGCCCGTCCAGATAATAATTTCGTTCGGCACACGAACCGCCGTCTTCAGATGAAAACCCGTCAAGTACTAGGTGCGTTTCGATTTCAGTCTGAGTAATTCCGAATATCCAAAGCCAGAACAGGTTGACAGCGCTTCTAGTTGAGATGTTATACGGCTGGTGTATTTCACCAGCCATCATGTGAACCCTATATCCTCTTAAATCATTAAAAAAAACCGACGTCCCCGCCCAACGAGCCCGCCAAATTTCAATATTTGTTATATGCAACTTATTCATTACTAGCTGTGCCCGCGACTTCGTCCGCGTGAAATAGTGACTTGGGGTAGAATTTCAAATTATTGAGGCCGTTTATTACTTCATGAAAGGGCGCATTTAAGGCAGCCAATCTATGGTAAGTGCTCCTTTGCCGCAACACTCTCACCTCACATCACGCCTACTCTAACTCCCACTCTCATTCTTACACTCACTCCCACACCCACGCCCACCCCTACTCCCACTCCCACTACTATTCCCAAAAAGCCAAAGAAGAAAGTTTCATTGTTCTAGCTTCAAAAACCACGAATTTCCATACAAACTTTCTTCCCCTGTTCTGTAGTTTTGGCGTGAAAGAGTAACAGACAGACAGAGTTACTTTCGCATATTAGTAAGTATAATAACAAAGTAATGGACCATACCAGCAATCCAGCTCGACCTCATCGCCACCAATGTGGAAGTATTTCTCTGGGAACCACGTCTGCACCTCTTGGAATAAGTCCCGCAAGAGCTTGTAAGTAATGTTCTTCGTGGGATCCATGGGACCAAGACCCACCACTTTATCCTGTCTGTAGCACTCTGTTAGTACGCTCGGGTATGCGTTTCCCCAGGAACGGGTGTGTCCTGAAAGGATCTTACTGTGAATGTCGATTCTAATATGTACTAAGTGTTAATTGTTTTGTATATTTTTTTTTAGACTTTTATTAGAAGGTAATCTGCGTCTTTATTACGTCAGAATTAGTGTCCTAAGATGAAATAAAACTTCTCTTTACAGAATTGAGTTCACCAGTTCTGTGAGGACTCAGCTAATTCCTCCAAATACTAACTACGAAGAAACAGATGGCGCTAGGGTTGCAGATTTTACTTTGACATTACACCCTCCATCTTCATATTCGGATGACCACGGCTGCTCCAAAGCATACGAAACGTCGGGCCGTAGTTAAAATAAATAAGGTAACAAATAAATTTTGCGTTTTAAACCGGTTCTATTTAAATATGTACTACTAGTGTGCGCTACAGACCATACATAGCCCCTAAGTTTCGTCTTGAGAAGTGCACTACACTTATGGATCGCGGTGATATCTGTTACACGTAGATTATTGACATAATAGTTTATTATTGTAGTTTACGAGGGTGGTACACATTAATCAAATACTTTTAACGGTTTAAAACGTGAACTATATATCTGTAACTGTTTACCCGTTGAAATTGTTTTATTTTATGAGCCGTTACTGTATGCTAGTGGATAACCACCAGCATACAGCATACAGTAGTAGTAAGGGAATAATCCCTTGTAGTGCTAATCGTTTAATTTTAAGGAAAGTGATGAGACTGTGTCCTTCATAAGCATCTACAAATTATGAGGGATATGTCAACTCACCAGGAACATCAAACTCGGGGATAACGCGGATCCCACGGTCTCGGGCGTACTCAATCACTCGCTGGATGTCTTCTTTGGTATACACCATCGAAGAGTCGTAAGCGCCTTGCTGACTGAAAGTTCATTACCTAAACATTCTGGTTATATTCAGCTCTTATCTAGATTAATATTATTTTTTAAAAATTAAAAAAAAATTCGACTCGGGCAGCACTGGAACCGGCATCGTCAGCGTTCCCTGCTGTTGCTCTACCACTTGAGCTACTATTGTGTCGAATTAATAAAATATTTTTGTTGTCGTTGAACTATTTATCGAGGAAGGCATTAAAACGGCAGGTTAGAATAAATAAGAGCCAAGAAACAGTGGGAAATGGGGCAAAACGGGGGACAAATATTCATATAAGTGGATTTCCGTTGCGCGCGCTAGAAAAGTGGTTCAGGATAACTAAAAATAGGTATGAATTAATGATTCCTCTTTAAATGATGTAAAAACATGTCCACACAATATATGGCTACTTTATAAGATTAACTTGAATTAACGACAAAACGCAACTGACGTCGTGGGTAACAGCTATACGTTATAAATATGTGGAGGTTTGCAAAAACAATTTGATTCTTAAAAAGCTAATATACTTATATATATCTCATACCTCAACTCAGGAAACCGTTCACTCTGATACGGGAAGCTCTGGTCGTCCACAATATGCCAGTGAAACACGTTCATCTTATTATACGCCATCGCATCCAGGGTCTTCAGGATGTTGGATACAGAAATATAATGGCGCGAAGTGTCGAGCAAAAGACCACGGTGCGAATATTGGGGGAAGTCGTTTATTCTCGTCTTGTTCACGCGAAGTTCCTGGACACGAAAAATTCTCAACATGAGACCAGCCCAAATAGATAAATAGTAAAATCCCGTCTATAGTTTACGCGAGTAGTACACATTTAAATAAAACACTTTAACGGTTTAAAACGCGATATATTAGTTAAACTTATTTGAAAATGATTTTTAACTTCGGCCCGACGTTTCGGATGCTTTGCAGCAGCCGTGGTCACGGGGAGACTGTCTCCCCGTGACCACGTGTCTAATATATCGCGTTTTAAACCGTTAAAGTGTTTTATTTAAATAGTAAAATCCCGTTCAGAGTCGTTACTGATAGGTTTTATTTATAGGCAAGCAGTCGATTAGACTTCTGTGCCCGTTCGACCGAAAAAATCTATTGTAACACATGCTAGGCAAAAAGATTATCCATTTAGCTACGGAGGTAGTCAGGTATAAGGGTCTTAAGAAATACTTAAACAATATATTATTTGTTGCTTGCTTGCTTCTCTTTGTTACTGTTCATGATTTTGTTAGGTGGTCGCCGATTGGGCGCGAATTTTCTATCAGTAAGACAGACAAAGAAATGGAGGGGGCACTGCCTTTTACAGAGAAGTACCATATTTTAGAAGTTATGTTTTACTTACATTTCGATCATCGGAGAGGTAAAAAAGTTGTGAGAACGTCTCCAGACCTCGCACTATTCCCCAAATTGACGGACTGCTGAGTGCCGATATTGTTGAAACGTTCAGCTTGTCTAAAAATATTATTTCAGAGTTATTTTGCATTGTCCGTTGTTTATGCGAGTAGTACATTTAAATATAACACTTATAAATGAATTTGTATAAGTTCATTCAAATTTATTTTAACTACGGCCCGATGTTCCGTACGTTTTGTAGCAGTCATGGTCACGGGAGGACCATGAAGAAATGAAGAATTTCTTTAATGTTAAAGTAAAAACTGCTACGCTAGCGCCATCAGTTCGGTCGTAGTGATATTTAACGAAACTGGCTAGGTCCTTACAGAACTGACTCACGGTGTTTTTTTATAACGTTCAGACCCCGTGACCACGACTGATGCAAATATTCGAACCATCGGGTCGTAGTTAAATTAAATTGTAAGTAAGTTAACTCATACATTTCGCGTTTTAAACCGTTAAAAGTGTTTTATTTACTGAGTGTAATTAATTTTGTACATTTGTATTTTTGTAATTGCTAAGTCAATATATATTATAAATGCGCTTGCGACATTTTATTAGCAAACATATATGCAAGATATTCATATACCTATGTTTGCTAAAAGACTACTAAAGTAGAAAGCGAAAAATCATTTAATTAATTGTAATTTCGGCTTAAGGTCGGGGGTTCAGTTCCTCGGCGTACACTGAAGCTCACAGTGTCTCGATATAGTAGAAAATAGTTTCTCATAACGTAACTTGCTTGGCTGTTTGTGCTCTAAAATATATTTAAAAATATGTGTCAGACCCTACGTCGTCAATGACTTAACACAGACCCTTGCACAACAAGAGAATTCCACCACTGGGATTACTTTAGAACCAAACTAATAGCACATAGATATATTATTATGATCCGACTTTTGTTTGTTGCAAAAAATATACAAACATCCGTACAAACATTTAACAAACCGTTAATGTGATTTATTGTAGTGAGCTAAATATTTTCAATACTTCGTACCGTTCAGAGGCGCAAATACTTGAGATAACTCAGACCCGCTTAGTTTTTAGATGAATGTTTTTATTGTGTCGTAAATTCGACGGGCGTAATAGTAGCAATGTATGTCTTATGGCTCTAGATTCCACCCGCACCGAGTCCACTAAATAAGTTATATTTTTTGAAGATGTTGGATTTCGTCTGGAAATCTGAATCTAAATTGGATGGTAGGAAATTGGATATTCCGATATCGCAAACCACCGTCCACAAATAAAAAGTCGAGGAGTTTAATTAATCATTGTGTTACGGAGGACCTTTCGGATGGAGCTGACCTGGAGAGAGAAAGGAGGGCTATGGCGGTAGGGGGTAACATGTTGGCCCGGAGGTTTGCACGAAGCTCAAACGATGTGAAAATCGTCTTATTTAAGGCTTACTGCCAATCATTCTACTCGTGTAGCTTATGGGCCTCCTTTACTCAGAGAGCATTGAATGCTATTCGTGTGCAATAGAACAAGGTTTTCAGGTTGTAATTGGGCTTGCCAAGATACTGTTTGCGGTGGGCATGTTTGCGGATGCACGCACGGATAGCTTTCACGCCATCATCCCCATGCATGCTCGTAACCACTTACCAAAAATATATAAATAAATAAAAACTATCTATTATAATATATTATCTGTATTTGTTTGTTGTTTTTCACCTTGACCTCAAAAATATTTGATTCTATTGTATGATAGACATTTTTATTGTGTGGTAAATAAGAGATAAACTGTATTGATAAATCAATTGTTTGTTTGCGGGATTCAGATAATTTTTAGATAATGGTACTTAGCACGCGGCGGAAACACTTCATATAACATACTAGCTGAGTCACGCGACTTCGTACGCGTAGAATAATAATTTTCCGGGGTGTTCAACTCTATAAACTTGAGCTGTTACCCACGGCGTCGTCTGCGTCCCGTCGTTCTTGCAAGTTAATCTTAAAAGATAGACATATACTGTTACGTACCTTTTCTTAGATCATTTAAAGAGGACTAACTGTTTCATACATAATTTTCGGGTATCTTGAACCGTTTTCGCAGCGTACGCAAAGGAAACCCACAGGGATAAATATATAAAAATAATCTCAGTTTTTTCGACATTCCCCGCGGTTCATAGAGCGGCCTTCCTTAATAATGCTCTAACTAACACAACAACAATTTTTCAACTATTCGTTCCTAAGATTAGCGCGTTCAAACAAACAAACTCTTCAGCTTCATATATTAGTATAGATAGATAGACAAAGATGATGTGATGTCGACCTATTTTGGCTACGGACGTTCGGAAATATTAACCTTAGCATATTTACCACTACACCCGTAATGAGATTTTCCAGACGAAGAGCAACATGTTTCAGAAGAATTATAAATGGATTAAAAGAATGCTGGACCTGCTGGTTATCGAACGCAGGACCCGTTGATTACTATCCATATATTGCTGCCATTGCACCCACGAGTCAAACAAGTATCTTACATTCTTCATTCATTTCGAAGTGTGGGTAGTCCTCGCAGGGTGCGGTGAGATCGATCTGCAACTCCTCAACAGCGCCTTCGTAGTTTTCGTCATGTCTGTGCGCACCATTCCTGCGCTTACGCCGCTCGTGGGGCCGTTGGCGGTGTAGGCCGCTCTTGTTCTTGATTATGTACGAGTAGCGCTGTATTGCGTTGGCTAGGATCGTGCAGTTCTCGCCAAGTAGCTGTTAAAATATAGTCTATAATTAAGATTTAAGCTGATAAAATGAAAATAATAATAACATAATAAAGTGGCGGGAAATGTCCTGTCACTTCGCTTTTGTTATAAACCCTTGACTAAATAACTAGAAGTTATGTGGACATAGTATTTTGTTTTTGCGTACCCAGTTAGCTACATAAGAGATTTAAATAAAACACTTTAACGGTTTAAAACGAGATATATTAGTTAAACTTATTTGAATATGATTTGCCCGACGTTTCGGACGCTTTGCAGCAGCAGTCTCCCTGTGACCACGAATTTTTATCGCGTTTTAAACCGTTAAAGTGTTTTATTTAAAATGTACTACTCGCATAAACTATAGAAGATTTTTGACTTCAAAAACTATCTATTTCAATAGAGTAAATTGAAATCAATATTATCATCTAGTTCTATTGAATATTCGATATGTGCTTATTAATACCTTATAAATCTTGTCTTTTAGAGCAGTTCTAGAAGTATACCATACGAATAGGTATATTTTGCGAAATATACCCCCACCCTCGGTCTCTCCGTGACCACCGGAAACGTCAGGCCGTAGTTAGAATAACTTGTAAATAAGTTTACTAATGTAATTCGGGTTTTAAACCTTTAAAGTGTTTTATTTGAAAATAAATAGACCTCCTTCTAAGGCCCGCTTAATATGCATTTTTATAAAAATAATTCAAGCGATTTTTTTACGTAAATAAGAATTGCTAATAATTGATTTTACACTGAACCTTTTTCACATTTCAATCTGTAAGACGTTATTATATAAGTTATACACAACCAAGTACCGACTTGTTGATCATTTTGTCGTAAGTTATAATTATCTTTTCTATTGTTATAAACTCGCAATTATACATAGCATTATGCGAAAACAATTCTTAATTTTGTATTAGACATCTATGTGCAGCACAATTACATAGTTTTATATATCTAGTAGTTTGCATCCTAAGATGAAAAATCAATATCTACGCCAAAGGATATTGTCGATCCTTTTAATATAAAGCGGGCTTTGAACTGAAGACTTTTCGTTACTAGTGACTACTTTTGTTTTAATTTCATGTATAATACAGTTAATTCTACAATACTATTATTCAAATACAGTTGCTGGCATATTATATTTCTTTTCAATACATTTCTGCAAATATATTACTGTTTTATGAATAATTCGTATCAAATATTAATTAGGGCTATTTCTTACCTTAACAGTAAAATGCGAAGGGTTAAATGTAAGATAGGCCGCTTCCTTTGTTTCTTCCTGGGGTTTAGGCCAAACTTCTCCCTTGGTTGGTGGAAATTTCGGTCCCGGATTCACTATAGACATTCCGACTCCGAGAGCAATACACGTGAATGATAATAAAAGTTGCAACATGTTGCTGAATTTTAATTTATATTGGCGAAGCATCCATAAGCATCGCCCGCGTAACACTGATCATTTTCTCTTCAGGGCGCTATTTGTGTAAGATATACATCGTGTTATGATTATATTGTATTCATTCATTTCGCTGCGATAACCTTTCGGGTTCAAAAAATCTTATTCTTATTATCTAGAACTTTGAGAAACAATAATAATAACGAATTTTTTACTGATCATAACGTAAAAATTAAGACCAAAAAGGTTTTATATAAAACTAAACCAAATTAATCTTATGTACTAAGATTCCATATTTTTATTAAGATATAATGTATTTTAAATATACGAGAAGCATTACATATTTAAGCCTTATTAATTATATGCGAAAACGTAACGAATTACTAATTATTGAAACCCTTGATTGAATACACAAGACTTATGTTATACAAGGCATCAAAGTTCTTAGATACAAAATTTAAAAGAAAAAACATCAATTACAAAAACTGCAATAAAACGTTAAAAACATAAAATATAATACAATTTGCTTCTTCGTGTAACAAAAAGATAAGTCGTTAACTTATCTTTTTTTTACACGTTGGCAACGTTGTAAATGTCATTTACTGAAATGTCAATATATTATACTATCGTATATTCCGTTAGTAAAAATGTCACTGTCAAATGCAAATATGACATTTGTAATATTGTGCTTCTGTGAAATCCATTTATCATCACATGAATTCTTATTAATTACTAATAGTGTTTCTGTTAGTTCTTAAATTTGCACTTTCTTATTGAAACAAATAGCAGTTATATGCAATAATGTGTCGCATGCTATCGTCCATCGTTCCCCTGTTATTACTAGCAGCGAATGTTTTGTGCGCAGTCAACCCTAGTGACGATGAAGTTGGTGTCGGCAGATATATTATCGAAGGCAGAGTGTTTCCGCCAGAAAACAGCGACGCGAGTAACTGGCAGATCGACACAAGAATCCACGTGAACGCTGGAGAATACATAGGTTTTGTTAAGAACGACGGTACATTTACTTTACACAATGTACCTTCAGGGTCGTACGTCGTCGAGATTGTTCACCCTGATTACATGTATGAGCCTGTTCGTGTAGAAATCAACTCCAGAGGTAGAATAAGAGCTAGGAGAGTAAACTACATCCAAACATCACAAGTCATTCAAGTGCCGTACCCCTTGAAAATGAAGGCTGCGACTCGCTTTAGATATTTCCAAGTACGAGAACAATGGAGAATCACAGACTTCCTCTTTAACCCGATGGTAATAATGATGGTGTTGCCGCTATTCCTAATTATGATCCTCCCAAAAATGATGAATGACCCAGAAACTAAAGAGGATTTAAAGCAGTTCGGTGACATTGCCAAGATGACAGAGTTTCCAGAAATGTCAGAATATTTTGCCTCATTCTTCAGTGGTGGGGCAAAACCGGGTGCTGCAAAGGCCAAACAAAACAAAAAAAGACAATAAAACATTATGTATATAGTCAATTTTGTTATAGGAGTAATTTCTTTATAATAAAGTATTATTTAAATGGGTTATGTTTGAGTTTATTACTTATCTGCAACAATGTAAGACGCCATTATATCTTTAATTATCAACAATGATTAAGTTAATAATCAAGTTTACTGAATAGTTTTTTATTTCACTTATAAATGTCAGTATTTGTAACTTGCACAGATTAAAAATAAACACATTTTCAGGCTGTTTATTAAAAATAGATGTATTTCTTCAATATTTCATTCCATTACAAATTGTTACAACTTATACTATACACAAAATATAAAAGGTAAAAAGAATATCAGTCATTGGTGATTTTGGACGGAAAATAATTAAGTAACATAGAAAGTTACACACGAGATTCAATACATTCTACATAGATTGCCATTAGTAAATACAAAGTGATCTGCAGAGAAGAAACCACACAAAAATTAATACATTTCTAGAAAATTATGATTGATCTAATATTATAAACTAAGTTGATACTGTTTTTGGAAACTAAATACTCCCATACTTAAATAGATATACGCACGTTATTGTTTACAGGTACTTAGATCTACTATTATACCCTATATAGAACTCGGGAATGATCATTCAATAAGTGCTCTAATATGAAATATATGTAATTTGATATTAAATGAGATATAATATGTGGACGGTTCATTTGTACATTTTTTGGAAAAAATACTACACTAAAACAAACAATACCTTATATAATTATACATCTGTGAAAAATATAATTTTTCCAATTTATCTACTAAGGCAAACTTTATTGACATGTGCACATTTTTGATATTAATTTTAATGCAGATAAATGCAAAAACTTTTAAACTAAGGTCTATAATCTAAATATATACATTTGTCGGTTCACCTCAAAACTGTAAGGCAAGGCCGCATTATATGCTATTGGAATAAAAAATAGCATTTATACCAGACAATTCAAACGGTACGCGATAAATATTTGTTATGTTTAACCACGATCCGATTTGCTTTGCGCCGTGGTCACATTTAAAACCGTTGAAAGGGTTTTATTTAAATATCTACTACTTGCATAAAGTAGAGACTTACATAGATGCTTAATTTTATAAGATTCGACCACGCCCACATGATCTTAATTTTTTTCTCAGATGATAAGAATGACCTTTTCTAAATAAAAGGTAATTCTTATCATAAATAGAAAAAAAATCTTCTTGTAGTAGTGAAGGTATGAACAAAAATTATATTTTGAAATTAGTACATCAGTTATAAATTAAGTTGCCATTCTAGTTGCTTTGGGTATAAAGATGTTAGTATATAGATTACAAAAGCACCTGAGGTAAAAATGTCACAGGAGATTTTTTAAGTCTGATTAAAATAAAGTAATAACATATTCATTATTGTCAGAAAAGCTTAGATTCTAGACCACTAGCTGCCGTATGTTTCAGGCCCTCAATTGAAAAGCTTGGTATTTCATACTTCCTTGAATCTTCACTTAATCTAAATTTTACTGGTATAAAGGTACTAATTTTAAATGAACACTAAACTCTACGAACTACATGGAATGAAGACATAAATTTCAGATATAATACAACCAGTGAAGCACAGAAGTACCAAACTAACATTTGGTACGCGTTTTTACAGTAGCATAGATATATATTCTAACCGGTGGTATAAAAATATACATAATTATATATATAGATATATTTCGTAATATTTAGATATGTAATTTTGAAATTGCACATATATATTTAATGATAATAATTTTGTTTAATTAATATTTTTGTCATATTAGTTTACAGTTTGACGTGACAACTGCTTATAATAAGAACTTAATGCATTGACGAAGTGAAGCGTTTTTTTTGCTGGCAAAGATAAGTTGAAAATCAAAGTCATTTCAAAGTACTTCATAATGTTACTTATTGTATGTTATAAAGATATAATACTTTTAAATAAGAATTTGATAATATCACTATAAAAACATGTATGTTTTTAGCCCCTCAACATGTACTGTCAACCTAATTTAAACCCCCCCCCCCACTGAGAAACGCCCATGTATATGTGAAACAATTAGTGCATTCTTTAAAACTCTTTACCAGCATATAATAGAACTACGTAAAAGCTTTATGGGTGATGAACCTAACAAATACCATGAGGAATACCAGCGCAGGAGTAAGAGCGATTCGCAGCGCTGCGTTATACACCGCGCAGTAGGGGCACTGCGAAGATCCGCACACTTCGCAAATATTGAGGAGGTACGTCGGCAGGGCGTCGAATATCGTCTCGTTGAAGCGTTCTGTAATAAAAAATATCGTCTTTTAAACCGTTAAAATTGATTTAAATGCGTTCTATGAATATTTCAGAACGGTGTATTTCATCGCCTGCCTAGCTTAATGTTTTAACGCATTGCGCGAGAGATCTGGATTCGAAACTCTGATCATGTAAGTGTGTAAAAACCGTGCAGTGAAACGGACACTAAAATGTGTTCGCTCATGTCCCATTAGGATAAGTAAAATTTTAATTCAGGCAACAAGCTTATTACAACCAGTGTCTTTCGGGACCGCAAACACCTTTTGAGGGTTCTATTTAGAATCACAATAACGACACCGTGGCTTTACTATATACTTTTAATAGAATTATATTAGCTTACACTAACATAAGCTTTGAAGCAAAACATTGATTTGTATAAAAACTAACTGATACCGGAAAATATTTTTCCCCGTAAATAACGTGTTAAGTACAAACCTGGCGCGTAGTAATCGTAGACTTTGATCGGAAGATACCGCGACATATTGGCGACAGGATACCATCGTTCAATTGTGAAGTTTACGCAGGTCGTTTCGTGGTCCAACTGAAAATATATAGAATATTTTACATGACAATATGTAGGGCACGATAATCGGTTACACATAGACGCTGTGGATGCCGGTTCAAGTTCCGCCCGTTCGTAATTTTTGTAAATCTAAAATCGATCTTTTAAATATACAATTATATTAGTTAAATTATTGTTCATTTAATATAACCGCGACGTTTATAAGCATCGGATGCTTTGCAGCCACCGTGGTCAAAGAGGGCACACTGATAAATTACGTGAATCCGTGACGGACGAAACAGTTCTTAAGGACCCCGTCAGTTTCTTCAAATACCAAATATACCAGCATCAAAAATACTCACATAATCGAAGAAGAACAGTAACTTAGTCGGTGTATATTTTGCTCGTTGCAATGTCCTAACTTTTCTCGACAAGACGTATGCGTCTAACCTCTGCTGTTGGATCATGTACCCCGTCGGGATTCGAACCTCGAGCACAGACATACCGGAACGAGGCGATTCGTTGAGTAGTGTCCAGCTAAAAAACAAATTGATTTTTTTTTTATAATAGCGGAGGACAGACGAGCATTTTGATGGAACGTAGAAAACGGACATCTAACTGCTTAGATACGTATTTTGGATTTCGAAATCCGGACTAAACAGAAAACGGATTAAACTTCACGAATTTTTGATTCGTGGACAGTGGTTCCGTGATGGTGGTCGTGGAAGTGAACAGAATTTCAATACTCATTTAATATGCAATTTCCAGGTGAAGTCCAACATATTTTCTCTCTCTTAACACTCTCTTAACACAAGGGGCAGGACGCAGAATCTTTTACTCATCCCTAAGCACAGGACATCGAACTTCCAAGGAGGATTCAAATATGCCGCTTCAAAAATATGGAACGATCTGCCTCCACCTCTTAGAGCTAGCTCTAAGGAGATGACCTTCACGACGTTCAAGCGGCATGTTAAACTGGACCTCCTTGGAAAGCAGATGTGCAACAATTAATGGTTATATTGTTATTCTATAATGTATATGTTGGCTGGGGTATATCAATCTCGGAATTATATTTATTATATACTACTTTACTAAAAATCACTTCTTTACTTCTATGCGCGGGCCAGTCTGAAAACCAGCGCTGCTGAGTGTGACAAGCATTCAGCAGCATAGCTGAGACTGGTACCGATTGCCATCTCTTATATATTTATTACTATATTATTATTCTTTTTATGTACACATTTAGTTATACGTTATAAGTTGTAAATATATATATTTTATGGCAATAAACGTTTTGAATTTGAATTTTAGAAAAAATATAAAATTTATATTAATATCCCAGTGACCCAGTGGGGTTCGAACCCCAACTCGTTGATTATTAGAACAAATCGTCATATTGTGCTCTTTATATGTCATTAATTATATTAAAGTTATACCTGCTCATTGTAAAAACTGTATTTATTTATATAGCAAAACAAGACACCTAACAATTTCAATGAATACTGCGGATTCGATTAAGAAGTCCATAACATTTATTACTTAAAATATATTTTTGTTTATCAATAACAGACGACAATGCATAACTCACCTGGCACACGTTTGATAGTCAATGTGCGACTGATTCCTTCCGTAGTAATGCGCGTGCGCAAGCAGTGAAAAGGCGCGCATTGGCGGCGCTGTCTGGAATCTCTCTACGTCCACATTGTACTGGACGGACATTTGTAGTATAGCGTAACCGGCACCTCGAGCGGTCACCTTTACAGTACCCCATGCTTCTGGTATCTAAATAAAAATAATAAAAAAAACATTTAACATTTATATCTTTCGATTCGAATCAATCATAATAATATGACATACACGATATATGCATCGAAGATGTGCGTGGACGCAAATCCGAATTACTAAACAATTTATTTTAAGCTAAGCTTATTGGTTTTCAAACATATTTAGGTATATTAAGAAGCTTTCTATTTGGTTATACATTTGCGAAGGCGAAACGTAGAGAACGTTATATATATAGATACCTAATCAAAAAGCGTCAAAAAACTTAATTATACATTAATAGACGTAGATTGGAGTAAAAGACTTGCTTAATATCCCCAAACTGCATAACTATGTAACTCTTATTAATTTCTGAACTTACGTCGATACTTTGCATCACTGCTAAGTTGTTATTGTCGACGTGCAGCGTCCTCGTGGTCCCGTTAAGGGCGACCGCGTCCACGGTCAACGTCAGCGCGCTGACGTCACGAAGTCGTTTTCGGTTCGTGTACTCAATGAGCGCGCGGAGAGCTATGTACGTGTCCTGGAAGTATTGTTTCTACATAAATATTCTTACAACTAAATAATACAAAAATACCTAAAATTAAAGATAAGTCAATAAATAATAAGAACACAATTAAGAGAAAATATGTATGCTAAAGGACACCAAATAGATATAAATTACGATTTTTTAAATTAAATTGAACCACAAAAAGGCAAACAATTTATTGAGGAAGTCTTTCTTTTCAAAATGTTTATTTTGAGTCTATTATACTTAGATTTTACATTTTCTTTTTAGGTTAGCTTAGCTCTCTTCCTCTTTTTGTTACAATTATTAAAATAGATATACATACCTGTGTGGATGCCCAACCGCCATCTTTTAATCTCTGCGAGTTAAGCCACATAACGATTTGCTCGTTGTTGTCCTATAAAAGATTTTATAATAGTCATCTTAAAAATTTAAGTTGAATTTTAAGTGCGTAAAAGCTATCTATTTAATTAATATTTACAATATTATCCTTTATTTATTACTCATGTATGTTATTACATAATATGGTTAAGAGTGGCAAAAGATAGACTCAAATCGAAATTTTTATTAATCTTGAATAATAAATATTTAGATGATTTTAGATTTTGGTTGGTTGGTTGGTTAGAGAAACAACACGGGCCGCTGTCCGCCTGTCGGAAAGTCCTGTCAATGATGTAATATTTTTTATCTTATAATTATTTTCTATCCGGGACACCCATACCAGGCCGGGTAATCAGTCCACACCATCAGCAGAACATTTCACCCATTTCCCCATTTTTTTAATCTTAAATAGATTTTTAATGAATAAAGGGTTATTTAATTTTATATATTTTACTTTGTGCACTGTGTACAATATTTCAAATGCATAACTTGTCTCTGCTGATATTTTATTCACTAAAATGCATTTTATATAACATACCTGATGATCCATACAAGCCATAAGCGCGTACGCAGTGGTAGCTATATTGTTCGAGTCGTATTTGTAAGGTAAGCGAGGTAGTAAGAATGGTTTTTGATTCTCCATTTTATATGGGGGTTGTGGAACTGGGTCTTTTCCCCAATATACAAGACCACCTAAAAGTAGACAAAAGCTCATTATTGAGACTATATTTTTAAATAAGAGTTTTAAAAATAAAAATATTCTAGTGTTATATACGTCATTCTTACGGCTGCCTCTGTAGTTAAATTGTTAAACATACGCATTGCGTATGTTTATGCATGCGCAAGAGCCTGAGTGCGAATCCTGAGGAAAAAAACTGTTTCTGTCGGGCAAGGCAAATAAGCCTGATCAACTACTTGCCTGAAAATAAATCCGATCAGGGAAATGGACACAGTAATGTGTTCGCCAGAGTGTTGCAGAGTTAGTAATTATATGTATTAATTTTTAATAAATCTAATTTGAAGCGCATTCAATTTTATATAACTATAGTTTCATAAATTATTTGTTATACCAACCTTCAGATCGCTGTCTTCTCTTAAGCAAGCGATACGCGTGTTCCGCGCTCGGGGCTTTGGCACATGCGAGCGCGTACGCAGTGATCGCGAGCGCATATGGCTCCGCCCACTCGCTCAGTAGTCTTAGGTTTTGCTCTAACCACGTCACGCCCTGTTGCTGCGCAGTGGCCACCCGAGCACTAAGCCCCTGTTAAGAGATGTATTTAGTAACAATAGTAAAATAGTTGAAATCGACGTATTATTACTTATAACTAAATGCTGAGACAGAGAAACAAATAAAAAACAAACAGCTGCTGCAAAGCATCAAAAACGTGGTGTCGCCGTTATAATAAATAAACATTAAGGTTAACGCCCATACTTCGCGTTTCATACCGCTTTTTTTTCATTTCGTCCCTAATGGTTTACCAGCTAAGGAAGAACGTTTTATTAAAATGTACTTAAATAACTTCTATATTAATTCTAAAATACTTAATATTAAGTATTGTGTGAATATAAACTTACCTCACTAACGCCGATATCCTTAAGGTTTTTGACCGACTCCAGCGTTATAACGACCTGCGCTGTTAGCGTTATATTCCGCTGTAGCACTATGGAGTTGTTGACCTGCAAACCACAAGCAAAAAATTATGTTGAGAGACATAAATAAAAATAAAATAAGCTACAGTATAACTTTATATATACAATTAATTATTTATTGATTCATATTTTAACAAATCAAGAGGCCCTGGGTTACTATCTAGGGGAAAACAGTAAATTTTTTCGGTCGGGTAGAGCACACAGAAGTCTGATCAACCACTTGCCTATAAATTAATACGTTCGTTCCACGACCCAGGGTAAACAGGATTTCATATCAATATTTAACAACTCATTAGTTGTCCTATTTGTCTGTCCTTCCACTTCTTTGGTTTTGTAAGGACTAAGAGTGTCCATTACAATTATTTGCATACCGTTTCCCCTTTAAGATGCGACCCCGCTTCGCGATAGAGCTGACTGTCCATGGGCACAGTGATCGTGTTGTTGGCATTTCTGTCTGGCGACCACGTCACTTCGTAGAAAGCGCCTTCGGGTGTCTGGTGCTCGAGGACCCACGACACTGCCATTGATATCACCTGCGAAAATGATACATCCTATGTAATAATAGTATGAAAAAATAAATCTTTAAAAGTAAAGATATTAAGAATTGGTTCAATTCAAGTACAATACGAGACATTGTGGGTTCGAATACAAAAGTCACTTCGAGCGTACCTTTCAAGATTATATTAAGCGAAAGGTACTCAACCCTACCTTAGGTTCACGGGAAGGGAAATTTCATGACATGTAAATGCCATTTAATATAAGGGCGAACATCTACGAATGTCTACTTACATTAGGATCGATGTAAATAAAGTTCTCCCATTCGTTAAAGGACGCATCTTGGAATATCTTTGCGCAGAACGACGTCAGCCACACGCTTGACGCTGATTGGTTCCTTATGAATGAAAAAAAAAAATCACTATACGAAATTTGTATCAAAACCTTTTTAAGGAGCCTAATGGAACCCTAAAGGAATTACTAAGACTTCGTTGTAAGATACCAGTCTGTATCTCGAAAACTACGATTACTAAAGAGTTGGTGATTGAAACAAATTTTGTCTATTTTTTGTCGCTTTAACAACATACTAAAAGCAAAACATTAAAAGAAGACTGTAGTGTCGTGAAAAGGAGTTAGTTGTTGGAGCTTACTATTTCTATATATTATATTGTGAGGCATTTATACATAATATCACAGATTTAGTATAGCTTTAAGTATTGACTACATTAAGTGTGGCCAAGTACCGCTTTCAATGTAGTTTTATTTACAGCGCAACCCAGTGCTGGAACAATTTGCCGCTACTAATAATATTCTCTAAAAGTTTGAAATCTTTCAAAATTAAACTTAAAGAGCATTTAAGAAGGGAATTCAATTCAAAAAAGATTTCTTCTAGACTTGTTTGAGTTGTAGGAAAAAAAAAATATGTTACAGTTTTTTCTTTTTCATTTTATGTATAATTTTGATTTTATTTGTTTGTTTTGTGTCCATAATAAAAAAATGTGTCACGTTACATGTAGAGTAGCACTTGTTAGCGCATACGTTGTTTATTTTTTATTTCATTTAAGTGTAAAAGTTTTAACGAATATTGTCAGCTGTTACTCTAGGAGTGGGGGCTCCAGGGACCACTGAAAATCAGTGTTCGTAATATTATGAGTGGCTCCTGTTTTTGTTAATTCTTCTATATTTTGTATTAAGTTAATATTAGTTTATAGTTTTTATTTTTGTGAGCAACTTTTAAATAAATGATTTTTATTATTATTATGTGTGTACACTCACCAGTCACTCCGGAACAGTGAGAAAGACCCGTCCTGCTTCATGTACGAGAGCTGCCTCTGATACAACACGTTCATGTGGTAGAAGGCGTCCTTTTCGAGTGTCCTGTTCCTCTGGTTGATCAGACGCATGTATAATGTCAGGTACATGTTCGCCGCGAAACTGAACATGTTCTGTTCGCCTGATTCCTACAAAGTAGTTATATGTTTTACAAAGGAAACTAAAAAAGAAGTCAATTATTGCTGGAGATGTTTTATCACTTTCTAAGCGTATACAAATGACAAGGACCAAGTGTATTTGAAATACATTCGGCAATTCATTGAATAAATATATAAATATAAAATGAGAAACAGATATAGATGAAAGATGCTGAATCTTTTATATAAATCGGGTCTTTTATATAACGGTTTAAAGATATAACTGTAACTGTAGTGATATGAATTGCTCCTTAGGTTAATACATTCACAAAAATGTATTAGTTTAAAAGACATGTTGAAAATAGCCGGACTGAGATTTTCGGTGTTCTTCTCAGTTACGTTGATGTTTTGAACACCCTGTAGAATCGCGACAAACAGACAGACAAACATTTTTCTTCTTTTTTGTTTTTGACGAATCTAAATAATTTTTAAAATTTTAAAAAGACTAAGTTATTTTTATTTTATTTAACTTACTCTTCCGACATTTTGGATGGTATAAAGCAGTTGATGTCTCAGAGGAAACTTGAGTCACAAGCATTCCAAACGTCGAGTATTGTCAGAAAAATTGTTTAGTAAAGTTAAAAGTGGTTTATTTGAAATAAATTTGTTTATTTCATACTTAATATAAATTATGTACTTAATAAATGACCTGAAATGCTTTTTAAAAGATTCTAATTAACAAGTTTTGAGCATAGTCTCTGTACATTATACAAAATTAAGGATTACATACCATAGGCATATCCAATAAACTGGAGGCATTAACCGGCATGGTGGGGAAAAGTGGTCCCACAACATCGCCCACTATCGATATAGTGGCTTTGTTGGACCCGAACACGTAGTAACGGTCGACCTCGTACGGAATAATGGGCGTTTCCGTTACGTTCACGTGCATGTATTGGAACACGTACGCACGGTTCGACAAGTCGAGGAGTATAGACTGGTGACGGTATTGAGGTAGACCGTCCGCCTAAAAACATATTAAAGTTATAGAAAATAAATTGTGTAAGGCTTTTACGGCCATCGTTCAGCATATTATTGTTTTTCGGGCTGTTCGGCCGACGTAAGCGAGAAGAGGTTCTACACGTTTCGTGTTCCATGTGCTGTTGATCAATTTTGGCCTTGAATGTGGCTGTGGCCGGCGGATTTTCTAAAGGAACTTCGACATCCCTACCCATATAATGCAGACAAAAGTCATTTATGTTTTAGAAAAGTATGAATATATTTCTGAAACATAGACTAGTGGGAATCTATCCCACGGCTCTGGACTGTAGAGAGAGAGTAAGTTACGTCATCGGTCCCCCTTCTCACCACCACGTCAAACCAGAGAAACAGGATGGATGTTTTCGTAAACCCTGCCTATGCGAGGGAAAAACACAGCAGTGGGATAGGTCGAAACGTTACTTAAGGTATACATACTTCAACTTTTATAGTTTTAGTCGCACGATGTATCCCGTGCAGTGTGGCCGCGTGTATGTTGACGTGTATAGTACCCAGGCGCGCTGGCACAATTGGTATGTGAACTGTTGCCGCATCACCGGCCACAATGTACACGAAGAATTGGTGCTCACCGAACGACGTGCGTGGGTTGTATGAACGGACCTGTTATGTATTAGAAATACTTTAAATATTTGAAAGGTTAAAACCTATTTTTAATTGTTATTCTTTAAGTATGTGTGTCTCCAATTAATGTAACTGGCTATTGCCGTTTTAATTGTTGTAAATAAATAAAAGCAGCTCAAGAACTAGTTACTTCTAAATCAAATAGAAACTAGCGCAGAGTGCAATGGACGATCTTGTCATTTACATGCGATTTCTCTTAGGCAACCCATAATGTAAAAAAATAAATGGGAAAAATTCAGAAGGAAGCCTAACGAACTATTAAAAAATATTTTATTTATTATAATTATATTTATTAATGAATATAAGTAATACTAACTAGAAGTTTAAATATATTCCTTGCACCTATATGTAAAAGTATAACACAATTATATTGTGTAACTCCGCTATGGAGACAATATTTCAAAGAATGGGACAAAAAGCTCATTAGCTCTTTACTTTTTTTATTATCGTCGTTATAAAAATTACTTACAATACCATTTTCCTCAACATGAACGAACATATAGTCCGGCGAGGAGGCGAGGACGACCACAGCCTCAATGTCCTGTTGCTGGTAGTTAAAGACGACCACTCGAAGACCCAGCTGCTCGCCCTGACGAGATTCATCCGGGCCTTCCACTTTTATGAAGAACGGTAGAATACCACCATACTGTAATTTTTGTTTGTGTTAATATTATACAAAGGGATATATTTTTTTAACAAGATTTTTTTTTAAAGAGATTGGTTCTTTTGTCTTATCATTCATTTTTAACCCATTATGCCTTTCATTATGTAATCTTTTGACCCTAACTGCAGATATACCTACTTGAAAAACACCGCATTTTTAACCTGGGAAGACAAAGACACAAGTTCCAGTGACTGATCACTCTTCACATTGTTACAGGTCTGCCAAGTATTTCAAAGACACAAAAATCTATATGTCTAAATAATCACTTTAGACGGTTTACAACATGAAATATAATATTTAGTCCTCCCATGACCACAACAACGCATCCGAAACGTCAGGCCGTTGCTAGAATAATTTTCAAAGAAGTTTAACTAATATATATCGCGTTTAAAACCGTTAGTGTTTTATTTTAATGTTCTATTCGAGTAAACCACAGACAGTATTATAAATAATTTAACTTTTAAATCTTTAAGCGTTTTATTTAGACATATCGATTTTTATGGAAGGAGGGGCGAGGGGGGTGTATGTGTTAGGCGGAGTTTATTTGTTTAGAAACCGTACATTTTTACGTAAATTCGTTTGAACACTTACACGGCAAGGTGAAATGGACATTCCGAGGCCGAGCGACGGCGACATACTGAACGCAGACACCGTCCAGTGCGCGGGCACTTGAGGCACGTCCACGGTGAACACGTAGCGGCCGTGCGGGCCGATGTTCACGTCCCGCCACATCCACACGTTGTCGTACTGCCTCTGCACGCGGTTGAAGCGGAACTTGCGGAAGTGGCTCAGCTCGAACGAATTGTCGTGCGGGCCTGAACATAATACAATGAAGATGAATAGATTATTAAACAGATTATATCTTTGTTGATCTTAAAATGCTGTTCAGAAAGTCTATAGTGGACAACGTAGCCACACGCAAAGAGAGAAAAAAAGAACTGCTATCTCTTTGGCACAATTCAGTAAGAAGAACAAAGACGTAAATTGTTTAACAACAGGCATTGATTCTTTCATATAAACTTTTTTTTTTTTATTAGAGTGGGGAGACATATACATTTGACACAATTTGACTAACTAACAACGCTAACACCTACAATGCGATTCATCCGTCCGATCTGAGCAGTCCACAACGCCGTCACAGCGCTTCTCAGCTTGATAGCATGCTCCGTCCAAACATTCAGCCAATCCGAGTGACGCGTTACAATTGCTGTAACGCCGCGGAACTGTGACGTCACTGAATACTACAAGACCCGCATATCTGGAAAATTCATGGTGGTAAATCATTTTATTTATTAGAAATTATTTAAAATTTAAAACACTGAGCTTGTACAACATGTATATGTTAAGTGTAATATTTTCGTAATCACGTTTTTGTCTTATAACATACGTATGTAGTAACTACAAAACGGAAATGCCCGCGATGTCTTAGCTCCCACAGATAACACAAAGTGTAGATGTTTGTTACTTTTTCAAGCCAAAATCAATGGTCAACAAAATTTGACAACATCAATGTATCCGAAAATTTGGTTATGCTAGAATAGTAGTAAAACAAATTTTAAGTTTTCTTCTTCGTATAGAGTAGAATTACAACAATATTTGCTTATCATCTTTTGATCTGACTTTATTATACTTCAGCTAAATAAGAAACTTACTCCAGTGTCCTATTAGCGTCGATCCCGAAGCTAGTGGAAGGGAAGTAGACCAGTTCATCTGCGTCACCAAAGTGCGAACGCCACGTGTACGCAAAAGTGCCGTTGGTCGACTCGTCGAATTGAGACATTTTAGATATAACCTGCAAATCATTGACATCAGTTAAATGTTAGAATATTTGTGATTAACATAGCACAGCGTACAAAATATAAAAAATAATGTCAAACTACGATTCGGACTCGCGGTTGATGGGTTTCGTAAGCTTTTTTAGGTATTTCAAGAGCCTATCTGTTACCGTGTATATCAAGCAAAATTAGGCAATACTTAGGTAACTTTTGTATGGGCAGAAATGTAATTTTATTTTGTTTTTAGCATTTGCTCTACGTATCGCGGTTCTTGATGTGCAGACAGACAGCAAAGGCCCAATGATTGGGTCTAGTTTTACCCTTTGGGTACAGAACCATAAAACGATAAGAGGAGGTCTGATCCAACTTGTTTTACATATTACCTTAGCGTATGTGAGCTCATTCCCTGCTTGCATAGTGTAGAAGACGTTATCAATACCAGACAGTCCAACATACGCGCCAGGCTCTCCATATATCGCTACCTCCACCCTTTCCCCGGTACGGTGTTTTCGATTGTTTATTGATACCGTGAACTGAAAAAATAATGTTGAAGAATAAATTTAACAAAATTGTGGATTACCTCTTTAAATCACACAACGTCAAACTTTTATACGAATAATTGACGAAATAGTAAAATTGCTACAAAAAAGCTAAATCTATTATTTAATACAAATACTTACATTATTTCGAGATATTCCATTGACAGGGAAAGTTAGAGAATCCGCCAACACAACAGCGCGTCTCTGAGCGGCCCACACCACTATAGTAGCTACTGGCGCCATCTCAGCAGACAAAACTACAGCAAATGTGCGCACCCCTTCCTGCAGGAAACAAAACGTTTTAAGTTATCTGGCTCGAAGGACCAAAATAGCTTACTTATTTTTTTATAAAATTATAATTTAAAAAATACTATTTAATTTAAACACAAACCTGCATGTTCTCCTGCCCGCTCGTTAATATGATCCCCTTGGACATGACCACGTAACTGAATGTCTCCATATAGAAATTACTTTCGACGTGGAAAATTATGTATTCGCCCACCTAAAAGAGGATATTTGAAATATTTCAAAATCGTTTGTAAGGCTGTTATCATTATTAATCAATTGTAATTACAAGCAAGTAGTTAATTAGATTTCTATGCCCTGGCGACCGATAGAATTTGTCTCTCCCCAGCTCGTTTATCCAATGATACACACTAATACTACCGGGCTCAATGTGTTTCTATGTAATCTATATTTTTTCTAAAACATATAAGATTCCGTCTCAAAAATCTAGACATTAAATGTACAGCAGGAATGTCGAAATTCCGACCGGCTCGAAACCAGTCCGGTTTCAGTCTGTGGATTTCTAAATGCCAAAATAGGGCGACACCGCATTATTGAAAAACCGGGTTTTCGAAATTGAATCTAAATTTACGTTACTCTATCTACATCGAACGTTGCATTGCGCAATAGCTGTCTGTATCAATAGGTTAAAGACATTCGACTATAACGTGTAGGACAGGCTGAATTGCTTAGAGCAGAGCGGAATGCTGTGGATACCAATTCAAGCACCGCCCGTGTCGTGCAATTTTCTATCTAATTAGATTTTTAATTTATATCGAACACTTACCCTAGCATTAGTAGTACTTGTGGACACTTTGATGTGATGTTGATTAGGCGAGTGATGCGCCACCAAATGGACGTCGGCGGCTGCGCGTGCTCCCATTGCGTCCGACAGTTGTGCGTTCAGGCGAAGCCCGGTTATACCGCTGAGTGTCTCCCTATAGTTAGGGTCGTTTTCTAGTCCTAACATTAAATAATACTTTTTTCATATTTTTAATGCCTTAAAAAAAGGTTTTGGATATAGCAAGAACCATATTTAACAGATTATTTAGGATCGAATTCTTATGTAATGTAAATGCCAGTCTTGACTTTAAGTACCAAATAGTTGTTGTAGTTAAATGTGTCGTTAGCACTAGACGCTCTTGGTTTGAATGGGCACCACGATCAGATCCACCACTAGCCTATTAATAAAATCGATGAATTGACTGGGCAGAGAAAACGATTTTATATATTAACTTACGTAACAATTTATACAGATCCATTTTGAGGTGCCAAACTGCATTTTGTCCAGGTACCAGAGTAGGCCTCAAGGGCTCCAGGGCTCCGCCACGGCCCTCTAGCTGAGCAGTGACGATCAGAGATATGCCTGCTGCTTGCCATTCTGGTAACTTGGATCCATCGTGGTAGGATACTACCATCTAATAACAGAATCGCATTATTTAATCTTTTAAATCGTAGTATTCAAGCACTTTACCTTTGTATGATAAATATATTGTTTGCATACAACTATTATTATCGCTTATACTTAAGACTACTTAAATTACAAATAACAACAATAATCGACTATTCAATGTGCCATCTAAAGTATGAACTTTTAAAATTTACTATACTTAGTTATTTTTTATCGGGGACACCTGTAGAAGGTCGGGTGATCAGTCCGCACCATGAGCTGAACATTTCACCCAATTCCTCCTTGCAGAGGTTTTTGGGTTATCCAAGTCTCACCGTGTCCCCTTCAAACCATCCGACGTAACGTGAGAAATTTTAGTACTTACATAAATATCAAACGGCATACTGGGCTTGAACACTTGCAACTCTCCACCCAAAAAGGTAACAGATAGCGAAGAGTTAAAAATCCTGGCGATGCTGTAACCTTCGTTAATCTCATTCAAGAAAGGGTCTCCCACGGATGCTGTAATTATCACTTCCATGCCATCGAGTGTCGGCACCAGTTGTGCCAGCTCCGACATAGGGTATTTGAAGTCGTAGGTGCCATTAAACTGGGGATAACAAATAAAATCATAATAAGCACTGCAAAAGAAAGTTCAAATTTGTTTTTCTGTCAATTTAGTTTAAAATAATAATGAAATAATGACTACGACACGATGTTAATGCTATGACGTCAACAGCAGATATGACCTTCCTCACCTAAGCGAAGACTGAATTCCCAAGGGAAAGACACAATTCTTAGTGCATATTCAAATTTATCAACATAGTCGCGTGTTAAACAGTTAACTTATCACTTACAAATCTTAAATACGGCAGCTGATCATATCTGGTGTAATAGTTGTAGGTAGACGGGGTGGTGTAGGCGTTGTAGTTGACGTTTCCACCGTTATTCGCGAACTCGATCGGGTCCGGCTTTGGCATCCAGAAGGGGTATTTTTCGTCCTGTAACAGTTAATCACTCTATAAATCTGTATATTGAAGAGTGGTCTTATAAAATTACTATTGAAACATGTTCACGAATAAAAAGTATTTTCTTCACGAACACGTCAGTGAAGAAAATACTTTTTATTATTTTTTTTATTTTTAAAGCATCGATTATAAAAAATATAACGGCGACCTGTCCGTTGGTTATTGTCCATACATTGCTTCCATTATACTAACGAACCCATTAAATTATTTCGAAGATACATCTAGCGAAGAAATACGAGAAACATTTTATCGTCGGAGAGGTAAGCATAAGGTGAATACCCCATGTAAAATCTAAACAAGATGCACAATGACGATGGACCCATTTAATGCCTAGATCTTTTAGACAATGTTTACCATAAATAAATAACGTATAGTTTAGATAGATTTTTACAAACTTGTTGTTCCGACCAATCCGTTCGTTGCTACCATTACACCAACAACTCCATTGGATAGGAGTTCTTTATTGAGAATTTAGTTTTAATATGAGTATTTAGTAAATGTTTTAAGTACTCACAAAGTTAAACAGCCTGGTGACAACCTTCTGTGGGTCGTACCACCAGTCGGGGTGGTCCAACTGGTTCGGTTGTCCCGGTCTATAGTGGATGTTCCTTTGGTTGTACTCCTCTTGTCCATATTCGAATGGTTGGTATCCAGTCTCGTTGTACAAGTATGGGTTGTAGTTTGGCCGGGCTGCAAAAAGGTAAGATCTTTAGGAGTTGGCAGAAATATCGGAATTCAATCCGGGTCACGAACCACCGTTCAGATGAATTGTTTCAGTCTATGGATTTCTGAATAATCAAAGCCAAAATAGGCCAGACAGACATCTTATGATGATTATGATATTAGATGATTACATTTATCTGCCCTGCCTGACCAAAACAGTTTGTCTCCAGGGGATCCAAACCCAGGATTTATCTTGTTCGTTGCGTAATGTAAGCGTGCTATCTATTTATAAAAATAATTAAAGTAGGTAGAGTGAGAGTTACCTCTGGAATAAGGATCTAGTTCCAGTTGCCGCCGTAAGTCTCTGGGACGGTATTGGGGTATGGGACGCAATGTGGCCTTCAGAGTAAGATTGCCGTGGACAGGTGCTCCAGATGTATAATTGGCCATTATCCGGCCATGGATGTATGGCTCCGTGTTGAAGAAGAACGCAGGCATCGTTACATTTACCTGAAGGAAAGAATAAACAAGACTAATTTTTGTTGAAATTTTTTTTATATTAATCAAATTAAACCAAACATTCAACACAAAGAAATTCAATAAAAAATAGATGTATGTGGAGGAACACCACTCAGCTTTTGTTGTACCTGGCAGTAAGCACAACGCCGATTTTCAGTGATGCCTCACGCTTGACATTTGAAGTAGAACAGAAAATACATAACCGACAGATACCACAACAATACAAATACATAAAATAGAAAAAACAATGTTATAAAAGAAAACCACAAAAATACTTATATTTTTAATTTTTTTATAGGTTAACATTTAACAGACTAAAGCGACCTGAAATTCTTTTGCTAGAATTTATTTATAACTTAATATAAGTATTCAGTGAAGAGGCCTTTCGTATTGGAGGGGGTAAGTTGTTACAGCTTCCCCGAAAAGCTATTGTGCGATTTTAAGCATGATCAGACCAAGAAGATAGTCTCTAGATGGTCTAGTGCGGTAAGCGTTGTCGCTTATTTGAATAGAAGGATTGACATTACGGAGATACGATGGTCCTAGGTTCGCGTCACACCCCCCTCCAAATTCCATGACATTACCTTTCAGCAATATAAATCAAACATACTTTTAGGCATATGGATAAACTCATAGTATGACTTACCTCAAACCTAGTCTGATAGTATTCTTCAACGAGGAAACGAGATTCTTCAACTTGCCCGAGAGCTTCAACTCGGACGTACCATTCACCGAATTGGGGCTGTGATGACATCTGGTACTGCAGGCTTACTGTTCCGAAGTTACTCTGTGAAAAAAAAAAAATGGTTAAGTCTGTTCTGGCGAGCTATGATATTGAGATATAATAGTTTTAATGATGCATTGTAGATTTTTATGATAGAGATGGACAGACAATATGGTTGACTGGGTGGAAGACGTAGTACCACAGCAATATACCATCTAATTAGTAAACTCAATAAAAACGAACGCCCTTACTCTACACGCCATTTCTTTTCGTAGACCGTCACGGGTCCATTTCCATTGAATACCTCCTGTTTTTGCTGCCTAATTGTTATCAGTCATATTATAAATCAGCCCGTTTGTGAATCGAATCCACGACCCGTTGATTATTAGCAATGCATTGATACCGTCTATGTCTGACCAAACAATCGGTGCTTACCTTACCCTATTAGTAAAAGGAGTAGGTGTTAAACAGAAGGGACCATTGTTTGGTTGTAAATACAACGATCAAACTAGTATGAAACAATGTTTTTGTAATTTGAGTGTATTTGATCATTTTACAGTAAAAATGAGTTATCAGAAGTATCGTGTTTAAAAATTGATCAAGCTAGATAAATATGCGTTAATTAGGAATGTCGACTGATGTTCACGAGGCTCGAATCCCGGGATTCGGCGAGATGTTAGCACATTAGTATTTTCTATGATGGTCGAAATGTCGATCGCCGCCGGATTTAACATGTTTCTCGTCAATTAATTATATTTCTGTAACATCTTGAAGTTCATTTGGATAACTTAATGAGTTGACGTAAATACTGTCTTCTGTAGTTTACGCGAGTAGTACACATTTAATTAAAAATCGAAAATAAATTGAAAAATATTTCGACTAGGGCAGGACTTGAACCGGCATCGTCAGCGTTCCGTGCTGTTGCTCTACCAATTGAGCTACCGAGTCCTACACGTCATCGTCGAATTTTTTCAACTTATTGATACATGCACCTCTCGCGCAATGTAATTTCAACCTTAACAATTGCATATTAAGGGACGAAGTACACATTTCAATAAGACAATGGGGATACCCCGTGACTACGATTGCTGCATAGCATCCGAAACGTCGGGACGTAATTAAAAATAATTCTCAAACATGTTTAACTAAAATATATCGCGATTTAAACCGTTAAAGTGTTTTATTTCTATGTGTTAAGGTAATATCTAAATTCAGTTTTATTTAAATATTATTTATTACTCCATGTATATCAACACTTTGTTATTTGTTTATAAGGTTTTGTTTAGTTAATAATTCCGTTTGTTGAGCATTTTACGCATCTTGAATGTATGATTAATTACGCTTGAGAGTTGCATATTCATTGGTTAAATATTGTGTTAAATAACACACAAACAAAGATATTTTATTAATATTAATAATAAAATATCTTTGTTTGTGTGTTAGTTTCTACACAATACATGAAACATCTTTAACTGTTTAAAACGCGAATATACTTCGAATAAACTAAAAAAGTACACGTTTTAAGAGTATCTATGGTATAAGTTAATTGTATTATAGAGTAAGCTGATTTGTTTTTTTAATATTTAGGTATAGTATGAAGAACACACTTCCTGTTCAATACTAGCTGGACCCGCGATTTCGTCTACGTAATATAGTTTGGCCATCAACATTTTTTTGCAAACCACTTCGTCTTTATACATTATAGCTGATACCAACGACGTTATACGCGTCCCGTCGTTTTTGCAAGGTTATCTTAAAAGATAGACACATATCGTCGGAAACATTTTTTTAGATCTTTAAAAAGATTTTCTTCAAATTTCGCAGTGCACGCAACGAAAACCCTTAAAGATAAATAATTTTCCTCGTTTATTTTTCACTTTTCCTACAGTTTCTTTGTTCAGATTCAGATTAGCACGCTCAACGCTTTATAACATTAGTACGGACAAGTTACCTGTCTGGAGAGCCAACGCTTCATGATGCGCCGATTCGGGTCCAAAATGTAGACGTCAATAGATCGGCCGAAAGCTTTAAGCTCCGTGTTAATGGGAATCACGCGGAAACGCACTGCAAAAAACCATAATCGTTCTTTATCAATATATAAAGTTGATCATCTCCAGGGCTCAGTAGTTAAACGCATCGCCGGACGTCCTAGGTTCGAATAGGGCATTACAGATTGACCAACTATCAACGTAATTTAAAAATTTAAAATAAAATGAATAATATTAGACTCGGGCAGGACTTGAACCGGCATCGTCGGAATTCCGTGTTGTTGCTCTACCAATTCCATTCTACAATACATGCACCTTTTTTTTTTTAAATTTATTTTCGATTTGTAAATTATATAGTGCCGTCATGTGCAATAACATGTGAAAAATATTAAAGTACTATCAACATATGTAAAAAGCGGACACTAAAACAGACATACACATGTGTCTGCCCCTGACCTTACATAGATCGAGAAGGGAAAACGGTATTTCTGTTTTTATAAGCTAAATATGTTTTCATAACTCTCAAAGAATTGGCATTTTTCTTCCAATGTGGGTTATGTTACATTCTTTAAGAGATTTAAATTAAAGATCCTGTTGGCAAAAGTAGGTTAGTATTAAAATTCTTACTAGAACATAATAATCTTCTTATTGTATTGTTCTTATTCGAATACAACTGAAGGCACATTTCAAATGCATTTTTGATATCAGTTCTTTCATCGTAAAAGACAGGTACGCAAAAGTTCTATTGATTAAAGTAAAATATGAAAATAGTGCTCTAAAACGACTTACTTATCTCAGCCAAGTAACATCTGAGCAAGATGCGTGGTTGACCTATCGAGTCTTTCAACAAGATATTTTTATCGACATAATCACCCTTAATATGAAATATTAAAATTAAAAAGTAATTTTGATCACGACAATAACTAATTAAAAAAAAATCATTGATTGACTCTTTTATTCTTGCCAACCATTTCTTGCTCGAAACTTGTTAAAATTGTGTCCAAGCCTCACCGATTTGTCCCTGCATATATACTGGCTTGTCCATCTGAATGAAGATCGTCATGAAACGCTGAGAGAAATCCAGCTGCGTCTCGTTGACGAATGCATTGCCGCCAAAGGGGTCGTCGAGATACAAGCCTTCTACTCGCAGCTTATAGTCTCCGGGCACTGATGTTGGTGGTACCTAGGATTTTTTCAACAATATTGTTTTTACATGTTTAAAAATACATAAGAGACTCGATCTTAGTATGTACTCTACCAATTTAGATATTAGCCAATCAAAGGTTATATACATTCTGAACCTATGGAAATCAAAAGAATTGATGACAATTTGATGACTTGATCGGGCTTTTATAGTAAGTTTGTAAATTTCTACTTTAAATTGAAGTTAAGTAGTCATGGTTGTATTTAAATTGATTAATATAGTCAATGTTCCCCTCCCATAGGCCATGTATGTTGACAGTATACCATATAAAAATATTACTTAGTGATATCTAATAAGGAAGCCTGTTGTAAAGAATAATTATTTACCCTTAAATTCAGAATCTCAAGTACACCTTCCTTGACACGTTCACTGACATGGGCAATTTCGACACCATTGCAAGAAATGGATGCACGGATAGTCATCTGTAGTCTAGCTCGCAATATATTTGCAGATATCTTATATATCTGACCTGGACGGACCATACGCGATGCTACTATGAAGTATGTTCTAGAAAATTTTGGATAAAAATAAAAAAAGCACAATTTTGATTGTAAAAACAAATTTATGTAGGAAGTGGATATAAGTTGAAATGCCTCAGCCCTTGACACGCACATTGGTGTGATGGTAGACTAATAAACCAAGGGTCCTGGGTCCCACTGGGCCAGCATGTGTATTCTATAAGCAAGAAACACTGCTTAATGAGATATTTTATCTTCCATCAAGTAAACCCTAAACCTGTTATAAAGAAATTAATAAAAATAGTCTGATTAACTATTTTGTATTTAGATATTAAGAACAATAATAAAAATTATTATCTTCCCAGGCTTTGAAAAAAATTGCAAAACCATCCATAATGTCCAGAGAATTAAATACCAGACCCTTTATCCAATACAGGCTGTATAACTACAAAGGTGAATCTTAGCCTATGTAGCAGTCTCTAAACAAGAAACAATTGAAAATACTTACGCTTCATTAATTATAACACTCTCATGCTCCAGCTCTGCCCCCTTATAAGAAGTGCTATAAGTCCGACTGGACTCCCAAACTGGCCGTGGAGTGTTCTCTGGGTTATATGGATTCAAGTCATTCCTATCGTACTGATTGTATCTTTTATCAGAGTATGGATTATCATAGGGATTTCGGTTCTGATTCCGTCTACTTGGATCATATGGGTTATCATATCTTGGGTCATTGGTGTTAAGATAGTCATTTGTAGGGTTCGCTGGGTCTGTGTTGTATGTTTGAGTACCATAATCCTGTGCCCAACATAGTTGTAATACTATTCCGAAATGTATTGTTATATGTACGAGATTCATTGTTCAACCTTTACCTGCAAGGAATCATGTATTTTGTAAACACAATAGTATTTTATCGCAGCCTTTATGCGGCAGGTTTAGTAATAAAATCACTTAAGATTTAAAATTGTAGTTTATACCAAACATTAAGTAACAAAACGTTGTGAAACACTTTGTTTACAGTTTGGCATCAAACCTTTATCGAAGAAAAACATCGTTCAACCACTTGTTGAAGGTGTACTTAGCAAGATTCCATATATGCAAGACCATTAATAGGTCACATTTATAAAGTTTAATACGAGATTATCCTTAATATTAATTTAATAACTTACTTGTTATTTCTGAAGTTAACGCCCATGGAAACGGCTGACTTTGAATTGCTTACTGTATAAATCAGGCACACCGGTGATTGTAAAATTAATATATATAATTTCCGTAAAATATAAAACTTACACTTAATAATAACCACAAGTAATAAGTTCGTTACGCGGTTCCATTACTTTTACGAAAAACTAAAGCCAAACTTGTTTAGCGCAGCCGCACCACACACGGTTAAATGAGTACTTTGTCATAGATAATGCAAATTTTATAGACTTGGTGTCAGAATAAAATTGCCATTATTTATACTTTAAAATTTAAAGTAGAACTATTGACTCCTTGCTATTTGTTTTAATTTAAGCATTATCATCATTATTATTATCGGGCGTAATATATCAAGGGCTGTAAATGTAAAATTTTATTTACGGCAGCTAAGGCACACAGACTATAACATTCTAGACGTTGATGTCACAACGCTAAAATGGCAACATTCTTAATGTCCCCATAATGCCGTTACGGTTCCGGCTAAAGCACTACCATCCATGATCGTGTAGCAAAAAAAAAAACAATACCGCGTCTTATGCATTTACCAATATTCATATTAGAACGTTTTTTAAAAAAGATTTCTGACCAAACTATTTTTTGTACTGTATTTGTTTTTTACTTTGACCAAACCAATATTATCTTTTAAACAATTTAATTAGATGGCACTGCTAGTTCACCTTAAAATAATCCATCACTCATTTCAAATGCTTAAATAAGAATAGTTTTTGAATTTTAAAATATGTTTCTTGTTTATAGCCTTATTTATTGTTATAAGTTTCATAAATATTTAAGTAACTGTTTTCAATGGATGCAATATGGTTCGAATTTTACTATTCTTTTATTTATTGACTATAGGGTGTTCAGGGAGGATTGCTACCTAATAATGACTAATGAGAATCAGGGCGATATGGAAAGCTATTAAAGATAAGGCAAGATTTTTATTATCTTCCACTGAAGCTGATATCAATTTACATTCTATGTGTATGTAATGGTACAGGCACATAAGGGAAACAAAATAAAAAATATTCTGATTAATGAAAGTCTAATTAATTAACCACTGAATTCTCCACAAATCAGCAGGACCTAAACAAAGGAATTATAAAGAAACAAATACACATGAGTCATTGTCGAGTGAATGATACGAACGCGGGGACGGAGTCTCGCTTAACAAAACGGACAAGCCTCCGCTCGGGTCATCGCCTGGGTCTCCACAACATTGAAAACTCAACATACGCCACCAACCAATTTATCTTTTGACAAATAAATCTGTACAAAATATATACTCTGTAATGCTAAAAACTGTAACGCTACCTCATCAATAGTTCTTTCACGATTATTAAATGATTTAAAAACACAACGTTCACGTGCGAGAACAAACATGCCGCGTCGCGCGGGAGACCTATATACAAGTCAACGTTCAACCCTCCTCGGTCCGGTCGCTGCGTCTTATAATTCCGTTGTATCAATTTTATTCGTACAGTCTGTGGCCTTACGATCTAATGCTTGACGCGTCCTTTGCTTATAGTCCGTGCGTGGCATCATAATATACATAGTTGGGTTCGGGCGGGCGTGTGTTAGTTCCGCTCGGACTCGTCGCAGTCGCGCGAGATGTGGCCGGGCTTCCCGCACACGTAGCAGGTCTTGGTGCCGTCGGGGCAGTTGCGCGAGATGTGGCCCGATTTGTTGCAGTTGTAGCACGTCTGGTTGGAGCTGTCCCGCCCGCCCTCGGGGCAATTCCGCGCGATGTGCCCGGTCTTGTTGCAGTTGTAGCACGACGGCTCGTCGGGGCTCTGCGCGCACTCGCGCGCTATATGCCCCGTGCCGTTACATCTGGAAGCGTTGATATCGCCATTAGTCACCACAGAATATAACATAATTTTCAGAGATCACCGACTGAGATAATGACTGGTGTTGTTGATCGATAGGTACCGAGTCGCGAATCGCGATCGATTCGGTCAGGGCCACTCAGTGGAATATTTGCCTATATTAAGTCTATGAATAAATTACAAATGTTGGGTATGAAATTGCTTTGATAGAGGAGTTATCAAGTTATTATTTTTATATTACTAAATTTGAGAGTGTAATATACTGTGTACAAAATGTGTTACATGGACATAATCATTATTAAAACCAAAGCTACTTTCAACAAGGGGTGGTAGGAGTCAAGTGTCACAAACAATTTGGCCTTCTTAATTTCCTCTCACACTGATTAGTTTGAGTTAGTATCGAGGACGTTTTAATGAATGCACCTGTAGCAACGGTCGGCCTCCTCCTTGCAGTCACGGGCGAAGTGTCCGGTGCGGTTGCATTTGAAGCACTTCTCGCGTTGTCGGTTGAAGCCAGAGTCGCGTGACGCGACGCCTCCCTGTGTGCACTCACGGGCAAAGTGCCCTGTGCGGTTACACTTGTAGCATACACTTGAACTCATCTCTGAAACAATAAGGGCAGCCAATTACAAAATGTACAACAGTTTACTGCAGAAATTTTCACACTCTTCTAGTGTAAGTTACTTAACATTTAGGTATTTTATAATGAAGAATAATCTAACTATAATTTAATAGTGATTTCAAACGATACATGATAAAATATAATATTTTACAAAGTACATGACTTTTATCTGATTATTTTTTTTTCTGTAAATCTTATACATTTTCTCATAGGTATAATATTTTCGTTAATATAGACTGGATGATGTTCAAGCATCTGATATGGAATTTTAGTAGGCTATTTTTAAAAGGTATTCAATTAATTCGCAGGTGTGCATACACCTGTTTAAAATGCATATCTTTACGATCCGTTTGCTGTAAACGCGAGCACGGGTTCTAAGAATCGAATAAGGTTTCACGAATAATTAGTGAAAAGCGAACATTTGTAATTGTATTCGCTTTATCTTTTGTTAATGAAACGAAGGTAATTAGCGGTAAACTAAGTTTAATATCACGTATTATCAAAAGTATTTAAAATCATCATAAAAACAATGGACAGGTTTATAAATTGACTAGGAAAATACAAAATAATTAAAAATTATAACATACATTGAATAAGTATAATTTAATATTTCGAAAACAACGTATGTCCTCTATAATTTTCATCGTCATCTTTTCTAAGAATGCTGTAGCATTGGCATCGAACCCGCTACCCGTTTAACCCGCATCCGAGCAACGGGTGCGTCAAAAGCCTCAATTAACTTTCACCTGCACGAGTTATATTTAAACAATTTCCGTTACACGGTTGCATCTACTTCGGAAGTCGAAACGAGTTTCGTCACTTCTGATAACGTACCGAACAATGACCTCACGAGGCTAGGGCTTCGCCACACTAGTCATGATCTATGCGAGAGCTAGGAATTAAAGGTCAAATAGTAGCAATTAGTGGTTATTAAAATGTGGCATCAAACAACACGAAAGGACCCTCGATCAATTGTCGTGAACACATTTCGATAAGCGGACGAGATACAGGTGGTTGAATTAATTGTACTTCACGGACCTGGCATAGTATTGGTATGCCGAATTACAAACCCTATTCCTTGCTCTACTACAAAGCTATCATTACTTCGGACCCCTGGCCTGATGTAGCACATGGTATTTACAGCGAAGTAATCATAAAATTACATAAAAAGCCGTTTTTTTTCGTCAAACTGTACAGTGTTTTTATTTTAATATGTTGAAACTAGATTAAAGTTATCTTTCAGTACAAGTTTTAACTTAAAAGTTACGCGTATTCAAATGAAATGGAATGTGACCAAACCTGTCGTGTCTTATTTACATATTTTATAATAGTAATTGTGTCACAAATTTTAAGGATGACAAAAACGCGGAGGTCTAGTTCACAATGCACCAGGTTTACAAATAATACGCAATGTAATAGTTCATATGGTAAGTTGATGCGTCGGAGCAGCTATTGGTTTATCTAGCTAACAGGATGTTGTCTAAGCTAACAAATCTTTAATATGCAATGGGAATTTATTAAATATTATTATATGTATGTCTCTCTATGTCCCCCCCCCCGTGACTATGTTTACCGCAAAGCATCTTGACGTGACAGATGCTTTGTGCTGCAAAGCATCTGTCACGTCACCAATTGTTAAAATAAATTGATAAGCGAACCACTACATTCGCGTTTTAAACCGTTAATAGTGCTCTATTAAAATGGCTCTTTATTAATTGACAAATCATTAAGACACCGTCATTGAACGACCTCCTTTCTGGACTTTCGTTGACACGACCAGCGGTCGTTACCCCGTCTTGCGTCCCGCTCACACGTTTGCAAGTGAAAGAGAATGCATTAGAACTGTTATTTGCACCGCGCCGCGTATTCTTGACCCTGCCTGATAAGTGCGGGCGCAATTGTAGAGCGTATGAAACAAATTGGTGAAGAGGACGATTAGCGCAGCTCCCTTCTTCAGTGACAGATGCAGTATAAACACGTGCCGCCAACGTGTAGCAGCGATTTAGGAGCAAAAGACTACTACATGAGAACTATACAGAGTCAGCAACAATAATACAACTAGTGTTTGTTTGCTATTTCAAATGAATAGGTATGCCATTAGGAGTAACTTATGTTTAAAAAAAAATTGTGCTCTAGAAGGATACTTTTTGAGTCTCTTTTGCTAAGAGCAATTCAAATGAAGTTTTCTTTTATAAATTTAATTACAGTTTTTGTTAAACCGGTATAGAAAGGTTAGTTTTGCGTTTAACTTACCAATATGGAGAACTAACAAACAATTGTAAATACAGTGTTGTGTAAATATTACTAAAAAAGACCAATACTAAATACCTAAATCGAATTGGCCATGCCTGTACAAAATAGTCTTTCTTTTATTTTACTATATTCAGAACTCTTTTGACTATTATCTGTGATAATTAACATACCTTTATTACACTTAATATGGTTATCTTCTTCACTGCCTAATAATGTACATTATTGTACAGATAATAATACAATTCATAGTCATTAATTGACTACTTATAATCTATATCTTATAGCATAGATATGATTTTATTGATATTTGCCACTATACATAAATGAATGACAATGATAAAAGGACATATTGATTCAAATTTTAAACACTTGTACACATTTTAAATGTTGAGAACATAAAATGAAGTTAATGGGCCAGTTGTAAAATCAATATTATTAATAAAACTACTAAAATTAGTGGATAAGCTAAACATGAATTTAAACGGTCTAGTTCTGCAATACATTAAGAATTAAGGAAGTGAAAAAACTTTATTAAAGACTTAACACGTCTTAAGATTATAATATCTTCCTAAATGGGTAGGTTAGCATGAAGCTGTAATTCCATATCCTGTAGTATGAAACATTAAACTTCAATACACACATGATCTAAAGCAAATATTTAGGTTATGTTCCAGAAATTAAACCATAGTCAAGGTATTTATGTGGAATGAGTTTCAGCAAGTCATTTACGTCCTAAGCAGTTAGCACGCAACATTATATACTTGTTACTTGTGTTTTCCCACTATGACACTACAATGCGTCACAAGAAAGCTGATTACATGGCACTTACGAACAAATATCAAACGAACGATAGGACTTCTCTAAAATCTCGCTATTGGAATTTAGTAAGATTTTCACTAGGAAAAAAAAACTCAACAGATACCTTTAATTAATTGGCTTGGATAAGAGCTGTCAAACAACCACGTTCAATAAACAACCTATTCCACCTTGTCGCTAACTAGAATTACGTTATTGCCTCGCCTTCAACACGATGTTACAACGGCCCTACAGTATTTCCCTTGCTGATTAATAATTTTGAAATTAATTTGTCAAGAACGCGCTGAAACACTTGAACCACGTGTATAGTACCGGTGCCGCGCGTATCACATAACTTTATTTCACTTTGCACTTACCGTTTTGTTGTTTGATAACTTGAGCACTTAAATCACTAAAAGAACTACTTTCTCTACAGTAAAATAGTGCTAAACTTTACAATTTACACGTAATTAAATGAAGCTATATCTGCAAAGAAGCCAGCCACCATCACTACGGATTCGTAAAAGACATTTTGAGCATAGACACAAAAATAAAAAAGTTTACGACGCCCAATGACAGTATTTTCTTGCCATATACAACCTATATTTTGAGCTTTGGTTTTAAAGCATGCTTTAATTATTGGTTTCTACAAGCATTTTAATAAAGAGACAAAAAATTATAAATATAAATACAGTTTTATTATGATAATAATTATTTAAAAAGAAAGAAAAAGTTATTCATCGACTAAACACAATGTTACTTGCCTTTGACAACAACAAAATGTATCAAGTGCCGCAACTAGCTCACCTATTCCTCACTATATCTGTGCACCGATGTCTAATTTGTAACTTGTAAACATTTTTTGATTTTGCAAAATACCTACATGTTCTTCCGTTAAACAGTTTTATAGGGAGAATGTTTAATTGCCCTTATTAAATAGGAAGAAGATGTCTGGTTATTTAGAAGTGAAATACCCGTTCAAATCGCACCTCGTCGGGCTAAATCCCTTTAAGGTTCGTGAATTTCGATCGATGCGAGGGATTTTAACCAGCGTCATTATAGTTGTTTGTTTTTTACAGTCATGGAAGAAACAATGGTGCATTTTAAGACCTAGTGTGACTTGTAAGGGTGGCGGGTCGTTAGCTGTATATTGTAGTGAGGCTGGAGCGCCCGCGGGAACAGTGGAGCTGCCAGCAGGCTGTTCTGTGAAAAGGGCGAAGTCGCGTACCAGACCGCATGCGTTTGCTGTATTTTCCCTTGACTCGCCGTCGAAGCCGCGCATTTTACTTGCCGCTCAAACCCTTCAAGAGGCGCAAGTATGGATGGATAAAATTCGTGACTTATTGAACACAGATAAATTAAGGGGTAAGTTTTTATGACTATATGTTCAGTCTGAACTGTCATTATTGCCTTCCAAATGTATACATGGCATTGTTTGGTAATAATTTAATTTAAAAAGTGTAGTATGTATTTATGTTCCCATGTTTGTAACTATGTAATTTAAATGATTAATTAATAGGCTAACTCTCTCTGAGCATTACTGTAGAGATAAAAAGTGCTCTACAAATAAAAACATGCTTAAAATAAAACTTTTAAAAGATTTTTCTTGCACAAAACTAAAACTTACAAAAAGATCATGTACTAAATTCTCCTTCTTTCTTAAACTAAAATAATAAATAATTAATACAGTAGTTTTAGTATGGTAACGTTCTAGAACCGTTTTCAATACATGACTAATTATTTCCTCATAGATTCTATATGAATGGATACTTTGATTAAAACATTCCATGCGACCATGCTACATTTTCACCTTGCATATTGACATCATCATTCAATGCTAATTCTTATTGTTGAATGTTGCATTTGTTTGGTCTTTCCTGTTTTGTCATATACTCTTTGTGAGGTCCTAAGCCTATAAACAGTGTTTTTTCTTAAAAAATACTGTTTATAAGCTGCTTCTAAATTTGATGATCAGGACAGTCTGTCACACATATTAGTATCTAGTATTCCTGCCTAAATTATCTTTGATGCTGCTTGGTTTTTAAAATTAAATTAATTTCGTTGAACTTATTTCTAGTCTGCTGATATATTGCATAAGTAAATACACTAATATATATATATATATATTAGTAGTAGTCTACTAGAAGTACAATTCAGCACTTTTTTTTACTTTATATTATTTAATTTACTTTCTATTTTCTTTTTATATTGAAATATAATATTTGTAAATTATATATGGCTTATCCAACATTTATGTGTCCTATGCTTTCATTTAACAATTCAAAGGCCTTAGACAAAATCAATTCTTCCTAACTAGTATTAAACATTCAACTATATTTTTTTACTTGTGTCTCTAATTCTACTGCATGTGAAGATTTTGTCTAAAGCTATCAAACCTGCTTGGTTCATCTCATTTCAGGCTCCGAATCATTACTAAAAGATTCATTTCCTGTAACGGTTCTTGCTACTGAACTATCCAGAAAGTGCGGTCTCATGACCGACAGTGTACTCACACTGTCTTCAGCTGGGTTGCTAGTGTCGCAGATGACTGCCAGCACAAGAGTAGACTGGCAACACATAACTGATGTGCTACTGACAAGGGAGAATGGGGACATGAATAAAACTTGCACTCTTAGTATAGATAGGTGCGTTTTTACTAATATATTTGCATTATATAAGGTTAATATAAAAGATTATGGGATTTGTTTGATAGATAAAAAATATACTTGTTGCAAATGAAGAAGTAAGTTTTTACGCCGCAATAGAAAAAATAACTAATTGTTTGATAAGGTACTTAAGACAAAATACTATTTGATACAAAAATATTTAGTTAAGCTAGAGTTTTTTATGAGTACTAGTAACAATATTGTTACGAAGTTGCGTTAGTTATTCAGTATTCAATCGAATTTCATTTCAGACCTGTTTCCCAATTATGACATGCCGCTCATTACATCAATTTCATAATTCATACATTCATAACGCGTGACGTCATCGTTTTCATTTTATCCTCATAAATGAAACAGTTGGAAAATCACTGCGGTGGTACCAAAACATTTCCGGATTATCTAACAATAACTTCAATTTCTATATAATAATTTTAATTCTATTTTCAGTGGTTTCTCTCAGGGCTGTGGGGAAATGAAGTTCTGTACTCCATTAGCAAATGAACTGGTGAGTGCGGTGCGCCAGGCGTTAAGTGCGCGACACAAGAAACTCAGTCGGAGTGATGGGGATTTGAGAAGAGATGATATAGGTATTATTTTTTTCTGTTGGGGGCATCTATAGGGATATAGCTAACCATTTTCCCATTTCCCCTTTGTGAAGTGGAATGATATAAGATTGTACCTTATTAAACCTCAATGTTAATTTAGTATGTTTCTTATTTTTTTGTTGGGGTCATAAATTGATGATAGATTGACCAGCACACACAAACTGCTGAGATTTCTGTCACCCATTACAAAAAAAATATTTAATTCTTATATCCAAAGCCAATATAGGTCGACACCATAAACACGTCCTTCTATAACATAAACAATATTTATTCAATGGATGTCATGTTGACGTTTTTCAGGCGAAAATCGCCGCACGAGCTGGTACAGTGGACCTTCTGAAATATCTCTAGACGACACGGATCTCATTATAACTAAGGTATATATAGATAATGTTTTATAAATATCTATTTTAAACTTAAAATACGTTGAAATATGTATAAAAAAATTAAGTTTGATTAATGGTTCAATGGCTTGCCTTAAATTAATACTTGAAAAAAAATTTTTTTCGAAATTTTATTTTTCGCCTATTGTCAATCTACTAAAAATCTTGCTAGGTACATAAGATTACAATGTGTGTATTGCAGGACTATCACAGTATCCCTGATGGAAATCTCTCACGGTGTCCCGAGCTGAACTGTGAAGACAAACTCACTCCGCTTTCTCCTGATGACAGGTATTTTATGCGTGTTTTTTTTTTCAATATTTCGGTAAGAACGACATACCCCATCGGAGTCGCATTAATAATTGCCTTATACATTATATGGTCATCTAAAAGGTCATAAGTTAAATTGAGTAAAAGAATAGATCAATTGGTTAGAGAACAAGCACAGATCGCTGCGGGATGCCAGTTCAAATTCCACCCGTGTCAACGATATTTTTAATGTTAACTCAACATTTTAGGCAGGGCACACAAAGCTGTCCGTCTTTAAAACAATCATCCTTGCTACTCTGCCTTAATATTTACATGCCATAATATGTTATATAAATACATTATCATAACAATAAAACTACTCACATTATAGAACGTTTTCTCATTCTATGGCTTCGTATCATTGTGGTTATACCTTCACAGTGTGTGGTCCCGTCGATCTACAGTCTCCGTAGTGTCCGTCTCGTCCGGGGTCTACGAAGAGATAGCGGAGGAGTGGTCCAGGTGCGACGTCCGCAACGTCGACCACACGTACGAGTCCGTCGAGTGCGTGTACGGCACGATGCGGAGGGCGGGACGCCGCGGGGCTCCGCCCTTGCCCCCCAGACAGAACTTTGGGTAGTTGTCTATTGTGTAAATTATTTAATCACGATTTTATAGATCCGTGATAGATCACGGCGGTCTAATTCTGTTTGATTTGTGGTAAATGTCCTATTTTTAGATTATAGTACATGGTAATACCTTCGATGGATTTCCTTGGAAATCACATATTAACTTTTAGTTTATACATAAACTATAATATATTATTTATCTTATAAACTTCACTTTGTCTAAAGATAGAACTGAATAGAGGTATACAGAGATCTGTCAACTTTGCCACATGGTCAGTCCATGGAGTAGGTGATCGACTCCGAGGTCTTTTGTCCTCGAACTTTTCATCAACAACGAGGTTTTATAAGGCAATATCACCAAAGTTGCTAAGGACTTTTTGGTAACAAGTAGTTGATAGTTTATTCCGGATATGCAATTGTTCGAGAATCGACTTGTTTGTAATTTATTATTTACTTATTACATTATGCACTTTTATTTTAATTATAAACGTCTATAAAAAGTTTTGGAATTTAAACTTGACTCGTTTCTCTCGCCAGTACGATGAAGCTAGGCCAGTGGAAGAACGGCGGCGCAGTAACAGGGACAGACAGCACAGTCACGAGACACAGTTCGTTGGGCTCCTTGCAACACTGCACTAAAGGACATCGCTATAAAGGCACCTTCAGTGTCTTCAGGTAATGGAGAGATTTTTTTGTGTTCCACTGAAAAAGAATCGTTAAATTCTGCGGTTTTTTTTCATTGATTACAATTCCTCCATTTCCATTGCAGGAAACGTCTAAAAAGCGACTCTCGCGTGACGTCACCGAAGTCCGAGAAAGAGACAAAAGACAACGAAACAAAAAAGAAGAGATTCGACTTCACACCCACGCGAGACATCTTCAAGAGCTTCAAGGTCAACAGGAAGATGAAGAATCTCAAAATCACAGGGAACCTGTCAAAGGGCGAGACGAAGAGTTGCGAGTTCTTGGACGAAACGGAACATGTCTCGACGAAACGCTGTTCCAAGTCCGTTGAGTGTATCGAGAAGTTCGACGATTTCGATGTTTCACTCGAAATTAACGAGACAAACTTGTCCGCTCTGGCTTTGCCGGAGGAAATAGTGGAGTTGATATTTGGCAGTGAGAAGATATTGGCGACGAATTATGAACAGAATGAGAACGAATATATGCCAATGTCGCCGATAGTACCGCCGCCGCCGATAGAACAACACTACATAGTTATGTCGCCCAAAGCGAATATCGCTTGACTTTGAAAAACAAGAAAACAAATTTAACTTGGACTCGAAATTATTTAGTGACGTTTTGTTCGAAATTTCAACTCAAGAAAGACTATTCGACTTTCTATAGTCTAATCACCAAGATGAGTTAGAGCGGTTTTCTTCACCGTCATCAAACAAAAAAAAGTAATTTTTCCTCCCAACTAACTGATTTTGGTGAATAGATAATATCATTTTTTTATTTATTTTGCTTTAGAACTCATTTCCTTAGTTTCAACTCTCAAAAGTGACGCTGCGCATATTATGACGTGTGTGGGCCTATAATTTCATAAGTGTATAGCTTTTCGATTTTGTTTTGTATATTTTGATTAAAGTAATATATAGTAACGCTTAAAAAGCAAATGAGCATGTAGATGTGAACCTAAACATGTCTGTACCACGGAATCTCATCTAATCCTGCTTAGCCAAACCGACGCAAAGAAAATTCGAAATTACATAAAAATTTAATTGGCTTATTTCGCTTTTGTTTCGCAATTTAAACAGTTTAAAATTAACTATTGCTTCTTTGCCTTAACTTAATGCTAGTAGGCTTACTAATAAATTTGTTATAGTTATTTCATCTATTGTTCTCTTCATTTAAATACGCTCAACAAAGACATTTGTTATATTATGATGTATTTGTTAGTAAGACTATATTGATCTTAGCTTAAATCACTGCCAAACGTAGGTTATTGATAGAAGATATTTCACTCGCTTAAGATAACATAATTTGTGAGTAACATAATCTAAAAGTTATATGAAAACTATTTAGAATAAAAATGTGGGGAACGATGTTTTTGACCTGACAAGAGAAATTGAAAAAGCCGCGAAGGACTTAGTAAGATTAGGATTATAATTACAGTATTATACAGTTATTTTATTATCGAACTGAAACTAAAAACGGTGGTTGTTGGTAGAATTTACATTAAACTTATAGCTTTGAAGCTTGTATAGTGTTCGTCGTAAGGGTAATATATGGCATAGACAAAGGTATGTAAAATATTGTGTTTTTTAAACTATAGTCAACTATAATGCAGTTGTTTGAAGTCGAAAGACATTTCATCAATTCGAACATTTTCTGATTGAATTCAAGGGTTTTGTTAACACTACCACTCGAAACCACCTTAAAATATAATCTTGGATATAAATACATACAATATAATTTATCATAGGTCAAAAAGTTTTGGAGTTACCCGACCCAATTTAGTTAAGACTGCTGTGTTGTGATGTATTGAGCTTACGCTTGTGAAACGTGATATAGGCTTAACATTTTTGAAAAAATATAAAAATCGCCCATTTGCATTAAAGGAATTGAAACTCTATACACAATATATTAGATCCATTTGACCCAAACCATTGTAATCGAATAACATATGAAGAAACTAATTTCGAAAGAGTCAAGAGTACTAATTCTCCATAAGTCTATCACCACAACGAGTTAATAGAGCGTTTTCTTTCTCTCACAATCCTCTACAAAGAACAAGGACAGAGAATAGCAGTGGGCGTCACCCTTACATTTTCTATTAACTCGAAATAGTGAAGATTAGGTAATTAGAGATGAGAATTAAGACATTGTGATTTGATGACAACTATCCGAAACTATGTGTGAGTCTTTGATATTTCACAAGATCTTTAACTGTTTTATTTATTCTCTCATATATATAATAATACATAGTTTCGGATTGTTATAGACAGTATAGCTTCGCAATTATATTGCTTCACTATCGCCGAACTGAGTTATTTGATGTCGAAATGGTACAACAAGATGAAAATGCTTTTTATATAATTATTCTCAACGAAAACTGCTAGAGCGATTTTGATAAATTTAAACCAACATATCTTTCGATATCAAACAACACATTGGGTGTGTTAGGCTAATGATTAGTATTAGGTACCTACTTAAATTAATTACCGTGATCTCTCCGTGTGATTTTGTTAGGTCGACGAGCTTTGATGTTAGTGTTGTGCTATACGATAGAAAATGTAAGAGACAAGATACAGGAACTTCTAAAAATACCTATATAACTTTGTAGTTGATTCGCGTAGTACACATTTTAATAACACACTTTTAACGGTTTAATACGTGAATTATATTGAAAAACATCCAAAGGGCCTGTTGGTACTTGAAATATATTTTAAAATTTATTTAATGTATTTCGCGTTTCGAACCGTTTAAAATGTTTTATGTAATGCAAAAAATTGCGTAAATTTTTTGTCGTTAAAAATTAACATTATTTGTCTCAGATTTATTCAAAAATTGCCTAAATATGTTTTGTTTCATTCTCTCATTTGATTTATAAATTGTGTTAGAGAGAACTTGTCTACCACGCCATTCCCTTTGTTATGAGTATTATTTTTATATATTTTTTATTGATGCGATATCGTTGTTAAGATCTGATTGGTTTTGTGAGCGTTTTCTTAATTTGACGATGGACCAAAAATGTTTTGTTACTATTTCGATGCGCCGCATCACGACGTATAAACAAATGTTTGAACTAGACACTTGTGTTTTTATTAAAAATCCTTTATTTCACATATTTTGGTACTAGGGAATCACGTCTATAGAATGTTTAAACTATTTTTTTTAAACAGCTAAACTATTTTCAAACTCGTTCTTGCTGCAAAAACATTTAATCATGTCCTTTATTCAATCTCCATACGTATTGTTTGAAAGGATTCCACAAGTACTGAATACTTAATTGAATTTAATAAAACCACGAAATGGTCGTGACTTCGCGTTCAGTTTGTATCATTTTTTTTATTCAAAAATAAGACAACACAATTGTAAATTATATTCATATAATATTGTAGGGAGTGCATATTTTTACAATAATTGTTCGCGTTTGGAGATCTATAGTTACGTACATTATTATTTTGGTAGTTTACATTTTTCTTGGATTCAATACCTCTTAAAGAACAGTCTAAGCAACATATAATTGACATTAAAAATAGAAAACCAAGCTGTTCGCGTTTTACCGATGTTCAAGCTTCAAGTCCATCATCACCTGGTGATGACTCGACAGTTGTGACGTCATCACAACTCGAAATCATCTCATCGTGACAGCCGAACAGTGCGAAGACCCAAATAATATTTCATATCAAATATTTGCCAAATAGCCCGAAAGCCTTATAATTTTAAAATAAGCATTTTTTAAAACGAATACGATATAAAAATACATTCATAAGATCGTAAAACTTATAATAACATTTAAAAAATTAGCTCATCTTTGTTAGCTCAAACAGAAATAAAAAAATAGTAGTTCGAGATTCAATACCATAAATATCACCAAAATTAAAAAAAAATAGAGAAATTAAAGCCAATAATACAAATTATAACAATATTAAACACAGAGAATCAATAGATGAAGCTGAAGAAGATGAGCTATGAAAAACAAGATATGTTGCCGCCCTATTTTGGAAATCAAAGGACTGAAACCGAATCGTAGACATGGCTTTTCCATCAGTTCGCTTCGTGATACAGGTAATTTCTTACGAGCAATTCAACAACCAGATGAAGTTTACCATGTTTTAGGGCAATTATAAATAGATTCTTGAAAGGTGTTGGATCCGGTGGAAATCAAAGCGAAGACATTAGCTATAATTTAGCATCTATTAATACTCTGTCTGTTTCATATCGGAATGTAATTTCAATTGTACAAATTAAAATTTTCCTTTAAAGTAAAAAATATTAAATACATTAATAATACTTACCTTTTCACATAATACAATAAATAAAAATACATATTTAGAAAAGTCACAAAATTTTATACAGTGGCAACATTAATTAACGAAATACAACATAAAAGAGATCCGCTTTACTTTTTAATTTTAATTTCTTTTATTTAGCCTCTTTGCATAAATGATAAAAAATATTTACTTAGATATATTGAACGGTTTAATAATGTTGATAGGCATTAAGGAATGTCTGTAGTTTAAGCGAGTTTTTAAAACAATTTTAACGGTTCAAAAGCAAAATATATCAGTTAACTTACTCTTAAAATAATTGAATACTGGTCCGACGTTCCGAAGAAAAAAGTATCTCTGCCAGCATCAATATAGAGAAAGGGCTAACTAATATATTTTGCGTTTTAAACCGTTAAAAATAATATAGTAGTAGTGTAAGTATGTAAATTTTGATATTCAATTAACTACTTTCTGGTGGTGACTAATTTGACCGCCTCCCGTCAATCATTCAGTGTGTTTGCCTGAATTGCGTTATCTACGAGAAGTCCTGGCCTCAAATTCCAGAGAAATGAAAAATTGTTTTGGCAGGGCACAGAGCTCTGCCTACCTACTTGTAATAAATAGACACAGAAAAGAAGTGTTCGTCCCATGCATCACATACGAAACGGGGTTTTTTACATCTTGTATTTAATATATACTATTATAAGAATCTTTGTCAGTGAAATTTGTAACGGTGCATGAAAGCTAAAATAGTTTTTTAGGTAAGGGTTGTGGATAAAATGTTTTAAAATTTCCTAGACCACACGTTGAATGAACCTGAATTCATTTCAAAATTGCTGTTTTAATGAATGTATGAATAAATTTAATTTATCGGCCTAGAAAATGTTTCCTCAAAAGCACTATCGCTATGTATTCAATAAAATTATCAATGCTGAAACCTTTTTTAGGCATGGCAATACTTTTGTACATGGAACCAAATATGATTTTGTTTTGTCTACTATCTATGGGTTAAATAACCTCCCACTCACTGTCCAAGTGGTCATCTGGCGAGATCAAATTCAAACCGTCCCTCATACCTTTCTTGATTTCCATTCTCAATTCTATACCCTCCAAATTCCAATTATTGGGCAATTGTACAACTTTTGGAACTAGGTCATTAATCTTTTCCACTTTCTTACTCAAAACCTTATCTGTAGATTTCTCATTGTCTATGGGCTTTATCCCCTTGTCTGCAATCGGCAAGTCATTCTTAGTTTTAGTCTGTTTTGGTTGATCGTCAGTTGTTTTGAAAGCATCCGTTGAACTTGTCATGCTAAGAGATTCTAGGTTGAGCATCTTCGCTAATATCTTTTCTTTCTCTTCAATTTGCTTCTCGAGTTGTTCGTCGTTTTGATCAGGATTGTTTCTGCAAAAAGTAGATTATATGAAACCACTTAAACTTCGAGATATAAAAGTTGAAAAATGATATTAATGAACTCTTTGGTCCTGAAATCAATTTTCAGCAAGTCCATAGTGTGAATAAAATGTATATTAAATGTTTGATCCGTCCGTCTCACGGACAAACGTCCACAGATGTCGTTTTCCAAGTATCCAAAGCCAAATTGCATCAATAGAAGATATATCCCCACCAATAGGAGATATGTCCTCTGCCATAACATTATACATACCCATAAATGCTAACGTTCATTACACAGGGGCTGGTGTAGCTGATGTCTCTGAAAATTAAACAAAATAACGTTAAATAATAATTGGAGCAAGTTAAAATACCAAAGACTATTTTGAACGTGTTACTTCATTCGCGGCAATGATAATATCACCGTTTAAATAAAATGTGACTATTAATAAATTCACAATGATTTTAACTATTATTCGACGAAACAGCTTGTCCGAATAGTTGGTATAGCAAATTGATCTCGAGTGATAATTCATGAAAACTTTATTAATATTCAATACATTACCTGGATCTACTTCGCACAGGGGTTGCCATCCTGGGCGTGCTCCCCCCGACCCAGCGTCCCTCCTCCGACTCCTTCTACTATGGATCAGCTCGTCATCATACTTCTTCTCCATTATGCTATTATACAACTTGAGCTTCCGCTGCAACTCTTCAGATTTCACCCTCCGTATCTCCTCCACGTCACTCGAGACGTCCTTGAACTCGTTGATAATAGATTCTAGAACGTTGTCGGATATGTCGCGCGGGAGGTGCTTTATGGGCGGTAGTTCGAAGCACTCCTCTCCATTCGGCACGTTGTCTATGGTCTCGTTTCGCGTGAACATGGCGATCGGCTGTTCGAGCACGCTGGTGATGTAGGGCACCGTTTGGTCTATGTGCGTGATGTCGCAGACCGTGTTCACCGCTTGTTGGAGAGTCGTGAGCGATTTGGACATCGGTTCATCTGTTGGTACGAAGTGATATGGTTGGCCTATTAACGGGCACGAGAAAACTACACTACATATCCTACGAAATAATATAAAAAACATGCTATACATGTATCTTGTTTATTTTTTGCAGATTAGAGTAAGCATTGTAGTTACTACGACAAATGTAAGTTCCTAATCAAATAATTATAAAAAAAATAAATCCGTTTTTAAGATAATTAAGATCAAGTTGTTTAACATTTATTAAAGGGTTAAGTAACTCAACTACGTACGTCATCTGCAATTTTGGAGTAGTTCTTTCAAATAGTAATAAAACAAATTTTCTCAGGCACATTTCCCACATAGTCTGATGGAAATCCAGAAAATTTTCTTATACTGAATTTCTACTATAATCTATGTAAAAGCGACATCCAACATTTGCTCACAAACAACACCAACAAGCGGTTTTAGCCCCAGCGTAAAAATCGAAGGTATTAAGTAAGTAAGTAAGGTAAGTGGTAGAGGTGTACAAAAATAAAAATGCGGAAATAAAACAGAAAACGTATATTAACGAAGTACAATGGCCTTGCTGGTATCGTTGTTTACAAAACGCTGTCCCTCTCACACGTATGGTGAGCGAGAGAGACGGTGTCGATTTAAATGTACGTATTCAATAAAACGAGGTTGTCTCTTTCTTTCAACTCGCTACAAAAGACAAGGACACAGAATGGTTTATTTTCTTTTCCCTATTAATTCGTTTCTGGGTGAAGAATTCAATAAGCGACAACATATTAAAGTTTCTGCGTCTAGCCAAAGGAACGGACAAATAAGAGTTTATAATTCGATTGAATATAGTGTTTTAAATATCATTGCTTTGCAAAATAAGACGCTAGCCTTCGCGTGACGTTTAAATAACAATTTAACCGGGTTTTGGAGACAAAAACACCAATGTCAGTGTTCCAGCTAAGCCCGACAAGGGAGTAGCATTAAAATAACACACTAACGGTTTAAAACACGGATTATTTTTGAGCGAGACCTTTCAGATACTCTGCTGTAAATGAGACAATATAATCAGCATTTTAAATCGTTAATAGTGTTTCATTAAAAATATCACTCGTAAATTTGTTAACGCTCTGTACATCCAACATCATACTACATACGCAAAAACCGTTAACAGTACGTACTTTTAAACCGACACATTATCAACCTAAAAGACTAGAGCTAAAATTCCTGCGTTTATTTACTTACTAAATATACTTGTATATAATAGTAATGACTAAAGTTAGTTATTGTCTATGTATGCACCGAGATTTTAATGATTTGTGAGATTTTGAGACTTAATAAAAAAAGTAGAGTTTAACTTAAACAAACCTAGAAAATACTGTCTATAGTTTACGCGAGTAGTGCACATTTAAATAAAACACTTTAACGGTTTAAAAGGCGATATATTTAAGTTAAACTTATTTGAAAATGATTTTTAAATTCAACCCGAGGTTTCGGACGTCTTCCAGTGACCGTTAAACCGTTAAAGTGTTTTATTTAAAAATATTTCTATTTACCATTTAATTATATGATTCAAACCTTGGACCTGTCTATTGTGCTAAACGGCTAATGTGTAAAATCAATTTAAGGAATATTTTATCACAAAAAATGGCGTTCTATAGACGTAAATGCAAAAAATAACATGCAATAAAAACAGGCTCTAAGTACAAGAGTCAGACGAACAAAAATGCTTTTAGGAATGATTTCAAGTATCAAAACTATTCACTTTACAAGTGATCAATTGATCATAATACTTTAAAAGGACGGGAACTATGAAAGATAGCACTGCAAACAATACCTGCCTTATAAATAAGCATGTAGACAAATAGATATGTTTGTCTCTGTTACTCAAAAGTCATTTAATCAATTTGGCAAAAAAATGCAACATTTTTTTTTTACTTTTTCTATGTATGTATAGTGAACGGGTTCGTATTTTTTTTAATTAAAGTTGTATTATACACAATAAAAATATTGTCTATAGAAGATTTTTGAGCTCCATGGGACAGAAGTAACTTTAAATTTGGCTCATTATAAATACTTAATAGTTGTTTCAGTTGAACAGGATTATCAAATCTTCACCATGAGAACTTGAATGAATAAGACAAACATAGCACAACATACCTAAATTCAATCTTATCTGATAAGGCAGTCGAGGTATATGGAAGCAATAACTTTATTTTGCTAAGTGAATTAATACATTCTTTAACTTAGATTAGCTAAACATTTATAAGCCGAATACACACGGCTTTAAAAATCACAACAATATAAGTACTTAGTTGTAAAGTTTAAAAAATATACTCTCTAGCACATTGGCCCCATTTTGGTATGTTAAAAGGCACTATATTTTTAAACATGACTTAACATTAATTAAGTACCAATGAATATACATATATACATGCAAAAGCACGGTTGTGTCACAATGTCTGTTTGTATAACAAAAAATAGGTCGGTAGATTGTTATCTGCCTGTTAAATACTGTCTGTAGTTTACGCGAGTAGTACACATTTAAATAAAACACTTTAACGGTTTAAAACGCGATATACATGAGACAAACTTATTTGAAAATTATAATGTAATTTTCTTTTTTTTATTTCTACATGCAAAGGTTGCCTGGAAGAAATCGCCACAGGCTGCAAACACAAACGTGTTTTATTTTGTATATATAAATCCAAGCGTCTATGTTTGTGCAATAAAGAATTTGATTATTATTAATTATTTTAACTACGATCCGACGTTTCGGATGCTTTGCAGCAGCCGTAAAAATCATTTTTAAATAAGTTTAACTAATATATATCGCGCTACACAACGGTTCGAAAATGTATAATGTCCCTAGATATTTTTGAATATAACGGAACTTACAAGTTTACGAAGATAGAAACAAAAGATTTTACCTCACTCTAAAAGTTTTTCTACATAAAACTATTTTATTTCGCATTACGATTTGACTGCTTATTTTTTTTTTACTAAAAATATTCCTTATAAGAATTTTGCAAGCAAAATTGAGTTTACGAAGACATTGTGACACTTGTACAAGCTAAAAATTTAGCTAAAGCTATTGGTTCAGTGGTGATAGTATACTGGCTAACCGACCTTGCGCAAGAGTTGCCGGTTCCGGTTTGTGGGCCAGGCGCACTAGGGACCTCTCGCCCTCAAGGATGAATATCTCCTCCTTGTTCACAGACACTGACAGGATTCTGAAAAATCATGAATATTATAAATACAAAAATGTTATAAGGGGCTTTTAATGGTTGTCATTATTTCACGCCTAAGCTGTCACCATGGATGCCGGTTCGAATACCCCCCCCCCCCAAATATATAATACTATCAAGTGCACGTATAAATATGACGATGTCTTCAAATTTAATTCGGTTGAATGCAACTAAAGCTAAATAAACTTTACTTACAAAAAAAAATATTCAGAAGCTAGAAGGAGTGACTACGTAACTCGTTACGCAAAAAATAACTTCGTCTTTAACTTAGCTGAAGTTGTGTTATACCTTTTTACAATAAAATTGCACACAAACCATACCGTCTAAGATCGTCGACCACTGCGACGGCGGTCAATGACCTCGGATCGAGAATGTATACAAAGTGTTCGTTGTGCGAGACAAGAAATTGTTCCCGGAAGACGTGGAGCGGGCCAAAGTTGTACTCCTTGTCAGCGTGCGAATGCTTTTTCTGCGATGGATTAAGGATTTCGGCCACTGTCAACGGGTTCGATATGGCCTCCTGAAAAAAAAAAACGATACTTTACTAGTCTATTTACCAAAACGAGTTAATAAGGAAGAAAAGTTAACGTCCACAGACCATTATGTGCAATTATTCTTTGAAGGAGCAATTTAAGAATGGAGGGAATCTTAGTCCTACCCGACAAAGACAATTTATTGTTTACCCTGTACTCTTTATCTCATCTTCTCACAACATCGAAATAAACAAACTGGCGTATGTAAAGACTAATAAAAAGTACCTTAAATAGAAGTGTCTGTAGCACATTCCCCGAACGATCAGCTCGCCACAGCCTTAACCCTGCGCGCGCGCAGTAAGCGTTAGCCGCGCCGCCCTGCGCGTACGAGTATTGGAATACCGCACCTAGCGCACACAAACTGTAACAAAAAAAATATAACGGTTAAATAATTTACGCAGTCATAAAAACTTTACACACGCACACCTTTTTTTTATTATTACAAAAAAGAATAATTATTTTTTGTAATAATAATAATCATTTAGTTTGTTTAAAAAAATATATATAAAAATAGAAACCTCTTTCTATCTTTCTTGCCCAACTGGCTGACTTGCCAGCGGTTATCCTTCCTCTCGCATAGAATGCTCCGATACGTGCTGGACACGAGCAGTGCGTTTTGGTAATAGCTCATCTGCACAATCTCGTGTTCTTCGTTCACGATCTCCAATGATTTGCATAGATGCTGGAAAGATACGTTCTAATTAAAAACTCTTTTTATCACAAAGTATATAGTAAAGTATGGGAAGATATACTTTTAGCTCTATTAATTTTTTAAATTAATTTACATTCAACATTCTGAAGTCCATCAAATTATAAGAAGCATTGATATCCAGTTATTAAAAAGTTATATTACTAATACATAATAACAATCAAATCCATTATTCCAACAACAAATCAGGCCGTTTTTAACGAATGTATGCATAAATAAAAATAAAATGGGGATAGCTAAGTCTTTTTAAACCAATAGGTCACCATCAGCCCATCTTGTAAAGATGGGCTGATGACATTAAAGTTAGTTATTATACTATTGTTAAACAAGCTCACATAATTTAAAAGTAATAAGTCTATTTAATAAAATTTTTGATAGACATATGAAATCAAATAACGGTAGATATTAAAAATCAATTAATTAGGAAAAAAATCAGTGTTATCTAAAAGTTATATATGTTTATCGTCTGAATATTCTATACGCCATTTATCCCCGGTATCAATGAACCGAGCAAATAAAAACATGATATCGTAATTATTAGTCAATTATACGATACATAACAAATTAGCTCCTTATCGTGTGTACACGTTACATTTAAAACAAATGGAAATGATAAGATTCATTTTTAAATAACACTATATTGTGTTTTTGTTGATTTTTAGTTTTAGAAGGTTTAAGAGTTTCACAAATAATTTATATAATCGGGACTGAAGGCTTAATCTGATCTCGGAGGCATCAGATGTCTCTAAAGTTCTGTATCCAGGGTGATAGGAGTTTCCTTAACTTAAAGTAAACTATAGACACATATACAAGGCCGTTATTCAAAAGAAGAGTAGAGAATGAGAAATAGAGTATGCTTTTTGCCAAAACTAGTTAATTAAAGAGAAAAGTAGAACCAGTCTTTTTTTGAGAAAGAGACAGACAGTAAATAAAATAAAATAGGGTATTCCCCTCTATGCCTTATTTGTTTGTCATATACAAATATAACAAATAATTTTCACAGGAAGTCCCTAACCAAATCTTACGTCATCACTCAACACACAATTATCTTTCAACAAATACTTAATCCTTTGATAATAACCACACAGTGTTGTTATCAGCAGTTACACATTGAAGTAAATAATTTGTAACATATTAAAATAGGTCAGAAAGTTTCCTTTTACAAAGATGAACCAAAACTACAATACAATTTGAATAAAAATTGCTTTCACTAATCAATTTTAAATAAACAATCTTAATGGATAAATAAATTTTAAAACATGAAAATATGAGTTAACTTATTGACAATTTGTTTTAACTACTATATTTCATATACATTATAAGCTAATAAAAGTGTTTATTTAAATATGTAGTATTACCATACTACAGAATATAGATAAAATTTTTATGCTCAAGTAAATCTCTTTTTTACAATTATTGTGGGTTTATTATGAAAGCAGAGGGTTCATTCTAGGTTATGTTTGTGATAAGTAAGGAAAATTTTAAACTCACCATATAAAAATCTATTTCAGTCATAATGATAACTCCATCTTTGTCACCGGAAAATAATCTCATTCCATTCTTGGACCATTCAATTGATGTTATTTTACTTTTGTGTAAGTCTCCTATTGTGTACCTAGAGAATACATTAAGATCTAAATAATGTTCTTAAATACATATATTAATAAAGGCTTATATTTTTGTTACTTATTAACGTATTACCTTTCAACTTTGGGTTCCACTTTTGGTTTAAATGTATCAGGTACATTCTCGGGATGTTCCTTAGGGATTTGGAATACTGTTACTTGTCCTGCTAAATTACCAGCTCCTACCATATAGTCAACTGTGCTAACTATCTTTACATACGTAATTGGAGATGTGGAAGCCTACAATATAAGTGCCGTTTAATATTTGTGTCTTAGCTAAATATTACTTTAAAGAATCAAAATTCAACCCTTAACTTCAAAATATCTGTTAAATCAAAGAACTTTAAAAACGTTTTTATTCTTAGTACAATTATTTTGCCTAAACTAAATTATTATGACTGAATAAATCATTTAGACGAGCTTAATAACAATGTCCAATTATCAAATAACAAATACTGATCAATATGAGAGATTTAATTGTTGCGAAATACAAGGTGACTTATATTACCTCGCAACGCAATCGCTGAATGTTTCCCTTTTTTCTGTCGTACCAGTACACCAAGCCGACATTCGTCCCGAGAGCTATGTACTCGCTCACAGCATCAACGCAGGTTAAGCATAGCTCATTGGAAAATATCCCATTCTGGATTTTAGCTGGTATCAGACTCAAAATATGGGAACACGGTGTCCATTCCCGCACGAAGCCTTCTTCCGCACCACTAGTTACTTCCATTTTATCTTCTTAATATTAGGTCAGATCATTAGATATTTTCTTTTAACGAAATTCATGTTTCTTAAGTTTCAAAGCAATATTATTATTAACTGGTATTATAATTACAATCACAATTCATCACAGGTTTTCCCTTTTACCCAACAGTTCACTTATGTGCTCGTTAAGTTTTGCATTTTGCAGATGTAAGATGTAAATGTCAGCTGTCAGTTTTAATATTTGTGACTGTCATATAGACCTTTAACTTGACACTGGCAAATAGTTTCTTCTTGCCACAAATGGAAAAAAAAAGTCACTTTAACCGGTAAACTTTACAATCTTATTAAAATAACAAAATTAAGGAAATTAGATAGTTAAATTCGTGTTGAAACAAGATTTAGGTTTTATACCAAAATTTTGTAAATAAGAGAAACAAATAACTTCGCCTGTGACTAAAATACACGACACAATTCAGTGCTACCAACATTGGAAGCAAAAGTGACGTGTGCGTTGTCAATTTGTCAGGTTTTTGTCATTCATCAAAGATTGAACTCGTCATACGAATTGCTATTGAGACCGAGCAGAGAGACCGATTACTCCGTACTTATTTAATATATTAATTTTACAATGGCGGAACCTGCAACAGAAATTCCGATAAATATAGAAGAGACTGTTAAAGACTCGCTGAAAAACATTACAGACAAACCTCCAGCAAGTATTGAAGGAGTTGCGATCGCGTACTTAAGTTTGGTGGTGATGGCAATTTTGCCCATATTTTTCGGTGCTTTTCGCTCTGTAAAATATCAGAAGGAGCAAAAGGTAAGTGTAAATCGCAAATTGGCTGTGTACGTGAGATAAGCAATATTAAAAACAAATGAATTATGTTTTGTGGTCTTGTAGTGGCATGCGTACAAATTTGCTATCGTGGCAACAACTTAAGATTTTAAAATACGAGCAATAATTATATAGTACATCCAATTATGTTGATATAGTTAAGCCTGTTATTGCCGACTTATTAACATAGAACTTCATGCATTAATATTTCCATAGGCAGCGTAGGATAAGGCAAACGCGCGCGGTAAAAACGATTGTGTGTTGGTTTTCGCTCTTCATTAGCTTAGTGTCTATAAAATCTGTTCATTGTGATTATTCTTTTTATTAAGTACCATCTCTTTCAGGATTCTGGCGAGCGGCTAGAAACTATGTCAAACCGAGATGCGCTGATTTTCCCCATAATCGCATCGTGTGCTCTCTTTGGACTCTACATCTTCTTCCAATTCTTCTCCAAGGAGTATATTAATCTACTACTGACGGGCTACTTCTTTTTCTTAGGAGTTTTGGCTCTTAGCCATCTGCTTAGGTCAGTATTTGGCAAAATAAAAATAATTATAGCCTAAAGTAATTCATGTTTGGATAAAATGATTTTGTCAATGGACTTATTCAAATTGAAATCTAATAGGTTTTGTCTTGGTAATTACCATAACAATATGTAAATGTTTGATGGTTAAAATTAGAAATTTATTCATATCTCAATCCAAGAAAATAACCATATAAAAATCTTCTTTGATTAAGATATGAAAATGTTCTTATTTGCAGCGTAATATTGTATTTACAATCAAATAACAATGTTTATGAGTGATCAATTTTTTAAACACAGAAAAGCTGTGCCACATGCGCTACATATGTTTAAAAGCATACAATACACAAAAGTATATTAATAATAATTATTGAAAAAATATTTTTTTCAGCCCAATAATAGCCGTGATGATGCCAGCATCAGTACCGAAGGTGCCCTATCATATTCTCTTCACACAGGGAGATAGGCATGTAATTAACTATAAGTTCACGTCATACGATGTCATCTGCCTCGTCATATCCTTTGTCTTTGGTCTGTGGTACTTGTACAAGAAGGTAAGCAATTTAATTTTTATTAAGTAGTAGTTCCATACTTATTTAGTGGTTAGTGGTAACTAAATATCAGAACTGATTGATTTTAAGTTTACCAGTGTTGAATATTCTTAAGAAAAACCTAAAAAAAAAACAATAAGGAAATATTGTTTTTTATTTTACTGGTTAATTATGTAAACTGTTCTATAGTTTACGCGAGTAGTACACATTTAAATAAAACACTTTAACGGTTTAAAACGCGATATATTAGTTAAACCTATTTGAAAATGACCTCTGGTCATTGTGAGGTCTCCCTGTGACCACAGCTGCTGCAAAGCATCCGAAACGTCGGGCGGAAGTTAAAAATAATTTTCAAATAAGTTTAACTAATATATCGCGTTTTAAACCGTTAAAGTGTTTTATTTAAATAGCAAGGCCTTTTTATGAATTTTTTTGATCTATAATGAACTGTGTACTGGTTAACACTCAGATATAAATCAAAAGATTCTGGGTTTTAATCTGTGTAATAATTTTTAGATCTCCATGATAGCCTGAGTCATAGGTGTTCAAACAGGAGACATTACATTATATTTATTTATGATGTGTTATTAATGGGAATTAATTTGTCTTTCAGCACTGGATTGCAAACAACCTGTTCGGCATTGCTTTTGCGATAAACGGCGTAGAACTGCTCCAATTGAACAATGTAGTCACGGGATGTATACTGCTATCCGGATTATTCCTCTACGATATCTTCTGGGTTTTCGGTACCAACGTTATGGTGACAGTTGCCAAATCGTTTGAAGCACCAATAAAATGTAAGCAGTGGAAGATATTTTATTATATTATTTCTCATTTCAATCTATTGGCATCCCACTGCTAGGCATCGGTTTGCTCTCCCAAAGTGGTTAGACCTTTAGTCTGGATTGGTAAGGTTTAACCACTACTACCACTAAGTTATTGGTGATAACTGGCATCAACATCTAAACCTTTTCTCCGAGACATTTATTATCATTATGGTTTATTCACATGTAGACCTAAGCTTGTCTTGCTGATAACGGTTCCATTCGAGGATCTCAAAAAGAAAAAATCTAGAAACTAGATAGATAGAACTTTTATTCAAAAACTAAGGGGCTTTTAGTTTCCCAAATTCAGTCTTGGTTTCAGTCTTGGTCTTTTCTTCGTTTTTCAAGACCAAGACCAAACAAGACCGCGTATTTTTAGCAAACCAAACCAAACTGACCTGCAGACTTGACAAGAACAAGACATAGCCTGCAAGACTCTTCGTCTTCACTAGGACTTAGCCTATTTCACTATAGTTAGGTGTAACAGTTCGTTATAGGTAGTACCTTAGGATTCTATGAACCAAAAAACTTTCAAGTATAAAAACTACTTCCTTCACATCCATAAACATACGAATAAAAAAAATATTAAAATCAACTAGTCATCATAGTTTGTTTTACCCATCTATATCGGCATCAAAGGTTTTGTCCTTACTTTCAAAAAATTTCCCTTTTCGAAGTACATTTATATACACGCCCGCGGCTTCTTTTAAATTAAAACAATCTTCCGCCACCCAATCATAACATTTGACTATTTGATTCCGCCATAGGGCGTAGGTATACTCATGCAAAATAATTTCGAATTTTTTTACACGCTTTATATTTTGTTTGATTTGCGGCGCATCCTTATCATAAGCCGCACTCAGGCGCGCGGTAAAACAAGGAATCTTAAACAAAGATTATTTTAATTCCAGTCATTTCCAATTGAGCTGTGCTTCGAGTCTAAGTTTATAATTGTTTTTACTAATTCTCGTTGTTTTCTAAAAACGTATCACGTGTACAATTTAATATGAGTGACGAAGATTCAAATTATTCTAGTCCGAGTAACGAGAGTTTGAGTTTTAGCAAATGTAAGCTTATGAATCATAAATGTTTATTAAGAAGTTACTTCCATGGAAAACGACATATAGGTCAGTTGATTTTTCGAATTTCTTATCAAATCTTCAGTTATTTATTAATCTGCTTGATCTTTACTATGGCTATATTCATTCAAGCTCACAATGTTCCAATTCTAATACGTTTTTCTAGGATTTAAAGTAAACTTTAATAAATAGTAACAGACTAATAGGTAATTGCAAGACTTGCAAGACTTGCAAGACTCTTGCTGCAAGACCAAGACCAAGACCAAGACTGGGAGGGCAAGACTAACCAAACCAAGACCAGGTGTATTGCGCAAGACCAAGCCAAGACTGGCTAAGTCTCGTCTTGTTCTTGCGTTTGGGCAACATACTGTCTATAAACAATTATACATAATAACATAATGTTCTTTCCAGTGGTGTTCCCTCAAGATTTACTAGTAAATGGTCTAAATGCAAGCAACTTTGCTATGCTCGGACTGGGTGATATTGTGGTCCCTGGCATCTTCATTGCTCTGCTCCTACGTTTTGACAAGAGTCTCAAACGCAACTCGGAGTTCTACTTCAGGTATTTTTCTATAACTTAATATTCGACGCAACAATTTATAAATTCCTTTTTCGTTCTTTATCATTAAACATGAGTTTGGGATTTCATTAGGTGTCCTTATCTGTGCCATGACCGTTATTAAGTAAAATGTTGGATTAATGAGCTATTGTTCTAAGCAGTTACTTAGGTTTTATATCTTTTACTATGGCATGGGAGGACATGTATACCCCAGATATTAAATATCTAATCAAGATGCAAAATGAGTTTATTTGTCTATAGACATTCACAGCTTTAAAAATTTTATAAAACATTTTTATTAACTACCAGAACACCTTGCTACTGGGCGCAAGAAATTCACCCTCCTATTTCCGCCAATAATTGCAATAGTTACTTATTCTAATTTTTCTCTTTCAAGTTACTGTTATTAAAATATCAAATGGTTATATGAGCGCTGTCTATCAGACGAACAGTAGGATTAGCTGAAAATCAGTGAAAATTGGATGCTATTATGCTGAAGCAAGATCCTTTTGTCATGAAGTGCCAAAATGCCAAATAAAGAAATTTATTATATCCAAAGTATTCAGTGCTAATAATTAAGCAAAATTACGCAGGAAAATATCAGATACCTGCAAGACTAAATTGAGCTTATAATCCCCAGAGCTACCTTCTCTGCCTACATCCTGGGTTTGTTGGCAACGATTCTCGTGATGCACGTCTTCAAGCACGCACAGCCAGCTCTTTTATACTTGGTGCCAGCCTGCCTTGGTACTCCACTAACATTGGCTCTCCTCAGAGGCGATATAAATGCCCTATTCAAGTAAGTATATTACTCAAATACTGTCTATAGTTTACGCGAGTAGTATTAAACACAACGACAACACCAAGACCTTCTATTTTCGCTGACTTTCCTTACATCCTACCCTTATATATATATTTCAAAGTAAAGAAATTCTAATCTGTGCATTTGCGTTAATTCATTTTTATTAATTTTAGAATTAAATTGTGGTTTCTACTTAGTAAATTTGAGGTAGTTCATTAACTTATTGTATAATCCAGTGTCCCAAAGTGTTTTAGGGGTGAATCAACCTAAAACGTAAACCTTGTGAAAAAAGTTCACGATTTCATGTAATTTGTATGTTTGTTTACCAAAAATGCCAAGTAAGAAAAATGCACTAAAATTACTTTTATATACATTATTTTGTACATGTTATTTTTTTTTTATTAAAATCTAAATTGTAATTTCTTCTTCCAGTTACGAAGACCAGCCAGCAATCGAAGAAACAGCAGACGCAAGCAAAACAAAGAAGAGTGATTAATAAGTAAATTGACTAAATTAATTAAAGCACAAATTTACAACACACCATGGTTAGTACATTTAAGTGGGGGACCATAATTGACGAAAATAAACGCGGTTATTCAACAGACTAATATTTCGATCTTAAATCTGCAATCAGGGATTGGATACTATATTCACCATAATGAGTTAATAGAGCGTTGTCTCTTTCCCACAATCTCATACAAAGGACGAAGACACAAAATGGTTAGTGTTTTTTTTAATAACCTCTTTCGATTAATATAATAAAGTATATAGGCTATAATGGCTATGAACTTTAAAAAGCTCTAAATTAAAAGCGTTCAATATCTTAGTGTTGGTCAATTTAGGTGGAAATTGAGAATGTGGCTAAATGAAGATTGAATTGAAAATGTTCTACAGATTATAACAAATTACAGAATATAGTTCTGTATACATATGAAATATGAATGTGTAAAGCCGTGTAATTATATTCTGTGCAAGATTAGATAGATAATATTCGGACTTCCTAAGTACTTCCATCGGTGTTTCAAATGTCGCATAATTTTCTAAGACTTGCGAATCGCATCTACTTAATAGATAATAATTTACGCGTGTGTTACCCTCCTAAAAAATTCCGTATTGTTTATTTTTATACCTTAATAATAGATCATTGTAAATATGATATTTTTTTAGGAGCATCTCCGCAGATTAGGTTAATTTTTGTTGTCTTTTTTTATTATTTCAAAGTTTACAAATTTATTTACAATTGAAGCTTTCTCTCTATTTAATAAGTATTTTGTAATTGCGTTAATATATGTATATAATTGCATTGTTACTTTTGTATTTCGGCAGTGGTTTGTGTCTCTTGGTTATGGCTAAATAGATGTTCTGCTTTTTCTCCTGAATTGTATCCACTGCCATCGCGTAATATGTCGGTCATAATAAATGTAAATCGAATTTATGTAAACGGTTAAAATGACCTTTGGGCTAAGTAATAAACATTTTGAATAGAAATCCTTTTTAAATCCTTTTCAACACGAAACAGCAGGCAGATGAGTACGGTATTTACTCGATGCACGGTCGACCTATTTTGGCTATTTAGAGATTAAGAAAAACATATCCACAAACCGAAACTTTGGTCGGTGGTTCGTGAACCGGACCGAAATTTCGATACTTTTACTACCCATTTAATATTTGAATTATATATGAAATCCAACTTCTTTCAGAGAAATAGTAAATAATTATAAACACGTTGGACAACGGTGGGGTTTGGACTCACGGCCCGTTGACTATTAGCCGTACATTACTACCACTCAAAGATAGGAACAAGGTCGTCAAAAATGTAACATACAAAAAGTTCGATACGCTATAGTTCTGTTAATATGGCCTCGAACATTTGGAAGTCCAGTCTGGAACTAAAACGCGGATTCTTGACTTAGACGTAATTTTGATATTTTCTACCGCCCTTTAAATATTGCAGTCTTAAGTAGTAATCAACGATTACTTAATTTTACAACAATTAAAATCTCAACAGCTGTTAATCGAGCTCTACCATGTACTCTTCTCTTTCTGCATACCATTACTATAACCATTTGTGTATTAATAACACAATCAAAGTTTGCAACATTTAATCAAATACAGTAGCAATAATTCAGTCTGTTAATACAAGCGTATATTATAATAGTCTGCTGTCGAGCTCACTTATATATATATCATATAATTCTATGAATTATGAATTTTTTACAATTGCACACATAATTAAATAAGTACAGTATAGAAAACAAACCAGTAGCAGATTTGGCAAAATTAGAGCACGCAGTCTTCCTGACTTTGCTGCCCATAGTTGCACAAAAATAAAACATTAATAAGATTTAATATAAAATCCTCCCCTGCGACCTTCAGATGGAATATGGGTTTCGATAAGACCGATTGATAGAACTATTCTAATTTGGAGTAATCAAGCCACTGTCACTTGTTTATCCAGTATACTGTGTGTATTAAATTGTAGATTCACTCCGGTATCTTCTTATTGACGAATCCTATTCCAGAACATTCAATGACATTGCTATCACCTTCTTGGTTTATTGTGAATTTTGTCTGTAATATAAAACATTTGTAACAAACAATGTCCCAGACCCACCATGTTGCAGGACGGGTGAGCTTAAACAACTAACTCCATTAAATTACTGATGATCAGTGCGATCTCTTTTACGCGTTTATTCAGTACTTACTGAGTGAATTCAAGGCTGGTACTAAATATATTCTTCGGAATGCATCAAAAACCGTTCTGAGAATTCGCCCTGACTGGGAGCTTTGTGAACTGCCTTTGATTTTACCTTCAGACTTAAAGAGAAGTTATTTGTCTTGTTTCTGACTTAAGTTTTAACAATTTTAAAACAAATATGAATTTTTTCATCGAGAATATAAATTGTATTGGAAAAAATGTAGTGTGTATGTTATTAAAATATAATTTATTTTACCTTAGTAATAAGTTGAGCTATATGCATAGCTGTCTCTGTATGTAATGTGACTTCACCAATCCTTAACGTTGACTTCCCCTCCGCCAAACACATGTATAATATTACTTGGTCCTGAAAACAGGTATTTAAGGAGAAATTATTATATATATGTTATTCATTATAAAAAATTAAAATAACACCACTTTGATACATTAGATTACAGGTACATTAGATTGAATTTGTTTTACCAAAAAATTTATAATAAAAAGTAATTCATGTTCTGTTTAGCCTGACCAGATTAGAATGTGTGCTTTTTTATTTAATAGGAAAATAAACCAAATTAGCTCTTTATATACTAAAATGTTATTTGACAAGAAATAGATTGTTGTTCTAGTTAATCAACCCATTAAAAATTCCCACAGCTGGGGCTAGTTTCTCATACGACGGTTTTTGGCTAACCTTAAATCTTCAAGATGTTTTCCTTTATCAGATAGCATATGTCAAAGATCACAGCTGAAGACAAATTTAAAGTACCTGTGCATGTAGATCAACACAGGAGGAAGACTCCAGAACTTTCCTCAGCTCTTCTCCGGCCTTTCGGCCGACATCTACGGAATCCAACCCGCGTTTGCCCAGCGCGTCTGCACCCACTACGCAATCCTTTGAGAACTCGCATGATAGGCTGGAGAAAAAGAGAGACAGAGTGGAATTTTTCAGACAATGAGTCTGTCTATGTAAAAATACTTCATAGGTGTTTATTTTATATTTCTCATTGCAAACCCCTCTTATAAAATGTCATATTAACTTCTTTAAGCTATTGGACTGACCTCAATAGAAGAGGCCTTACTTTAATTGAAGGTTGTAAATTCTACACACATAATTCCAGTGCAATTGTCTGGAGCCATTTGCCTTTCCTCCTTATAGCAATGAATGTTTGTTGTGTATCCAGACAGAGCCTGTCTTGCACCATCACTCATTTGATACGACAACTGAAATTTAAAATGTATACTAACTAGGTAATCAAATATTATTTCATTTGTTACCTACTAACACATAAAACTAATTTTACCTTGACAGGTAATGTCCCAGCCACAAAACTCCAACCGGTAATAGCTTTTAGGACACCTCTGTCCAAAATATTGATACCTTTAAACAATGTCACTGGATTTACCTCCACGCGTACGTGGCCTCCGCCTCGAGGAAAATACCTAGAATTATTTAATAGAACATAACAATAATAAGTGCCCATTGAAATTGGTTTAGTAGGATACCAAATGTAAAACAATGATAATAATGAAGAAGGATGTATTTTGATTATGTAAAGACATATATAATATTTTATAGTTGTTCTGCTTTTAAATGGTTGTATAATAAGGATTTTTCAGCTTTGTAAGCTATTCAAAAATACTAAAATGTTTAGATAGTTATATTTAAAGGTGTATAAAAAGTAACTTTCTTATCTATATCACTACATAAGCAAGTGTCTCACCCTCGTCTTATGATTTGCATTGAGAAATCAGCACCAAATTGGTTTAGGATCTTTCTAAAGATCTTATCCATATAGTCTATCTGTGGAGCCATATCTGCATTTGTACCTCCCTTGAGATCTAGGGTTACTGGTGAGTCTGCTAACAAGGCGCATGGAAGGGCCACTTGCAAAAGCAAGCTTATGGACCTGGAAATAACCTAGACTTGTATTGGACGCGTTACTAGACCAGGGAGTAAAACTTATGCACACACAAAGACTACTAAAAGCATTACTTATCATTTTGGCCTAACTTTATTTTATGCAGGTATAAAGAACAGCACTTGCTATGATAGTCATTGTTACCCTGCAGTTTGTGTATCAGCTACATAGTGGCCACCTCTAATCCTTCCAGGTACAAATTCTATTTCTGTGGAGCCTATGTTAGCCCCTCTCAGTCGACCTTGACACATTTGAGCCACTAATTGGATTCCTAAGTTAAAAAAAGACTAAAGTCATATTTTTCTCATTTGATCATAATTTATACATTCCTTTGTAGGAATAAGATTGACACATCATTAATTAACGTACCACTCATATTTTTTATTAATATATTTACCTTTTAAATGCTGGGCCGCTAAACCGGGTTTGCTTCGGCGTACACGAATATTTGAAACTTTGACTGGTATTCCTAGAATGGCACTTAGTGATATTGAATTACGGAGAATTTGTCCTCCCTGAAATAATGTAGTTGTTCTATTGTATATCGTATATACAAGTCACTAGACAAATGTGCCTTAATGGGATTTGAAATAAATTTAAATAATAGTAAAATATTTTATTAAATTCTGTATACAATCTGTAAATAGCCGGCTACAGCAAAGGTTATCTTACCCCTTCTAAAACACTTCCATCTATATTGAATATCTCTGTCATTATAATTTGTCTTAATTTATGTGCTAAAATGTGTTCAGATATTTTATCCTAATGTTTATTGGTTGAGGCAGCCCGATATTTAAATCATAAATATAGTCCAGTTGTCGTTCTGACATAAGCATTAAGCACCAATAGGTTAATGTTTACATATTTAGTATGTCTATATGCTACAGTCTTAAAAAGGCACACAGATAAAGCTTCTCCTTATTGCATACGTCTGTGGGATTAAGAGATTCCATACATGTGAAATAAAATCAAACATGGTAGCGCCATCTTTAATTCTCTGTAAACACTAGATGCTAAAGTGTTGCAAAATAACGCCAATTGTTGACTTTATAAAAAAAATGTCGTATAATATGTTACTAATGTACCTAACAAATGTAACACACAAGTTTTTCGCTCTATGAAAAATAAACTTCAATAATACGTCAAAATTACGTTAATTAAAAATAATGGACATCCAACGAACTGTTGTAAGTACATTTTATTTAATATAAACATGCACCAACATTATTCAGATATACACCTGACTTGAAATAGCAATTGCAATTTTCTGCGTATGCGCGTTTCTTATAAAATCGTTTATTTTGTAAGATATTCGACTGTCAAAGTTCTTTGAGTTTAAGGATCCGGCTTCAATGTTGAGACTCCGTCCCGGAGCTCAACTTCTTTTCTCTGTTGAATTTACATGCTTTACAACAGGACATTATTTATGCGAAATGACGCTATTTCGTGTATGTTGTGTTACGACAAGACCTCACTTTTACTCTTAAAGTTTTATTTCTAAAGAGCTTGATTGTAAATGAAATCAGTTTTTCAGAATCAATCCGCAATCATAATTTTAATATTATGAATGCGGGTAGATCTTAGCATTACTATCAATACAAAGCTACAAGTTAAATTTAAATTTTTGTAAAATATTTATTTTGTGGTATCCGAGTTATACTTAGTTCTGGAAGGAAAAAAAGATGTCGCTAATAAAAAGTGACATTCAATTTCCTGCTAAATGCAATATGAGATCTTAATGCATGTCCTATTCTATGGTAATAGCGTTGCATCTCTAGCATTGTAGTCTTTGGTTTTTGTCTGTGATAGTAATTAGCAAAATGTCAGTATATAAATATTTTGTTCAATTTGTTGATACAATTTAAGTTCTTAGTTCAAATAATTTTAATACGTTGCGAATAGCAATTGTGTCGTTCCAGCATTTTAACTGCTAACGAAGACTTTAACAGCGTCTGGCTTGAATGCTGAAATTGATTTATGGCTTCCTGATTCTTCGACAATAGCCGCTTCGCGAAGAATGCAGCGTAAACCAGGATTTCCCGTGGCAAACTGCAATATTAAAATGGTACTATTCGCCTTAATATTTTAACAAAATTCTTCTACTTCAGTATCCTGAAATTAACAACACTTAATCAATTATAATAATAATTCAGTGCATCTTTAAACTGTTACGCATCTTTACAATTTAAAGTAGTGAGATTTATAATTTTATGTAACGTATTAGATGATCTTGACCTTGGTTTAATGCAATACAACAACCTTGAACATTAACACTCTATGTCATCTTGAAATAATTCTATTTTACCTATTTCTAATCTTAAATACAATTATTTAATTATAGGTTTTTCAGGCTCTTGAAAAAATATAATATTTACTATGTTTTAGTGTTACTAGAAAGTTCATGGTCTCTACTCATATTTGAAGGCAATCTCACTTTTCTAGCCAATCTTAGCAATGAAAAAACTGAATACTTAATATTTCATGTACAGCCTGACAGCACTTTAGTATCAGAAGTTGGGGATGATGACATTGAGCCCCAGCAGAGACGACAGCAGCTCATCAACTTTGGACATTCACAATGGGGCTTTAACAATTGGAACTGGACTGTGACTAAACAGGACTTAGGTATTTGACTATTATAAAATTGGTTACATTCTAGTGTGTAAATTTATTTTGAATAAGTGATTGGTCGTTTGTGCTACATATAACTGAAATGATCTATGTTATTCAACCAACTAGGGCCTTACAGACCTGGCATATAATAACGTTTGCTTGAAAATAATAAGCTAACAGAGATTGTGAGTCTGTAAAATTTTATTTAAAAATGCATTAGTTTTGTTTATTAGTCTTTACTTTATAAAAGTATTTATTTTCTTAAAATTACTAAATAAATTGTGGATTAACTATTAAACTTACTATTACCTGCTTATGATGGCACAGCTAGCACATTAAATTAATATTTTTTATTCCAGATTTTGTAGAGTTACAGAACGGAAGATATTCAGCGGGTGTGGCTGCTTTTGTCAATGTGACTGTGAAGAATCTTGATTTGCATAGAGAAAATGTTGGATATGCCACCTCCAATGGGGTTACTAAAGGCTCGGCTATACATAGGGCCAGAAAGGTATTAGAGGTTTATTAAATTTTTGTAAAACTTTGAAGAACTTTAACTATCATTATGTTTCTTATCTACTACTTTTAATCAAACATACTTCTACCTTTTTCAGTGTGCAGTGACAAACGCTTTGCGCGAGACATTGCTCAGTTTTGGTGGTAACGTGTCTACAGAGCTGCTAGAACTATTGGAAACAAATAAGCCTGAATCGACAGTCCCAGAACCTGAAAGTACCCCCAAACCAACAGAACCTAAAAACCTAGTTCGGAAAGAAGAGATTGTACTTAATGGTGCAAGCGTCAATGTGCCCAACGTGATCCCGATACGTCCGCCGCCCCCGGCCATCAAGAACGCAGTGAATATCCCGCCCCCAATAGCCAAGGCACACCCCATGCCGGCTAACTTGCCTCCGGCGGCTAACCGTCCCCCGCTCGCCGCACCGAGACCCCCACCGCCTCCTCCGGCACCCCACGTCAGACCGAACAATGTAAGTTTCGTTCTCCCCGTTATGGGGGGAGTAGTACCCCCGATGTACCCTCCGCCGCCGCGTCTTCCCCACGCGCCCCACATGTACCCAAACTATTACGAGTACCCGTGGCACTTCTACGAGACTTACGACCGCCACCACGGCAACGTCAATCTCAACTTTAACATACCGCCAAAGAATTTAGTCGTTAACAGCCGGTCGCCCGAATGCAAAAACGCTTGTAGACAGGGGCCGAACGTGCCCGAAATGGACCCCAACTATCCCCCCCAAAATCAGGGTTGCTGGATCAAGCCGACCATATTCTATGACGGTTTCTGGACGGAGCAGAAGGTTAAGAAGTGGGTGGCCGAACAGGTCGAGAAGCAATTCCCCGAAGACGGGTCCAAGTCTTCGTCTCCCAGTGCGGAGACTTTGCCACCTAAGTCCTAGATCCGTTGGCGAGGATGCTGTAGCCTATTTAACTGAGACACGCTTAAAACGATAATATTTTTTTATGTCCAACACATAATACATATGGCTTATAGGAATTCAAAAAGCGCTTACAGAACTACAGAGTACGTTTAAGTGAAAGTTGTACGGTTTCCTCTCTAGACACGCGTTTCGAAGTTAGTGATATATACACTTAGCGTAAGTATATTTTTATTCGGAATAAACTATTTTCTATTGGATTTTTTCTGAAGTTACTAGTTGTGGTAGGTTGTCGATTGTATTGATGCTTGGTGTAGACTTACTGGGGGTGGTTATAATTGCTTTGCCGGGTTTATTGGTCTAATGGTACGTAATTGGGTCCTGCTGTTTCTAAACAGATTTAAAATGTAGGATTTGCATGTTGTACGTCGAAAGGAAGGAAATTCAAAATTCCATCCAAGTCAATAAACACCGTCAACAGATGGATTTTTTCTTTGATTAGTCTGTGTAATAACATTAATATGTCTGGGATGTTTCACCTTCCATCGAATGTACCCCATGCTTTCCGCTTTTTTTTATACAACCATATGCTCTAATTTTATTATTAATGACGATAGATCTATTGGCATAGTTTCACAGTTGGCCAGTGAGAATTGGAGGCGGTTTAAATACCACCTGTTTGACGTATGTTATGCCTGCTTAGAATAAAATATATATCTATTTGCAATACCCAAGTTTCCTGGGTGACTATTGGTAAAAGTGCATGTAATACCACCCCTCAGCACAGTATTATAGTTGTAGGATATTTGGAGTTCAATAGTATCACGATATTACAAATTCTGCCAATAATAATTACCGTCACTTAAAAGCATCTTTCTTTATGACAGTGTTCTTGCAATAAAAAATGCATTCTGGCTCTAAAAACCAGAAATTCCAGTTATATAAACATATGTTATGCACATTTTTAAGTATCATATGTATACAAACATTTAAATATACCTGAAATATGTACTTTAATTATTACGGTTATTTCATATTTGACATTATATCAGCACTCGGATTTTTATGCAATTGTACAGTACCAGAAATGGACAGTCGTGGTCACGGTGGAGTTTTTGCGTCTTAAACCGTTTTCTTTAAAACACGCTCTATTTGTTCCTATTGTTTTAACTATCTGGGCTTAGTCTTTTAAAAGAGAAGTCATTGGTTTAGTATAAGTTTTGTGCACAAGCACTTACGGCAGTTAGTTCTTTTATTGCCTTTAGGATTTACCTTCAATTACTAAAAATATCCCATTGCTGGTTCTGTACACGACAAACACAGTTAAACTCGATGGAATTGTATGTACATGACTTGTACGTAGTTATATTGTGTGGTATTCAATACGTGTTTTTATTATAACAATAAATTGTTTGAAACTGCCGTAATGTTTGATTGTTTGCTTTTTCTGTGATACCTTCATTTCTTCTAGGAACATGTTACTGAGTGACGTCACATCCGTTCGGTGTCAATGTCAAGGCGATTTCGAATTTCCCGCGTCCATTTTGATTTAAATGTCCATGTATTTAATTAATTTAAAGCGAAAAACATTATATTTTTTCTCTCTAGCTTTGTATCACAATTTTAATATTATGTATACTCCAAAAGTCTACTTAATGGCAGGAAGCGGCGAACGACGAAGAGGCACGTGCTGAAAGAAAAAGACGACAAAAACAAGCCCAAGAGGAATTTAGGCTCAAACAGCTTCAGAAGCAGAACTTAGGTTAGACTTAATTTAAGATGATCTTCTCTATTAATAGAACACTAGTGATAGGATTACTACTTTTTTCTTTCTGTACATTTAGTTTCTTTCTCAATAAACGTTTTATTTTGTATTTGTTATTTTAATGTAAAACTTGTTTTAACACACGGTGTAAGGTATGTGAATTAAAACAATGCATTTGTTCTACAAGCATTAAAATTTCCAGATAACGAACTCGATAAAAACAGCAGTAGTATCGACAATATATTAATGGCAATACCATCTCAAGACATAGTGACAGAGGAAACTGGCAACACCATTGAGGAAGGAAAGAGAAAATCGCCATCTCCCCGCCTGGCAACCCCGCGAAGCGTAGGGCCAGTAACAGTTAGTTATTGAAGAATGATTTTCTTTAAATAAAATGTCACAATGCAAAATCATATTTTATTAAACCGCTAACAGGTTAGGACTTACGCAAGTATATACAGGACTATATATAAAAATAATCTAACGGTTTGTGGCGAAAACGAAAAGTGCCTTATTCTAATGACTATCAACTAAATTATAAAGAAATTAAATCTATATTAAAATATTTTATATGCAGCGCACTTCTAACGTGCCGTAGCGTCCCATACACTAAGTATTTCTTCGAGATAACTAACAAGGCTGTTTGAAGCATAAAAAAGACAAAAGGGGGACTAGGACTAGTCAATTTTAAAGACACTTTGCTTAGCACTGCGTTAAGCATGAGTTATGCTGGGTTCGAATTCCACAGAAACAATCTTAATCTCATCAACTAAGGTTATATGTGACAAATTTATTCAGTCATTTTAGAACAAAGAACTAATTGGTGTATAGGACGCCTAACTGAAATAAAATTTAACACAAATCCCTTATACAAAATTCTGTTTACTATGTTTTGTCTCTTTCGAACACTAAAATTGGAGTTTGCGGAAATGGGACAAAACATAGTTACCTTACACAGTACAGCGTAATTATAAAGTTGAGTGTATAACTTAGTTTCATACTAATTAAATTATATAATCTTACACCAGAAACTAATAGTATTAGGGAAACTTGTTATAGGATCCCCTACTTACTAATAAAATACAGATAAAGGCCAATATAATATATTTTGTATTATTTTATTAGTAAGTGCAGGTAATAAATTTTAGATATACAGTATGCTGATTTTTGCGATCACAACATATAATATACAGAGTGTGCAAATTAAGTATACAATGTATTGATTACGATTTTCACAATCATAGGCTTTTGTCCATACATCTTCAAAGACTATGTTCTTTATACAAAAGTAGTAATAATTTTGTCGCGTGTCTCTGGACGTGCCAAATTATTAATAAATTTATGTAAATCAAACTTAAGAGATTTGATATGGATGCAAAGTTAAACACTGAAAAATGATACCCACAACTGAATTCGTCATATATAAAAATACCTCACCACCGACACCTATATAAAGTAACTGTATATATTAGTTTATACTGAGTATATGTTGAACGATTATAGTATATATACGTACTTAGAATTTATAAGTAGACATTTTCATATAGAATAAAGTAAAACACTACTGCGTATAATATACTTTTCATCTAAAAGCTGATCAATGTGGTATGATATCATTTTTTACTCCACTTTGTGCTAAAATGTAAAGTTATTACTCCGGGGTAATTCTCAAATGACATAATTATACCCCATTTATGAAGTAAAGCCCATACAAATAAAGAATATCGAAGCTTAAGCGTGTAAGTTAGGCCATTTTGTGTCATATTTTAAAAAGAAGAAATTTTCTTTGAAACAGTTTAACATTACAGTTAATTATCGCTTTTACAATTAAAACAGTTGCATACAATCGTTATAAACTTTGAGGGTAAAAAATCAAAGCACATAACAATTATAAGTAAGATGTATTGGATTTTAATAATTTTTCACTTGTCTGTAGTGGCGCCGTGAATTGAGAAAAATTAAGAAAGCTAATATATAATATATTACTTTATACAACTACAAACGCAAAAACTATTCATAATTGACAGAATCGAAAACAAATTTTTCTTTAGACAATAAGTGATGTTTTTGTCAGATGTGTGGAGTTGACACTTACTCAGCTTAGGTTTAGGTAGCCTTTCGTTAACTATCCGCCTCCTTTATTATGCAAGGATGTCTCATAATCTTGGAAAATTTCGATAGATATGTGTGCGCCGTGCAACCGTCCTCTCTGCAAAGGGAAATTTAAACTACAATAAAAAAGAGTCTATCCTTCCCTGTGTATACTTAAACTGATCTTTAAATAGATAGAACAACTTCAAAAGAGGGTTCATATATATAAAACATGCCAATGTAAATATAATTTGGTCATTGAAATAAGGACTTAACGTGTAATTTAATCTTAGGGCTCCAGTATTAATGTTTTAGATCAACTAAAAGTGGTACAAGATAAAAATCTGTCATGGGTTCTTGTCTTGCATAGTGAATAATATTTTACAAAATGACGTCATATAACCAGAAGCAATTTCGATATTCCTAACCACATTTAATATCCAAACGAACTTGTCCAACGTATTTGGGAAACATTATACACAGATTATAAACATGTTTAAACAAACAAGTTTCACCAACCTGAGGAGAACTAGACAGGCAACTCGTCCTGCTCCTTCTCCCTCTGACGCACGGCGACGGCCGTCTCGACAAGCAAGTACAGACACTTAAACTTGTCCTTCTCGACCCCCGCTTCTGGCACGCTCGTTCCTACCACCTGGAACCAGACTTTAATTATAAGTTTTGACTTAGCGTAATTGTTACATACAGAATATAGCCTCTCTTGGGAACTAATTTATGCTTCTCATGGTTTAAATACCCCTTTTTCATTACTCCCGGTTTGAATCGCGTAAATTGCACATAAAAAAACATTTATAAAGCTTTCAAACGCAAAACATAAATTAACCTTATTGTTGTATATAACGGACACAACCTAAATATTAATGTCAAAGCTAAATAAGCACCACTAGCGCCAACCGCTAACTTGCAAAATATATCTCACCTGCAGCCTGCGTCGAATCGGCGTGACCTGGGGAACCCTCGTCACTTGTGGGCGCCACGTGGCCGTCGTGCCCCCTTCCGCATCGTCCCCGGCCTCCTCTGTCTCCATCTGTTCGTTCCCCTCTACTGCCTCGCCGTCCATCGTGCGCACCGTCACTACCGCCGCGGAACTATGCGAAGATAAAAAGGTTACAACAATACGTACAATACATCGTCAAATAATAAAAATCTGCCCTATTTTTTACTCTACAAACAAACTGAAGGTTGTCCTTAAAGAGGCTACTGGTTGTGAGTTCATGTCCTGCCTGTATTTTACGAAATTACTTTATTAATAAACTCACCCCCTGGCTGCCGGGTGCACATCATCTGTCCCGTAGCGTATGACCGAGTGCCACACAGAAGGGTCGTACTTGACGTCCTCTTCGCTGACTGCCCCCGAGGAGTACTCCTCCTCCTGGCCCGACCTGTCCTCGCCCTCTTCCACCATTTCACCGTCGCTTCGGTATACGAGGAGTCCATCACCATAACTGTGCTCACGGCCACTTTCTCCTTCGCCCTGTTAAAAAAAAACAATTCCAACATGAATTAATAATTGACGTTAAATTAAATGATTGCTTTAAGATAAAGTTGTGACTTAGAAAAAGGGTAATGCTTTCTTCTCTTTAGGTCCAATTCTGCTATAGACAGTTGCATGTTGTTTAAATGAGGTCTAAATCTTAAAAATAGCACTATTTTCGTGCTGCGTGCGTGCGTGCTTTCGTGATGGACAAAATGTTTAAAAGTTTTACTTCACAAATATTTGGGAGATTTGTTTAAGGCCTTTCTAATGATCAGCTTTTCTATGCTGTGTATCAATTGAAGCACTTAAGCCAAAGAGTTTCAAATATATAAGTTTTAGTAGTAACTACCTCCATTTCAGAGCCATCCCAGGAAGTAACCACTAAGCTACTGGCACCAGCTTCTCCATCTGCATCGCTGGAGTTAAGCTGCTTCCGTCCGCGACGAGATATAGTATAGTGCAGAGGATCTTGGCCTTCGCGACGAATCATCTCGGGCAGAATACGGCGACGTGCATTGATGAACCAATTGCATACCTATAATTTGCGATAAGTTTCAATTTAAAAGGTAAATTCCATGAGACTACTGGTCCATCTATCACGCTGGATTTTATCTAACTGAGATCATAAAGAAAGCAGAATAAAGTCAAAAAAAAATGGGTATTCCTTTCTCCTAGCAACAATTGTTTGAAAGTCTATTGATCTCATACACCACTTGAAATAAGGACTTCTATAAAGCTCAAAAAATACCTGCAGTACAGTCAAGTTAGCCTCCTGACTGAGTGCAAGCTTCTCTGCGTCACTCGGGTATGCATTGTACCGATGTTCATACAGCCATCGCTTCAAAATCTTCACTGATTGCTTTGGCAAGTTTCCACGCCGTTTGCGTATGATCATGTTACCCTGAAACAAAAAGCCAATATATTATATATAAGCCAATTATATCTTACCTAGAAATACCTAAGTGATATATACCAAAACAAGTTGACAAAAGACAGAAAAGTATGGTACAATAAAAAACATAAGAATACAACATAATAACTCTATGTGGTGTCCCCTCATTTTCATATCACGGAAATTAAAAAAATTAAAGAAGTAGCAAATCCATTTTCTCTGTAATCATTTTAATTTTGAATTTAATAAATGCACTACCGGATTCTGTGACATCGGTAATCCTCCATAAGAAATGGTGATTCTTTTTCTTTCATTTTCACCATCAGTTCCAGATTCATTTTCATCAGTTGACGATGTAGATGGAAACCTGTCTCGAGCTGAAAATAATAATGTTTCAATTAATCATACTATGTAATTTAATCTTTCCCTACTATAATATATTGCCAAAAGAAACTAAAATGCTCTTAACCCTTATTAATAAATGTGTACAGTGTTATAAATATAAACAGTGTACTGAATAACAAGAAACTATTTATATAGCATCAAAGCCACAGTCAGAGACTAGTGTAAATATAATAGTTTTGTAAATATTTTTTAAGATTTATAGATGAAAGTCATATGCATTTAAATATCCACCTTTGCAGTTGCCCATCCTGGCTTCAATCGGTAAACCCAATTAAAACTATAAAATACAATAATAAACATTGGCTGTGGCAGTTTATTATATTGTACAAAATGTTTATATCTTGAATGTGCTATCATACTTAAAGTTTCCTTCAACAAAAAGTATGTATGTCTAAAGGTTACATAGACCAGTGCATAAATAGAAATCAAACCCAGATATTATTTATTTGAAGTTAAGCGTTGACAGAATTCTTTTAGTAATGCACTTTTATCAAGTTATCTTGTGTAATACCACGGAATTTCCTTATTATCTTTGTGACCCTATTTTAGTGAGTGATAAGCAACTATCTTGAAATTAAACTTATAATTGTGAAGCAAAGATAAAATATTATGGTAATATAATGTGGTAACATTTTTTTATAAATATGTTTTTTTATTAAAAAACATTTAAAAAACTGTGCTTTGAATACCATAATTAATAAATGTTTATTGAAAAATAAATTTTAAAAGTCGCATTCGCTAGGTTCTCATTTGGCGTCATTAAAATCGGCCAGTAAACAATATTAGCGCTATCTATAAAACCCAGCGCCCGCCATTTTGTTCTAGTGATGGCTGTCAATTTTCTGTCATAAAGACGTTTTCAGTCATCGCAATACTATCAGCGAATTGTAAACAAACAAAAGAAAGACAACAATTAAATGTTGGTGGTGTAAATGCAATAAAAGCTCATAAAAATACGCATACCCATTATCGATTTGGTGCCCAAAGCGTTTCGACCAAGCTATCTAAAAATAACTCGTGCACGTGCCAAATTACACTTCCTAATAGGACCCTTTGACTATTTAAATGTTAACAAACACTATCGAGAAAGATTTATTGGAATCACACAAATGAAATCATCAATTTCACAAAGATAACTAATAAGAAATTAAAGCGCGCCGAAAGTATTACACTATGTGGCGCATTGGCGCCATTTTAGTTTTGTCAGATCGAACGCCTAGGTGACGTAACAGACCTAGTTTCAATCTTAAATTATACACCGATTATGTAAATACTTTTGTTAAATCGTTTTTTCACAAAAATTATTGAGAAATTGTTTTTATAATGATGTCACCTTGACGTATGTCAGACAGACAGTCGTCACGGTGACACCGATGGCGGAAACGTGGCGTCGATTTTGATTTTTGACCGGCTTTCTTACCTCCAGGCGACATTGACTTTTGTTTATTTGAAACGCGGGCTTCTCTAATGATGTCTCTTGTAATTTCCCTGAGATCCCTTCTTTGCTGATACGACATTTTGAACCGATTCTCTTTTGCGATGCCAACTGAAGGCGGTATCATAGTCTTCTAATCCATTCAATTAATAAATTATGCACTTTTTACACAAATATGAGTATGCATTAGTTTATGCACTCATCACTTGTTCACGAGTCGCTGGACTTGCACAGTAGTCGCTCAATTTACACTAAACCGATTAAAACAACACAAAAGCAAATGAAACTAGAGCTCAACCGTATTGTATTCATTCGACTGACAGTCGTTCTGCGACGGCCGGCGGGAAGCACGCACAGCGCCGTCGCGTAACTTGTCCTCTTCTAACATACACAAAAATATCCGTCTATCTCGTTCCCACATACAACGCCTCAGTGGCCTTAGATGACATTTCCAAGGCGCTTGTCATAACAAAGCGTGGGTTTGGCAAATGGCATTATTTTAATTTTAATTATAATGTCAAAATTATCATCGACATTTGACACCGGAAGCGGAATTAGAATTATAATTGTACATTACCAACACTTCCTTTCTACAGATAACAATATAAACCAAAACGTGATCGTAGACAGAACATTAGGTATAATACATCCTTTGTCTTTGATTATGTCAGCTTACCTATATTATATCAAATTCATTCGCCTTATAAATTGTATAGGAAAAATATATACCTACATTGTGATTATTTGAAAGGAACTATTATTTCTATTCTACCGTAGGTCGGTTTTATGCCGATTAATCGGTTTTAGACTCGGAAGTTAAACTTTTGTACAATTTCGACTGACTAATAGTGTTTTAATGTGATTGAAAAAACTAGCCTTATCGTCTGCAATTGTTTGTGTTTGGCCTAAGGCTCATTTATCACCCGTCTATCTAATTTATGAAAGGAATAGTTAAATGTTAAACTTAAAAACAACTATAATACACTAAAACTTTAATAATATTTTTAATATTAACTTTGATCCCTTAATTCAATTTTATTTTGTAACATTGTGGTGACACGATCCGTTAAGAATATGTATGATTAATGGTAAATGAATGCAATTTTATAATCATTTCTAGTCTTAAGAGTTTACTAAATTTATAAGTATGTATTTTTATATGATATATATTATGAATTATCAATATTATTTTGTATGTGTAACATGTAAATACATACTACACAAGCACACATGATACATTGAATTGATGGCGTATAAAAAATTATGCAAATAAAAGAACAATGAAGACACAATCGATTTCTATGGACGGGTTTATTATTAGAATTTACTTTACATGTCAGACACTTAATTCTCTATACGTACGATTATAATTAATGTTCTAATGAAATATCACAACCGAATCGCTTTTCAGAAGGCACTATTCTTAATAGACTGAACCAATCTTTCGTTGATAACTTCCGGTGCCCTGCGGGAGAACTGGAAGTCCATGTGGCTAAAGTGCTCCACTGGGACTCTGTAGAAGTCTCTGACATCGGGCAATTCCTTGCGCAGCCGCTCCACGTCAGCGGGATGAGCCATCCAGTCGTCGTCACTGTGGTATAGGAATACTGGTACTTTCACCTCGGTCATATTGTATCTGGGTGGTAGGATAGTACCGTAAACCTGAGCATTTGTATCAATACCGTAGTCGTACTTCCTCAATTCGCCGGCCGCCATAGACTGACCGTACTGCTTGATTTGGCGCGTAGATGCCCCCGATGGCATGCGGTTCATGATCACAGAGACAGAGTCCACGTCCATGTTGGAGGGGTTCATGCCCGTTACGACGAAGTTGACGTTGTTACATATGTGTTTACATCCGATCTCGTTCTGGCACATGTCTCCGCCAATCGTGTGCACCAGTTCCTTATTAAGCTTCAACTCACCGTAACCGAGCTGGTAGCGGAGGCTGTCGTAGAACGGACTGTTTGGGGCTAGCATGCGAATGAAAGGGCTGCGCGCGTTCGTCATGTAGACCATGGGGGCGAGGGCGTGCATCATCGCTATCTTGTTTCTGTATTCTGGCCGCGTGGAAGCCAGAGCGAAGAAAGCGGTCGTGCCGTGCGAGTGACCCACGTAGAACAGCTTCTCGTGTTTAGACGTACGCAATACGTAGTCGATCATCACCGGCAGATCGTGGTCAGCGATTTCATCGATGCTAAACTTCCAGAAGTCGGCTAGAGCCGGATGTTTGCTCACGTGGCGACGCGAGTATCTGCTACCGCGGGCGTTTCCGAGCCATACTTCGAAACCTGCGTCGACTAGCATGTAGGTTAGTGATTTATCCATCAACAGCCAGTCGTCGGCGCTTCCCAACAGGCCGTGCATTAGAAATACGACGGGGCGTTTCTCATCAGTGACTTGTTTGGGTAAAACCCTGAACATGGTGAGGATGTAGCCGTCGTCGGTCTGGACGGAATGCTCTTCAACGTTATAATTGCGGTTTCTGAGAAGATCTGTGGCGTTCATGTGAACGTGTGGGGCGCCTTCGACGTCGCTGTGGACGGATACTTCGAAGACCTTGTGGAAATTCCTCTTTTCCTCTTCGGTGATGTGTTGCAGAGTATTGTAAGCGTCACCGAAGATTCTTTCGATGTCTTTTTTGGTGTTGACAGGCGATTTAGGTCCTGCCGCGATTTGGATTCTCTTCCAAGTGATGGCGTCTCCAAATTTGGGTGTATCGCGTTGGATGGTCTTTGTAAAGAATGGGGCCGTCCATTCTTTAGAGGCAGGTACTGGATAGTCGTCGTAGTTCGTCCGTTCGTCGCTGTCGGGTCTTCTGACGATGTTTTGGTAGTCCGCGCCGTCCAGAGGTTGGAAGAGTAGGTCCAGCTGCGGGTAAAACTGGTCTGGCCTGAGGAGATTTGCGCTGGTAGCGCCAAGGAGAGCGAGTAAGAACAAACAAGCCCTCATGGTGTAATGCGTCGTCAATGTGCTCCATGGCAATTGGTTTGGCTATTTATATATATTATTTGCTGATTTAGGCGCTTCTGTACGTTCTAATTACATTCCGATACTACTATGTCGGTTCGGCGTTACTCGTTACTTATATGTATATATTTTAGTTGAATAACATAAGTATTATACATTCCAAAAAAACATATTTCTAGGTCCACAAATGTTGATGAAAAATCCGAGGGGTGTAAAGAACCTGATAATATTTTATAATTCATAGTTTATAAACTATATTTAACTTTTGTTATTAACGATTACTTCAGTATAATCAAGTTTAAATAAAACGGTTTAAGACGTTTTTTTATCACTACTAATATTATAAATGCGACGGTAACTCTGTCTGTCTGTCCGGCTTTCACGCCGAAAGTACTGAACAGATTTAAAGGAAAAAATGGGCACAGATATTCTAGAGCCTGAGAAAGGAAGTAGGCTACTTTTTAATGCCAAAAAAAAAAGGGTTGAAAAGGGGGATGAAATTTTGTAAGGAAATTCGTGATTTTTGAGGGTAGAACAATGAAACTTTCTCCTTTAACTTTTTGGGAGTAAGAGAGAATCGGAGTGAGAGTGGGAGTGATGTGACGTGGGTGTGGGAGTGTTGCGGCAAAGTAGGACTTATAACACAGATTGACTGCCTTGAATGCGCCTTTTTCGATGACATGCATTGCATACCTTTTACTGTACGAAAAAAAGCTAGTAAGGAGATGAATGAGGTATGAAAAGTTGTGTGGATATATCGTTATTAATTTTTATAGAACTTACTTAAATTTTATAATAATTATAAATGCGAATGTAACTATAAAACTCAAATAAGCATATAAAAATACACTATACCATAGAAATACTTATCATGAATACCTTAATAAGCTCTTTGCAGTGGGAATCTATAAAATAATTAAAATATTCTACCCAAAGTTACTATTCCACATGGACGAAGTCGCGGGCTAGTTCAACTAGTTCCATCATATTTTCACATTTATTTTCAACATTTAACAACTCCTTATTTCTCTAAGGAATAAATGTAAGGATTCAAAAACTGTGGTTCCAAAACGACAAATGGAACCCAAACTACATGCTTATTTACATCTAATAACAGAACAAAGTATATATTTTTTTTATAAAATTATTTTGTCAATCTTGACATTTCTTTATAATACTTTTATTAGATTTAAATAATTATGCAAACAATAATTTATATAAGAAAATATATTTTAGATACTCAATCATTTTAATTAGAGCTATTTATATAAGTTAAAATTAAACTGTATGTATCCGTTTATGATATTGATGAATAATTAATTTAAAAAATAGAATAAGAAATTTTGTGTGTTTCAATTACTCGCAAATTAGGTACTAGACGTATTGGGATGCGGTTCTGTGGCCTTACTTCTTATTTGCATTAAAACATTCATTTTAAATTGGCACGTCATTTATTAATTAAATAATTAGAACATGCAGAAAATAAAAACATTTTATTAATTATGAAACTTCAAGTAGGTCAATTAACTCGTGTAAGGTAAGGGTTCGGTTACAGTGGGTTAATGTTTTATTAAAGAGATAAGTATGTAAGTAAGAGCTAAGGCTTTTTAATAAAACATTAAATCTTACACTCTTTAGCTAGCGGACATCTTATAAGTATTTAAATAAAACATTTAACGATTAAAACGCGATAATTATTAAACTTATTTGAAAATGATTTTTAACTTGGCCCGACTTAAAAATCATTTTCAAATAATTAAAATTATGCGTTTTAAACCGTTAAAGTGTTTTATTTAAATGTGTACTATCGCGTAAACTATAGACAGTATCTTATAAGTATTTCATATTTATATCATTAAAATGAAAATAGAACTTGATAATTAACGAAGAGTAGGAGATATATTTATTTCTTATAATTTATTTATTCAACATAAATATATTGTGAAATTACACCTCACTAAAACTCCCTATCTCCTTTAAACCATATTGTTTTAACACAGCTGAAAACTAACGTAATTATATGTAGTTAGTATGCACGCACCTTTACCTCGAATTCGCTATACCAGGCTGTTTCACAAATAGGCTGCGCGTGTACTTCGCGTAGCATATATCAAATGAACATGCTTAGTTGGCGATAATGTCAAAAACACTTGTCTATCATATTACGATTTGATGCAACTTAAAATATTTTAATTGCATAACGTTATTTTTCAGCTAGCCGACTGCGCAAATGGGAGTTATGTTTGATTTAATGAAAATTAACATCTTTTCAAAACCGTAATAGTGAAATTGAGGTACAAAATGTTGCCGCAGAAACACGGAATGTTTTTTTTTTAGACAAAATATTATTTTTTTGGTCGGAGGGGGGGGGGTCCCCCCCCCCCTTTTTTTTTTTCCTTCCTTTCCTCCCCCCCCCGGCCGTGAATGCAGGTTCAAGTTCTGTGCATGTCGTAAACTTTTTTCAAACAAAAAAGGATTTCTAATTTATTTAAACCCATCGTGTGAAAATTAGTAAAGCTTTCTAATGTAGAAAGTCTATATTGTATTCTCAATCTGTAATCAATAATTACATGTTATTGATTAATACAATGATCTTTTGTTAGCGATAAGACCGCCCACTACATTACATAATTTAGATTATATAAAACATGTAATATATATTTACAATAGAAAAAGTATACATGTATAAATAATAAAACTATAATAAAATGTGTATATAATTTCCCAGCCAAACTACAAAAACATAATATTAGTGATCACGTGAGACGTCAGTTGGCCACCCAAAACTATTGTTTCTGCAGGATTCGAACCCATTATCTCACACGCCTAATGCAATGCACTCAACTTTTCACTTGTTATTTCATAAAAAAAGTAATTTAATTAAAATGCATAAAGAAAATGTATAAACTTTTAATTGATAAAACATGTACTTGAACAAGTATATATACATAATTTTTATTAAAAAATATATCAAAAATTTTCTCTTAAAAAAGATATAAAAATATATTAATATTATTCTTTTTAGTACATTTCTATGCTTATATTATTTGTATCAACGTAATTTGTACAACAACAAGTTGGTACTAAACTTATTTTTTTTATTTGGCTCATATAGTTTCAATGCTCAGAACTTACTTAAACGTACAAGCACCGATGAAAATAATTCCGTTTCCGATATTTGAAGGATCCAGGACCTCCTGTAAAGGTGTAAGTTACTTCAGAATTGTACTAATCAATTTGCGAATACAGTTCCGAAGCTACTCCAAACGACTTTATATCTATACGCGATTCGGCAATACGCCGTCATATCTCCACCGGGTAAATACTCCAATTTCTTCTCCAGAAACACCATCGGCGCCCCAATCGAAACCAAATGGTCGTAGAGGTCACTACGCCTCCTACTGTACAACAGCGCCGCACCACCCCTTATGAGATAGCCCAAAAACGCCACCGTATTAATCACTTCTTCGTGATCGTAAACAACGCCATCTGGCGACATTCTACCGAAACAGGTGAAGGTATCGCCTGTGTGAGCCATGTCGTCAATTTCAAAGTTCACGTTCTCCCTCTTCCAGTTCATGAAACCCAGAATGTCGTTACGGCGATCGAAAATGTCCTTCTTCAGCCACTGCGCCTGCAGTGTCTCCAGCTTTTTGAGCTCTGCCGGCGCGTTCGTTTTGTACGTAGCTCTGTCGCGACGTATAAGGGAATACACGGATTGCGCTGTCTTGGGTGGGCCGTTGAAGTTTCCCAAATCGTTGATCCATACGATGTTGCTTCGGAGGTGCTTCGCGATCTCTTGGCTTTCCGCGACGTCGCTGGACCATAGAGAGACGCAGAGGGACGGTTCCAGGAGGCTGAACAGGTCTTTGACGGTTCTGTACGAGTGTATGTGTACGTGTTTGTCTGTGTGCGTGCCCACGTACTGGTATAGGTAGAGGGTGCCTAGGTAGCAGTAGGCGTTAGAGCAAGACGGCGATATGTCTTCGAGAGATTTGTCTGTGCTGTTCGCCTTCCAACTGATCGCTTGTTTGAACCGTTCGACGGCGCTCTCTTCGACGTAAATGTTGCGGACAGCCCAGGGGTACTAAAATACAGGTAGATTAATAATATGTATTACGATGTTTTATTATTTTTTTTTGTAGTTTAAGCGAGTAGTCCAAATTTAAATAAAACATTTATAGTTATTTAAAACGCGAATTATATAAGTAAACTTATTTGTTTTTCATTAACTTAAACGTTTCAAATGCTGCTGTGTTCACGGAATTAGTAGAGTCATAGACAATATAAATTTAACAATACATATCGCGTTTTCAACCGTTAAGCTTTTTATTTCAATATATAGATGCATAAAATCAATCTACATTCTTTCTGAAACATCTGGCCATTAAATGGATAGTATAAACGTTGATATTCCGTCTCAATCACAGACCGAGATTTCCGAGATAATGTAAATTAGGTCGACATTTTGTTGTAAATATAATATGGCTTGGGTATTTCAAGTGAAGACCGTGCTTGTCAGTACTCTACGATAAAAGTGACATCTCTACTCAAATAGTACCCAGTGACGTCACGGTACTTACGGTCTTTGGTGCATGTAGCAAAGCTTCAACAGCTGAATCGACATCCGAACGTCTGGTGATGATGCCTGTGCATCCATTTTCTATTTCTGCGGCAAGAAAAAAAACTATGACGGCTTGGAACATATTTCTAATGGGGAAAGGGATAGTCAACTGATAGTGTGGCTTGATCACCCGGTCTTCTATCCGTGACCCAGATAGAAAATAACAATAATAAATATTTTTCGCACAGTGGCAGAACAAATTGGAAGCTTTATATGTAATTTCATCTCCAATGATTTTTTTACCTGCAAAGCGGACCTACCTGCAAAATATGGAACGTGTTAAGATTAAAATTACATTGCTCGAGAGGTGTGCATATCAATGGGTTGAAAATATTCGACAAATAACGTGGAGAACACGGTAGCTCAATTGGTTAGAGCACCAGAATAGCTGTGGATATCGGTTCAAGTCCCGCCTATGTCGTAAATTTTTTTCCATTTATAATGGAAATTTTTTTTAAATAATTGTAATTTTTTTTTTAAATTGTCTAAGGCTTTCACGGCCATCGATGGCCAAACAGCCCGAAACCCGATGCCCGGGCTGTTCGGTGAGCTAGAAGAGGTTCTCGACGTTTCGCCATCACGTGCGTTCGGCATCATCAGGAGATATCAATTTGTTATAATATGTTTTAATGTAATCTAAAGTTATGAAAGTAATCGCGTATTAATAGTTTTGTATTGTTAATAGTGATGTTCAATGATTAATTTTTACACCGCTGTCGGCTTGGTTGTTTAATAAATATCCCCTTGACAAAACAAAAACACTAAAGATACCTTTTGTTCCACCGAAGGGTCGGACCGAATATATAGTTTCTGGTTCCTTCATTTCAGGGTCGACGATTTCCAGCGAAATTGCGGGTAGTCTGAAAAGATTTTTACCTACATTTAATTGTTAAGTCATTATACCTAGCTTGGGTAGGTAGCTTAATAGCTAAACGTATAGCAGAGGCTGAATCCAGAGGAAATAATAAATTGTTTCTTCCAGGGAGGGTCCAAAAATTTAATAACACTTTTAATGGCTACGTGAAAAACGTATTAATTACATTATTTTTAATTTTAATGCTATATTTTCACATATAAAACAATCAAAAGCGTTTGATTTAAATGTATACTGTCGAAAATATGTTACATGTTAATAAATAAATGCATTAATAAAATGACACAGATTATTGGGTGCCCCATTTCAACATGAAGACTTAATCTTTCCTAGTTATGATTCACCAGCCTGTTTTTAATAACCCACTACAAAAGTACATAAGCTGTTATAGAAACTTTTAGAGATTTTAAGCTTTTCTTTGCTCTTAGTTAGGTCTGAGTTTGAATATCGAGGAAAGATTAGCATAGCGAGTCTTAACATTAATACTAATTGCTGAATCCACAATGGATATATAGCAGTACCATGGTCCACATTATAATTGTCACCCTAGATAACCTTTGGGCCTCAGACGAACATGGCTCCACTAATTTCTGTTCTTTATATCTGTCATTCTACTTTACTGATCGGGACATTTACAGGCAAGTAGTTGACGAAACTTCTGTGCTCTGCTCAACGATTCGAACGAAGGCACAGATGCAGTCCTGCTAACATAAGACAAGTCACATTCTTATAGGAATCTATTAGATAAACTTACCCAGCATCGTTACACAGTTGCGTAAAGAGTTTGCAAACAGCTGCCGTCTTCTTAGAGCACTCGATTATGGGGTCGGTATAATTTTAGAAAAATATTTCAGCAATCCACCCCAAGCAAAAGAGCGGACTATCATCGACCATTTTTATTACGGGATCTTAAATTAAAAAAAAATACTTTTAATGTGCCAACTATGTAACATTTTAGTAGAATGTGCTGTCGATCTATCGATTTTGGTGTTGAATATTCATTTGGAAATCAACAGGTGTCAATTTTGTCAACTGTTAAATTGTTGGAATTTTGTTATTCCTACCATATAACCTATTAATATTAACAGTTTAAATATAAATCAGTTTTAGAGACATGTTGGATCCATGTGAAAATCTAACCGACCTTAACTAGTTTGTTCTATCAAATGATACAACACCTCTTTTGGTAAGATAAACCAAATAATAGTAGTTTTGTACTTACATTTAATTTCATCAATATCTGTATGCTTACAGTAATCTGAGTAGTACATAAGGTTATTAACAATCAGTTTTATGTCATACGCTTCCACCTCTTCCATTGGTTTTCCTCTTATCAAGTATTCAAGTTGACAAAACAAGGTCTTTTCACTCTCAACAAGGTGTGCCAATGCTCTGAGTTTGCGATCCAAATCTTCAATATCATGATATGAGTACGCACTCCTTTTTGTTCGTGTTTTGTATACAGGATCCTTTATTTCAGGGTCATGATCAAGGTATGCCTAAAATAAAGGAATATTACAAATAAGTATTTTTATAAATTGCAATGCCCTGCATGGACTGAGGACAAAATTATTAATAAAAACACCAACTTTTGTTGAATATTGATATTCTAACAACGTTATTATGTTTTTTAGTATAACAAGAGATGTTTATTTAATGGTATTCTAAATAGACTCCTGCCTATACCGTGCTTGATCTCTAGTACCAAACATATTTGGTATAATGGGATGTGTCCAGTAAAGATCTTACTTTTGCAAATGATGTGTCAACTTCCATCTTGTCAAATTTCAGTGGTTCTGCATTCATATCTCTGAAAAATATTAAAAAAAAATTACATTACTGGATAAATTAAAAATATAATATCTGTGACTTTTGATTTTAAAAAATCAGTCATTTTTCTTTTGAACATCATATTATTTTTCACATGTCAATGCACATGACGGCACTATATTACCTACTATTTGTTGCCATGCTAACTAGTTCGATATCGTTTCACGCGTTTGGGAGGTTTTATGGACAAACATACATTACATTTTATTATGTAATAAACAAACTGCTATCGTATATGTATATCATTTATATTATACATTCAAAAACAACAGAATGTAGTAGTAGATAAATATTAGGCAAACTTGATATTGATTATTGAGACAAACGAAATTAAAATATATTAAGCCTTTTTACCTTTAGTGTTGCCTTGTTTCGTTGTTTGCACTTAACACGATTACTTCTGCAGAACTTTGCTAAATCCTTATCAACTATATTTGTAAGTTGTAATTATAATAGCCGATAGTAGCGTTATCACGGAGCAATGATAGCCACCATTCTCAAATTGCTGATAACATTACTTTTTGTATACTTTGTTGTGGATATCTGACATATTGTGTCTTTAATTTCATTTTGACATTACGATATGTGTCAAATTATAATATAATCTGTTAATGTTATAACGAATCTATGCCTGGATTGTGAAAAAAATCTATTGGATTAAATTTTAAATATTAACGGTCTTTTGTAGGTTCAACAGTAAATAAATAATACTGAGAATTAAATTATTATTTACATACATTAGTAATTCATCATTCATTCATTTAGTAATTCTAGAATGAGATGATTTTAATATCATTCATCGTGTATCCCGATTTAATACACTGAGTTTATCCTGATCATATTACATTAAATGTAATTTAAATTTTGAGCGATAGCCCATTTAAATTTAAAAAGTAAAGTGTAGTATCACCTTTACACTTTTATAAACGTTATTCGTTATAACGGTTGCAGGTAAAGTATGTTAACTATGTGTTAATTTATTGTAAAACAATTTAAACGGCCATAGGGTTCAAAATAAATTAGCGTACCCTTTAGCAATTACCATACAATACATTATCGCAAAACTAAGTATGTACCATAGATTATTTTTGAGGTGTTCGGAAAAATAACAGTTAACATCGATACAGGGCGGCAGCAGGGACCTCAAACTCCTCGCAGTTCATATAGTTTACAACCCGCGGTCTGCAAACTCTTCAGTCAAAGTCAGCCTTATTTTTTCAACTTTATCAGGTAGCTTTTTATGAGCAAGCGTGCTCCATCTTAGGTCGCGTTGCTCTTCATCTGAGGAAATAGCTAATATACTCGTTTAGTGGATTCAAAAGGTTCATAAATGTTGACTAACATTAATCAGTAAACTTTAATCAAACACGGAATTAAGGGTTCAAAATATGTCTTAAATAAATAAATAAAAAATGTCCTACGTGAGTGTTTATTCAATCCACATACTTCACTCAACTAAAGAGATTTTACAGCTTTATTCTGTGAGATCGGCTGATTCTAAATTCGATTCCCGGCCGTTTCACAAAAACACTGATCTATGTACATACTTACAAAACGCGCTGTTGCTGGCGTATAACACCGCTTCGATAAAAATAGTTATCCGAAATGTCAGCGTCGTCGCGCCGTTCCAATTTCAAGACGCAAACAATCCGCGCTGACATGACAAGAGTGCATGACCGTCTGCGTTGTACATTTATTTGTGTCTTTTGGAAAATTCGCGCCAACATAATGCCCGTTAGGTTTAGAAATTAACAATGGCTTCAGCGCGCAAGGGGCAAGTGTACAGCGTCGGCAACTATTTGATGACGGGCAAAATCCTGGGGAAAGGCCACTTCGCGAAGGTGGAGGAGGCCACGCACAGGCTTATCGGCAAGAAGGTTGATATACTTTTATTGTGAGGGTACGGGTACAAAAGATGGTGTCACGATGCAGTGTGCCTTTCAAATTCGTTCAATAGTAGCTAGTTACGAACCGAATTAAGGGTTCAAAGATGGGTATTTAAAATACTAGCTGGCCGGACAATCTTTGTTTTGCCCTATATGAATTTATTATATTTGACGCCGGTAGAAGCCGGGTGGGAGGTGGCGGGGATAACTTACTAAGTGATAATTGATCTCACATTAAGCGGAAGAAAATATACCTACTATTAGACATTAAATAAAAACAAAAAAAACATATTTACCTATAGTGTGTTACAATTGGCGGGTTCCAAATGTTTTTTTGTAAATGCTGCATTTCATTTTCTTTCTTTACCTCGCCCAATCGCAACATTCTATTCTGGGTCTCCTTATCCTTCCTAACAAGCATACAATACTTAATTGCTATTCTCCAACAGGTGGCCATTAAAATAATAGACTTGACTTGCATCAAGGAGGACTATGCCAGGAGAAATCTTCACCGCGAGCCCAGAATCATGGCAAAACTGCGGCACCCCTGCATTGCTGCCCTCTATGAGACGATGATGGTATAAATATAATTCAAGAAACTATACCCACAGCTAACGCTGACACAAAATCATATCATGAATCGAAAATAAACATAAGCCATTAAGAAATCATATTATCCATTTGTTGTATAAAAATAAATAAATATTTGTAAGGAAAATTGCAAAACAATGGAATTGGTTTGGTTTCAAAACTGTAAATGGAAGCCGAGATTTTTAAAAGCGATTTTACCACTCACACGGTTCGTGTTACAGCACGGACCCCGCTTGTACGTGGTGATGGAAGCAGCCGGTGGCGGTGACCTCTGCTCGCATGTACTGGCTGCACGTGGTACTGCGCGGGGCCTCCCCGAATCGCGCGCGCGCGCATTGGCCGCACAACTTGTGTCTGCGGTGCGGCATATGCACGCGAGGGGCGTGGTGCATCGGTAAAATCATGCTTTTTATGAGATCGGAAATTAGACCCCTGGTCGTTTTATAAATGTAACACTTTAACAGTTTATAACGTGAAATATATTACTTATACTTATTTACAAAATTATTTTAACTCTGGCATACCTACAAACGCGAAGACACCGTTAGCCAATTCTGCAAATACCCAGCCGGGCGCTAATGTAGCAGCTTTTACATTACACATAAGACACCCCGCATATTCAGTCTCCCCGTGACCACTGCTGCTGCTAAGCATCCGAAACGTCGGGCCGTAAATAAGTTTAACTAATATATTTCCCATTTATAACCGTTAGTGTTTTGTTTAAATGAGTCCCGGCCGTTTCACAAAAACCTTTATTTATCCGCCTTACCTTTTAACACGTGCTCTTCGGACAAGGAACACGCCGCGAGGAGACATTACCATCACTCCTATACCCTTATAGTCAAATAGGTGTTCCACGTCCCCGAGTTAGGATTCTAAATGATGGCAATAACTAGTAGGTTAGACATATACCTATTGTGTTTAATTTTATTCCTTTACTTCTAATGACTAACACATACTAATATACGACTTAAGTCAATGGTCTGATAAATAAATTATTATTTTTATATGATATATAACATTTTACACAATATGTGTCTTTAACAGCGATCTGAAGATGGAGAATATAATGCTGGACGGCACTAAGCAGTTCATAAAGATTGTTGGTAAGCATAACGTGATCCCCTATGTACAATCGGTGACAACGTGTAAGTCGCTAGTTAGATTTTTAAAAATTCTAGTAGAAGTAAGCTTGGATTTTAGAACTAGCTCATATTTTGGACGTTTATTATTGAATTTACAAGTGGGAAACACTGGAAAATTTGTAATCTAAAGTTCTTTGTTTAGATTTTGGTCTATCAAACCTATGTGGCTCGGGAGGTGCTTTGCGAACGCCTTGCGGGTCGCTAGAGTACGCCGCGCCTGAGTTGTTTGTGGATGGGAGAAGATATGGACCGGAAGTTGATCTGTGGAGCATGTATGTATCTTATGGCTGTGCTCTAAAAACCAAGTAAGAATTGCTAAATACTGTCCGTAGTTTACGCGAGTAGTACACATGTAATTTTCAAATACTTTCGTTTAAATTTAATTGAAAATTTTTTTTAACTACGGCCAGCCCAAGTTAAATATAATTTTCAAATAAATGTATTAATATATATCGCGTTTTAAACCCTTAAAGGGTTTTGTTTAAAAGTAAGAATTGTTGTCAGATGACGTCACGTTTTCTAGTTAAAGTTTACTTTAAAACTTTTTATATTTCAGCGGTGTCATCGTATACGGCATGGTGACCGGCGGGCTGCCGTTCACATGCCCCGAAGGGGGGAGTAAGGCAGGAGGCACAGAGGGGAACTCAAAGTCTCAATTGCGAGCAGCTATAGCGAGGGGATTCACGAGGAAGCAACGCAACGCGCTCACTCTTGTATCTACAGGTAGAATGGATATAATATTTTGATACCTATATGATTGCGCATTAAGGTTTTCAGACGAGAAGGCCAATAAAGTAATAAATACGTAAATAAGCAATGAAATTGGTTAGGTAAATAATATTCTAATTAAACAAGTGCGCAGCTGATGCATTTAAAAGTCAGTTGTTGAGGACAACAATAAAATTATCACTTACGTTGAGCGGAGAGATGGCATTGTAGAAGAAATTATACGGATACAAGGTTTAACGTTTTACATCTTTAATATGATAAAATTACAAAAATCAAAACTCAAATTGGCAAATACAATGAACGACAACGGTGTAGTTTTAAATTTTTCTGATGATTTACTAGAATTTTGTCGCCTCTTTTTATGTGATCCTGAAATAGAAAAAAAAAGTGATGATAGAAGAGCACAGACAAGCATGGAATTTACTTGATGGAAGGTGAAATATCCCAGCCATTTAACTGATGCGCTATCGACCTATTTTGGCTTTGGATATTTGGAAATATCATTACTCATTAAATCTCCAGATATTATAGACGAATACTAACAAGTAACAGAACAATATATTTTAATCAATGAGTCAACCGGCTAAAAAATATAATACATAAATCTTGTATATAACATTAATCTGCCTCTAAAGATAAGGGAGGAGTTTACTGTGCTTGGTGCAGTTATATAATCTTAAAATAATATGGCTTTCACAGAATGCAAGCTCTTCGTACAACAGCTATTGGAGCCAAAAGTAGAGCTTCGGATGAAGATCGAGGAAGCTGCGAGGCACAGGTGGGTCAAGCGTCCAGGGATGCGAATGAAGACCCACCCTTTGCCACCGCCAGACTCGAAAATTAACAGAGAGGTGACATTTGTTTCATTAAATTATATACACCTACCACAAAACATTAGAAATAAATTTAACTAATAATTTAAATATTTTTAACATAACGATTCGGACGATCATAAAATTAATGAAAGATTTTGAGGATACATATATATTTTTTAAATATATTATACCTAATGTGTGAAAGTTCAGTATTTTTAAAGTTGTGGTATTTCTTATAAGGTTTTTTTTTTGTGGGACAGAATCAGCCCATAAGATCTGGTTATAAATACTGGTCTTTAGTGTGAAAGAAATGTTAAAAAGATGAAAATTTAGATTTACAGACAAATAGCTGAGCTAAACAGTCAGAGTTTTCTGGACATCGTGGCCGAAATAAAGGCAGAGCCATTCGGAGCGACCGCCGGCATGTACAACATCAAAACACATCTACACCAAATTCAAACCGCCTCCGGGCCGGATCTCCTCTGGTCTTCGAACACGACTGAACCCCGCCCCCAGTCACCGCCAGAGTACCGAGCGAAATACGACCTGCAGGACAATAAACCTTCGCTAACCCTGCAGATTGCGTCCAGCTTGCAGAAGTTACGCATCAATAACCAAGTTATTCCCAAACCGAAGCCCAGTAACAGCACGGCTGAAGCCGTCGAAGCTGAAGTAAACGACGCTAAGGACAAGCCGAGGGCGTTGAGCTATTTTGGTTTGCGGAAGCCGGTTTTCAAGGTGTATGAAAATGGAGATGGGCTGGATAGAAGGCTCCCGAGTATAAACGAGCAGTCTAATCCGGATTTATGTGACAAGAATAACACGAGGAAGGAGCTGAAGCCATCCAAAAAGCCTTCGCAAGATGAGCCTCTTAGAATAACCAGCGGCCCGACTAGAGTTAGCGATGTGAAGCGAACAGAGTTTTACAGGAGGGGTGGGGATGGTTTGCCGAGGTAATTATCGTGAATGTTCAGTATCTTATAATTACGTGGAACTCAAGTTCCTCTAATATGATTTGAAGTCAATTACAGTAAATAGCCATTACTAATTTATTGACGGTAACCGTTCAAACTTATGGCTTTGGGGGTGGTAAGTTTTTAAACGTTCTCTTTACAAGAGACCTTCGAGTTGAAATAATCAAAATTTAAAAACTATACAGTTGGCGGGCGAGCGGTATAACCAGAAGCCAAGCACCAAGAATTTTGCTGCAGAGCAACGCGACTACCATCAAGCGTGCTTCACTGGGGTGAGCTAAATAAAACCGTTTAATAATGACAGTCAGCAGAGCCTTTACCACATCTATCGTATATAATTGGTTGTTTTTTACCTTCTTAACAGATTATTACTTTGTTATATTATTATTTAAATCAAAGGTCGTCCTCGATTCCGGCTTTTGACCAACAACTGTATATATAAATAGCGGAAAATTAAATTACAAGAGAGATGAACGTAAATAAAAAAATGTAACGGATACGAATTGATAATAATATAGTCGTGTAGTCGAGGTTTTTTCATAACAATAGTTTTAAATGGATTAATCTTGCTTTCAGCAACATCGTGAGTCCGCACTCATCGTCCAACAACAGCCACTGCAAGAGCGAACGCTCTATGCCCGTGAGTGACAAACAACAAATATATTTTGACATTTGTTGGCCATGTTTGTATATACTTTTATTTGTGCATAATTATTCCATTTTCATTCTAAAATATGAAACACGAACCTTACCACCAATTGTCACTTCTCCGCCCGTAGTTTTTAATACGTTAACAATAATTTAGTATCATTTAAATTTGCTTATAATTTCAGGTCGGCTGGTACTCTCGCCCGATCGCGAAGGAGTCGCACGCGCAGCGCTTGCGCCGAACCGCGTCCATAAAGTAACGATTTTTTGACAGACTTTACGAAGCGATAATTTTGTAAGAATTTATACAAATCCTTGTGAGGGCGTTTATGTAATTTTAAGAAAATAAATTTAAAGAAATATAGATAGAACAATTGGAAATTTAAACTGATAAATAAGAGTGGTGTTTGTTTTCAACCGAGCATTTTATTCGTCTCTTTTGTACATACAGCTTGTTTGCAGTTAATATATTTTTTATTCTTGCTAAAAGGTTTACCTTTGAGCAAGAATAAAAAATATAAGGCGAGGCCTACACAAAATTACATTATGAAACATAAAACTCAGATGGTGAATGAACTAAATGAAGAAAAACATTTATTCATTTGTTATATACAAACATGCTTTCAAAAATACTTTTTCTTTATGAACCATTTTATTCATAATTTCAACAAAAACCTGCAGCAAGAATCGATCATTCCTTTACTAGCTATTATTGTTCTTTCCCGAAGGAGAAGTCTCGACAGCTCGACTTTACCAGCTTTTTAATTCGTAAATTATGTCCCTACTACACATTCATCAACAAGGTTATTAAAAACAAATAGATTACAATAAATGAAAAATTACCGCCGCACGAGTGTGGTGTCAATGGTGCGGCATATGCGTGGGATTGGTGATGGCTGCCAGACGCGTGTAAGTGGTTCTGGGGCGCGCGCGCGCAGGTGACTCCCCGCCGCCCGCTTCGCTCTTAAACACAGCGCAGCAACGCCATTGGTTCAAATATTGCACTGGAATGTGATTACGTCATATTATCGTTTGTGTTTTAAAATAAATTGGTATTTTTATAAAGGCGTAGGGTTCACATCATAGAAACTGGAATACCCCAGCCAAATAGCATCTAAAAAAGATGTGCTATTATTATACAGCTATATATTAGCTTTGATATTCGGAACTCCAAAGATTGAAACTGAAAAGCAAATTAATACTATACGGCTTTTTAATCTTTGTGGTGGATGACTTGGCTGAACTTATATATATTACGACTATTTAATTTCCGAACGAAGTCTAACAACATGTATAAATTTTTGAAATACATATTAGACCCGTTGGGAGTTAAACCTACGGCCCTTGTTGATATTTAGCCAAATATCGCATATAGCACCTATAGGCTCGCACAAATATTTTTTAACTGTTAACAAATAGTATAATTTCTGCATAAGGTCTTAAAGATATGGTAAAATGTTAGGTAACAAAAAGTTTTTACAAGAAGATAAAATGAAATGTTTACTTTTCCAAAGCCTAACGCAGCAGTCATCGCCGGAAGAGGCCAAGAGGGTGCCGGTCACGTTCCACGAGACGCGCCACACGCACGAGTTGTGGTCCTCGAACGCGGCGAGTACTTCACTCCGGAATCGAACACCGCACCCGTTGCCATTACTTGATGATTCCCTGTAATGACAGGGTCGCTGCTAAAGAGCTTCTGTTTATCTATATATATTTTTTCTTGGAAATTATTAAGTAATATAATTTTTATTTCAGTAAAAACACTGAATTTATCTAAATTTGTAATTGAGATCTTAAATAAGTATTGTCCTGAATGAATTGGTAGCAGTATTGAAAATATGTATATAGATTTACAAAAAAGGTATTTGTAATTAGAAATAGTACTATGTAATGTACTTTAAAAAATTTCGTTTAAAAAGTGCATTATATTAGATATTTTTCCGTTTTTGTTTTTAAATATATAACTAATTTTTAATTTCAAAAGAAGTAAAGTAGTATCTTTCGCGTCATTCCAAATTATAATAATTTACTCAAATGCAGTACTCACGGTAGTGGTTCAATCTTAATGATGCGAACATCTTTAGTCGCAACAGCTAATATGTGGAATGATCGTCCAAGATTCGGAGCAAACATGAGGTCGTTGACTGGCTCCACCACAGACGATAAACACTCTGTTCGGGTCCAGCGGCGACACGCTTCGCTATATCTAAAAAAAAATGCTTTAGTAGTTTAGCACCTTATCAAGAAGAAAAATCAATATAAAACTGATTATTCCGAGTTGTACATTAACGAAAAAATACAAACATATATAATTCTTCACAGTATGGATACATAAAAGAGAATGCCATTATGTTCCAGGCCAAAATGCGCAAGTCACTCCTTTCGTAATTCATATGTATATTGGCCAATATGGTATATAGTTTCTTCAAACCCTCTTGTATGCCCTCTGAGATTACCCAGCCCGCTGCTATGAAGCGCGTTGGCGGGCTTTAATGACTACCGCCACTAAATTTTATATTAGATGACTAAAGTATCTGAACTTACTCATAAATAAAAACTTTTCCATTGCAATTTTTGTCATTTTGCAAATTGGTATTGACAACATTTGGTTCATCACTGCCCACAGCCAGCATGGGTGGGTTTGAGTTAACCCTGAAAAAATGGTATATACAGCAATAAGTAATAAATTTCAATTAGGAATTAATATCTAACTAACAGTACAAAGGTGATTTTCTAAATCTTTCTTTGGCAGTTACAAATAATAGAGAAAAAATAAAAGAGAGTTGGAACTATTGCAATAAAATAAAACCTTTAATATTAACTACTTAAGAAAGCAGTTGAAAGCAAATAGATGAATAGAGCTCAAGAGAGGGCCGTGTTTTCGGAGAGGCTTATGTCTAGCAGTGGACCCAAATGGGCTGCTAATGATTATGAAAACTTATATGCATAATATGCAAAAAACATACAAGTTTCCCTATCTTTTCACTTATATCAAACAACTACTTACTCCTGTAAAGTAAATAATTTGTCTTTCTATATAATAAAAATATTTGTGAAGCAGTTAGACTTTACCTTGATAAAGATGGATTCCAGGACAGACAACTAATAGAAACCTTGGTTGGTATTTCATGCTGTAGGGTCCATTGTGCCAAATTCATTACATCTGGTGCTTCGTATATCCTGAATATAGCAATTTCTCATCAAAATATGAACATTTTTAAGACATTTGTGTAGAGTTTAAAGCATGACCATATATTTGACCCGTAAGTGAATTAAATTGTAAACAAACTTATATATGTGTGAATACTTATAACACACGCTGCAATAAGAGTACACAGGTCTTATTGTATATTTTGCTAACATATCATTTTATGCTGTTGAGATAAAGGTTAGCTATATACCTGACGTGATATCAAGTGTTTTTTACGGTTATGATTATTTTTGTGTAATACCTAATAATACCATCCGCTGAGCATGTGACTAACAATAAACCCAAATGCTTTGGTCCAAATTTGAGATCTGTGACGGATGTCCTTGAATCTACTAGGTTTGACCGTTTGACCCAAGTTCGCAGACCTTTTTCTGATCCAGATGCTGTGATGTCCCCTAAAATTTTGAGCATACTTTATGAAATGAGAATTTAATTTAAAATTAGAGGAAATTTTATACTGTAAGTGAAAAAGGTTATTTTTGTGGTACAATAAAACACAAAGTAGCATTTTTATTGAATTTACCATTACAGATGATAAAAGGCAAACCAAATTTAATGTGACCTGAATGATGACATACCAACTTCCTCCCATATTGCAGCAGTTCTATCAAATGAGCATGTAGCAAGTACTTGTCCAAATTCAGGGTGAGCCCACGTTACTTTCCATACAGACCCATGATGAGCCTTCCAGCTTGCAGTAAGTCGCCAGCCACCTTGACCATCGGAATCCCATACCTGTACAGATATCAGTTTTGTATTCCGCAATTAAACAAAATTAAAATATTTTTAGTGAGAAATACTTTCTTAATTAAGTAATTAAATACTGCACCCCTTGTATGGAAATGAAAACTTTTGATTACCATCAGATCCCACGTATGAAATATGGGTGTTTATAAAACTTTTTTATTTTATGTTAAATACTAATAGGTTTTAATAAAAACAACAACATAACCTACTTTTACATACTGATCGCTGGAGCAAGTTGCCATTCTTTCGCCATAAAAATCGTAAGCAACATCATGTATAAGATCCTTGTGGTCTGCAATTATTGTTTGCGACTCAAATAAGTTATTAACACCTACTTCACTCATATTTTAAGAGAAACTAGTTAAGTTCTTATAATTTAATGTATCATAAACTTGACTGTTAAATATTTTAAATTTTTGCGTATTTTGACTTTGACAATTGACAGCGATAAGGATTTTGCCACAGAGAGGTTACAAGGTTTTGGCGTACCGTAATCAAGACATTTATTTTAAAATGAAACTAAATTTACTTATTATAAAATTTAGTAAACAAAGTTCATTGAAGAAAAAAGATGAACATAATGAATAAGATATACAAAATTTTTAATATTTTAAAACCTACTTAATTAAATAACATATTGAAATTAAGCAAAACTAATTTTATTCTTAATAATATAATACATGCACCCCCCCCCCCCCCCCCCCCCCCCCCCCCCCCCCCCCCCCCCCCCCCCCCCCCCCCCCCCCCCCCCCCCCCCCCCCCCCCCCCCCCCCCCCCCCCCCCCCCCCCCCCCCCCCCCCCCCCCCCCCCCCCGCCCCCCCCCCCCCCCCCCCCCCCCCCCCCCCACCCCCCCCCCCCCCCCCCCCCCCCCCCCCCCCCCCCCCCCCCCCCCCCCCCCCCCAAAAAAAAAAACCCCCCCCCCCCCCCCCCCCCCCCCCCCCCCCCCCCCCCCCCCCCCCCCCCCCCCCCCCCCCCCCCCCCCCCCCCCCCCCCCAAAAAAAAAAAAAATAAAAAAAAAAAAAAAAAAAAAAAAAAAAAAAAAAAAAAAAACCCCCCCCAAAACAAAAAACCCCCCCCCCCCCCCCCCCCCCACCCCCCCCCCCCCCCCCCCCCCCCCCCCCCCCCCCCCCCCCCCCCCCCCCCCCCCCCCCCCCCCCCCCCCCCCCCCCCCCCCCCCCCCCCCCCCCCCCCCCCCCCCCCCCCCCCCCCCCCCCCCAAAAAAAAAAAAAAAAAAAAAAAAAAAAAAAAAAAAAAAAAAAAAAAACCCCCCCCCCCAAAACCCCCCCCCCCCCCCCCCCCCCCCCCCCCCCCCCCCCCCCCCCCCCCCCCCCCCCCCCCCCCCCCCCCCCCCCCCCCCCCCCCCCCCCCCCCCCCCCCCCCCCCCCCCCCCCCCCCCCCCCCCCCCCCCCCCCCCCCCCCCCCCCCCCCCCCCCCCCCCCCCCCCGAACAACTTGATTTTAATATGATTAACACAACAAATATAATTTTACGATAACATTTTATAATAAAACTATAATTAGGGGCCCAAATAGAGGATATCACATTATAATGTACGTTTTGAAGAGTTATTTAAGTTATGCTTATTTTTCATTTCATAAATTTCTATGGCAAGATTCCTATTAATTTCTAACAATTCAGTTTGTGTTTCTTGAATGCTCAATAAACGATTATTCATATTTGATAACTGCTTTTCAAGATATAAGTTTTGTTTAGTCAATGCCATCATGATGTGAAGGAAAGAGTTTTTGTTCTCATCAGTGACATATGATAGGTTTAATTTCATAAAGTCTTTTAAATCTTCAATAGCCTTATCGTCTATGATGGCATCATTTCTAAGGGAGTTCTGCTTCGGATTTGTAATATTTGGGGCTCTTCCATTAGATATCCTTCCTTCACTTACTGCATTATGTAACATAGGGTGTAAGGAATTATGTTCAGTTGTTTTATTAACTATTGGAGTGGACGATTTACTTATATTCTTTTCCATATCGATTTGATGTAATCTAAATTCAATTTGATCAATTTTTCCTATACTGTCAAAAGATTTGTTGGCATCACTATCTATACCATCATTAGTTTTATCTCTCATGCCCATCATAAGAAGAAAGGAGTCTTCGGCTTCAGTTGGGGGTACTTCAGTAGGTTTAGGTGGTGTGTTATTAGCAAAAAACATGTCAGATGAACAATTTCTCAAAGGTGATGCTTTAGCCGGGCTGTAAATGTCCAGTCTGTCAACTAAGCTTAAATCTGGTGAGAAAAACTTCTTTCTTGGAGGCTGAAAAGCTACTTTCTGAACCTTGTTGTCATGTCCTTTCAGTACCTTATAAGGTGACGTTAAATCTCTCAAGTCATAAAGCAACACATGACCTTTCTGAGAACCGAGTGCTACATGATTTTCACTATTAATAGCTAGAGCTGTAAGTGCATATGGTGTCTTTAAAGTTGATACAACATTTTTTTGCCTTATGTCATAAACTTGCATGCTTTTATCATATCCGCAAGATAACATGACATCTTTGTTTATCAAAGAAAATACAAAATCAGTGACAGGCGATGCATGACTGTCCTCAAATGTTGCTTTGTCCTTATTAGTAGTTATATCTCTTAATATGACATGACCCTCATCAGTCGCTAGACCTAATAAGGATCTAGCTTCGTGATGGAATTTCATAGCAGATATGCTTTTAGAGCAGTTCAGCTTTACTGTAGAAACTGGGATATTTGTAGCAAGGCCATAAATTACAGTGTCTCCATTCTGCATTGTTGCTGCTACACTAGTGTTTTTAGCGTTAAAGCTAAGGATGTTGACACAAGTATGGTTTGGTGATGTAGGAAATGTCTTTATCTTAGCTTTATTCTTAGCATCCCAGATTATAACTTCTCCTTTCTGAGTTCCAACCGCAATATTTTGGTGACCATCTCGCTGGAAGGTAGCAGAGGAGGATTCTTCAATTGGTACGTGCTGTAGGGTAAGATTTTGAATCGCAGGACTCAATATTTCAACAGCTCCTTTAGGGTTTACCTGAAAGTAGTGTTAAATGGAGTTTAAATACAGCGAAATAATCGTGAATTAAGGAACTGGAATTGGTTAAAATTTTAGTACTCACAAGAAGTATGTATTTACTGTCATCGCTCCAAGAAACATCCTTTAGAATACCCTCGGACTTCCCGTAAGAATATTTAACTTCCCAGCTGTTCGTATCATATAACAGCAAATGGGAACTAATCGACGAAAGATACATTTTTATTCCTTATTTCGGATAAGCGGTAATTAAATATTTGAATTGACTTTTATATATTTTTTCTGGAAGCCGATTAAGATGTATCGACGAACGGTAAATAATTTAAAGTTAAAAACAAACATTAGGTGGGGTGTCGGTGAGTGCAAATAAATTGACATTGATAGTTACGATTTGTCATGTCCTATATGTCACGAACATTTTCTTAAATATAAAATATGTATAAGATTATAATCCTTGCAACCTTATTAAAATATAATACAAGAGGCAGTCATTTTCTGTTGTTTTTTTAAAGTTTGCATTTTCTTTTTAATATTTGTATAGTCTGTAAAATGAATGTCAACTGTCATCAGTAAATTAGACATATATTTTCGTGGCATTTTCAGCCGACATAAACAAACTATTTGGATATTATTGTGGAGTGACGTGTCCTTCATTCAATTAAGCCGGTAAGTTATTATTTTCTAATATAAATAATATATTTTTAACAGTATGTGTAGCATTTTCTATATTTTCAACCTTTCCTTTTAATTATGGAGAGTAAAGCATCCTTGTTAGAATATAACCTAAATATTTATGATGTTGCTATTGATGTTTATTATTTCAGATTATCCAAGATGATCACAGACATACAACTAGCAGTTTTCTCAAACATTTTGGGAGTTTCTATATTCCTCCTTGTCATATTGTACCACTACATTAATGCCAACAGCAGCAAGTAAAGTAAGTGCAACCATTGACGGGACTACTTCTGTACATCAAAAGCCTGGTAAAAAGTTGTTTTTGAGTTGACAAGCTGTGTCTCATAATGCAATACTATTGGGTGTACTAAAACCTGCATTTAGGTGTGGTTAATGTACTGGTTTATAATATTTTAAATAGTAGTACCAGTAAAAATTGACTTTTCATTTATTTATCTATACTAATATTTAAAGCTGAAGAGTTTGTTTGAACGCGCTAACCTCAGAATTCTGGTTCCAGTTGAATTATTTTTTGTTGGTTAGAACATTCATTGAGGAAGGCTATAGGCTATAAATCATATCCCTGTGACTAATAGGAGCAAAGATACAGCGGGAAGTATCTAAAAAAATTGAGAAAATTATTCATCCTTATGGGTTTCCATTGCTATGGTGCGAAAATAAATGGTTTGAGATACCTAAAAATAGTACTCTTTAAATGATCTAAAAAAAGTTATGACAGTATATGTCTATCTTCTAAGATTAACTTGTAAGAACGACGGGACGCGGGTGACGTTGTGGGTAACAGCTTACATTTATAAAGTTGAACAGGAGGTTTGCAAAGAGAAATTAATATCCAAAATAAGTATTCTAGGAGTATGAAATCGCTGACTCAGCTAGTCATGAATATAATAGTTGTCCTTAAAATACACAATGTTAACCTGAATACTTAAATAAATTTATCAAAGTGAAATTTATTAAAAAATAAAAAGTACTACCATGCTTTGCAATATAGAGAGCAAAATAGATGTGACAATTTCCTAAAAATAAGTATATATAATAGTAAATAAAGTTGTATTTTACTTTTCAGGTATACCTGCTGTCTTCGTATATCATTTCCATAGTTATACCATAAGATGTAAATAAATTAAGTTTATAAACCAATCTATTTTTTTACTGTAACCAACTGTTACATTATCCCAACCTTTGTTGATAGGACATTTATATAGATACCTTGTGGTATTCCTAAAAAGCTTTGTCTATTGCAAGTTTGCGTAATGCCAATATGTAAAGTTAGACTATATATTATAATGCAATTATTATATCTGTTTTTTATTATATTGTTAAAACATGGAAATACATCAGCAAAAAATAGTTCCTTGCTATAATCATAGATGGCGTTTTAAAATATTTGTAATGTATGTAACTTTACTAAAACAATTTTGTACATTATTATAAGTACATTAAAAGCTATAGAATCTTACTAGAATTATTGTAATATATGAAAGATAGGCTTTTTAAAGATTTAAATAATTTTATTTTACTTTAAGCTGTTAATACTAACCACATAGCTCTATATCAACTTTTTGCTAACTGTAATAATAAACAGTTTTCCCCGAATGTATATAATAAAAAAAAAAAAAAAAAGAAAATTCCCCCAAACCGGCCAAGTGTGAGTCGACTCTTGTAAGATGTGTTTGGTGCTATCGTGTAACATTGTATAAATAAACAAATTTCCTATTATAACCTTATTTGGTATATTGGTATTTACAAGTGCATATCAAGTACAAAGGGGGCATTTGTTGTATTGTGTTGTCTTTAGTTCTTATAGCAACAATGGAAACAGGTACATAATTTTTAAATTCAACGCTCAAGCTAACGCAGTGTTTGAGATGCAGTCTAGTGTGAGAATGAATCCTTAAAAAACATAGGTGCCTTGTCAAAGAAAAAGAACAAGCAATAGATGCTTCAGTATTTGGTTCGCGAAAAAGTACGAATTAGCGACGAAACTCGCTAAGATTGCTTTTTATTACAGCTATTATTGGCGTTGGGTGTAATTTATCGCTTCGATAGTTTTATTTGGCCGCAGGGAGCGATTATCGGCGGCTTAGATCATCTGTAATGCTTAGAAAAAATGCGGCTATTGATATCTCGAAAAGAGAAGGGAGAAAATATTATTCCAGGGTATTTCTGTGCTTTACTTTTATTAGCAGCATATAACACGGGTCAACATGAAATTTGACTTTGATTGCAAAGCATTAAATTTCAGTTGTTTAGGTCGTAATAAGACGGAAAAAAAATATGGCATGAAAAACTTTGCTTTTGTGCTTAGAACGAAATTTTAAAAAATCTCGGATTTTAATTTTTGATTGGAAAAAATCTATTGAAATAAAAATGTTTATTATTTTTATTAAGTTTTACTATTATTAATTTAGCTTACAGAAAAGTGGAAAATAACTTAAAAGTGCACACTTTTACTTTTTTTTTATGTTCGTAGCTACTATCTCTCAATAAACCCCAAATATAGTCGCCCATCATGTTTTCATTGTATTGGCCTTGATAGCGTTGTTCAAAATTCATGATGTCCTGATGAAAACGTTCTCCTTGCTCTTCGGAATAGGCTCCCATATTGTTCATAAATTTATCTAAATGAGCATGCAGCATATTATGTACTTTTAATGACATCCTGCAGCTCATGGCCTTAAAATTTGTAAGCATATCCTCAACCAACTTTTCGTAGTTTTCAGCTTTATTATTTCCTAAAAATCCAGAAACTACTGCTTATTCTGGGCTTGTAAATAACACCTGATGGTTGTTTATCACTCGGGTGCCATCTAGCGGCACAGTGTAAACGTTAATACCCCACTCTCACCGCGCGGTCTTTTTAAAAATATTAAAATCAATTAAAATTTATGAAAAAATTAAAAAATGAGTATTATTATTATAACTATCACAAAAGCAAACTTTATACCGAAAAAAGGCATTTTCTTTTCGTTTTTGTGCATAACTAACTGGAAAATAATAGTATAAACTTTAGGACAAAGAACGAAATTTTTTTTGTAGAGTCGTGTTCGAACCGTTAAAAAATTTGGTTGGTTCGGCTCTTATATTTATACAGGTGCTGTCAGGATTATCACATTAGCTGCCGTATCTACATAAAATGCGTCTTGTTAGATTCCGAGCCTAATCGCAAAGTTTCATTAAAATCGGCCGAGCTAGTAAGGCGCAAGAACTCTTTTCTTAATTAACAGAATACATTAGGTTACACTTTCACACACTGAAATGAATGACAATTTATACTAGAGTTTTTTTGTTTGTTTAAACACGCTAATATTAGGAAGAAATATTATGTTGAGTTAGTTAGAGAATTTATAGAGGTAGGTTTTAGGGTACAAAACATTATCAGCAACTTATAGGAGCGAAGAAACAGTAAAGAAAATAATACAACTTTGAGTGGTTACGTCGCGTGTTCTGCGAAAGCGGATTCGAGATATTCAAAATATATGTATGAAATTCCACTTAAAATAATATAAAAACAACATGCGACAGTATATGCCTATACTATATGCTGTGGGTAACAGCTATAATTTCTAAAGACGAGAAGGTTTGCAAAACAAATTTTGACGCCGAAAATAGCTAAGTATTCTATGCGGACGAAGTCGCTGGTAGGTAGGTACAGATCATTGATAACTTCGATGTGGGTGTTGTCATTTTCAAACATAAAAGGTAAAAAAATCAACGACGTTATTTTGGGTATAAAAAATTGTTTTTGCAATTATTATTATATTTATAAAATTCACCTCCTTCTATATTTCGCATTGCGATGTTTCGATTTATGCTCTAATCAACACAAAAATATTTTTTCAATATGAACCAGTAGTTCCTGAAATTAGCGCGTTCAAACAAACAAATAAACTCTTTAGCTTTATATATTAATACTAGCTGTGCCAGCGACTTTGTCCGCATGGAGTATTTTGGGCGTCTAAATTTGTTTTTGCAAACTCAAATGCAACAATTTTAGCTGCCCACCACCCCCGGCGGGGCCCCCTCGCTCGCGACCCGTCGTTCGGGTCCCGTCGTTCATGCAAGTTAATCTTCAAAGATAGACGTATAGTGTCGCGGACATTTTTTTAGATCATTTAAAGAGGAATCAATCTTTCATACATATTTTTTGGTATCCCGAACCGTTTTCGCAGCGTACGCATCTGAAACCCACAGAGATGAATAATTTTCCCCGTTTTTTCCCACACTTTCCGGTGTATCTATGTTTCTATTAGTCACAGCGCCATGTTTAGCCTATAGCCTTCCTCGATAAATACTCTACTCAACACAAAAATATTCTTTCAATTCGAACCCGTAGTTTTTCAGATTAGCGCGTTCTAACAAACAAACAAACTCTTCAGCTTTATATATTAGTATAGATATAATATGAGATATGAATGAAAATATATTCTTTAAATTTGATCGAAATTGATTTTTGTTTTTTAAAATCATGTTAATACCATAATATTATGCATAGGAATGATTCATGTGATAAGTATAACGTCACTCTGTATATATCATTTTAGGTATAGATTATATCTTCTCTCTCCTTTGTAAAGTACTACCTTAGATACTGTCTATAGTTTACGCGAGTAGTATACATTTAAATAAAACACTTTAACGGTTTAAAACGCGATATATTAGTTAAACTTATTTGGAAATGATTTTTAACTTCGGTCCGACGTTTCGGATGCTTTGCTTTGCTTTCAGATGTCTCCCCGTGACCACGGCTGCTGCAAAGCATCTGAAACGTCGGGCCGAAGATTTCCAAATAAGTTTAACTAATATATCCCGTTTTTAACCGTTAAAGTGTTTTATTAAATACTACCTTATTTTCTGTGTTCTTCTTAATAAAAAATCAAAGATCAAAAGCTTTGATCAGATTATTGTTTTTCATTACAAGCTTTTTTTATTTTAGTAATTTTCATGGCGTCGTTAAGGCCAAGTTTAAAAGGAGATCTAAAAGTTTAAATATAATGTCTAATGAGGTGCAAATGCGTAGGTTATCTGTACACGGTATAGATAAAAACGGAGCCTATATAATTTACGAGGCAGTGGCCAGTTCAAAAGATCGACGAGGTAAATATTCGGTTGAGAAGCCCCCTATTCACGATCCACTACCTGCCTTAATTAGGTTTAAACGTGACATTCGGTACAAAATGAAAATATTTGCGAGGCGCAGTTTTCGTCTGCGATACAAGTATTTTTGCTGCATTTCGGTATCCATAATGACTCGAGCACGCTCCCTGACTTTTAATTAAGACCAAGACTTGTTTATTATCTTTTTGCAAGCGCTATGTCGGTCTCGCGACGGTTTTTTAAGCTGGCGAATTAAAGAAATTAAAATGCTCGCCATTTTGAAGGGAAGCGGTCGGAAATTGAAATAATTAAGAGGTTGTATAATGTCGTTTTGATACTTTTTCTTGTTGCTCAGCTGGCTGTTGATGCTTTAAATTGCGATTGTTGGATTTCAGGGGGCTGACTGCTTCGCGTCTAAGAGAAGATTCTGTTGAATTCATTGAATGCTAATTGGCTTTAACTCGTTTATGTTTATTTTTGTTATAAACGGGTACAACGATCATTACATGCATCTTGATTATTTTTAATGTTGCTTAATAAGGTCATGGGCTCGCATCCCAGAAAAACAATGAACTGTTGTTCTCGAGAAAATTTACAGAAATCGGATTAACAATTTGCCTTAAAATTCGATCAGTGAAACAATCAGTGGATACCCATGACATACAGGGGGAAATGGGAGGAATGGGTCGTAGAAATTGAAAGAGTACCTATATTTCACCACGTAGTGATTAACTTATGAACATTATAATCATTAAACATCATTCTATGCATAACAACTTGGAGCACTACTGGAGATCGAACTCCCAACCTCAACAACTGAAGGCAGCTACATGCCTTTAGACAATATTGCTAGGAGTTAAACGGGTTTATTTACTTGAGAAGGACGCAGCGGTGCATTGAGTAAATGCAAGGTATAACTTCGGCCGCGCGGTCTAGCCTGAAATAAGTAATAGCAGGTTAAAAGTATCGCGTGGGCGGGCGGCGGTGGTTTGTTTATGACAGTTCGCGAGTAGTCTCCCGGGAAATTAGAGGATACGGGCGATATCGTGAGGAAACACGCTATTTTGAAGTTTTCAAACGAGAAACGTACTTTTATAACGTAGGTAAAACCCGCGATCAAAGAGTCAAAGTAGCTTTGCATACCTGATACGTCAATACACGTCACCGTAACATTTAGAGAAATCAAAAATAAGAGAATTTGTGAACCACACGCACAGCTTACATGTAAACGCGTGTTGTCCTTCTTTAAAACGCGAAATATATCGGTTAACTTATCAATATATCTTTCAAGTTTCAACACAAAACAAACTATGCACTAGATATAATAAGTACCTCTATAGTGAGACGGTCGTCGGAATTCTTGTTCGTTATTTGTATCATTTTCCCTAAGTAAAAACACAGATCTGAACGAAACAGATACGTCAGCACATTTGAGGCCGCCATGACTACTCAAATTAAGAGTAGTGCGTAGTAGAAGTAGTGCCAATTCCTATATGTATTACTTATTTTTAACAATTTTAACAGTAAATGCGAAACATATTGGTTAACTATTTTTAATTTACTGTTGGATACTTGTATATTTCGCGATTTAAACCGTCAATTGTTTTATTTAATTGTATACTTCTTTAAAACTATTAGTAGGAAAATAGGAAAAATAAAAGTGCATATGCGGGTTCGAAGTGTTTTCTACATTTGTCATCGACAATTCCTTCTGTCTTTCTGTATTCTATGAATAAAACAAGTTATCACTTAGAAGCAAGCAATTGTCATGGTCACTTGAGTCATGTTAGTCGGGACAACATGTTATTTAAAGTGTGGATTGTGTTTGTCGTGGTTTCGCTGATATTAAAATGCGATGGCATCGCCGAAAGTGGTAAGATCAAACGTTTACATTTCGCTTAGATTAGGCATTATATAAAGCACTTTTAACGGTTTAAAACGTAAAACATGCGGGGCCACATGAACGGCTACCGAAAAGTATTTAGAACGTCGTATCATAATAAACTAAATAACTAACTATTAACAAATCGTTAAAATATGATAAAATTTCTTTTCGTGGCTTAGTATCCAAAGCGGTCGAGGTTTTTGGCAATTAAATGCATTTATTAGAAAAAAGGAATAGACTCAAAATTATTTAAATCATGTTCAACATTTATATTAAATACTCTTAACGGTTTAAAACGCAAAATATATTTGTTAACTTATATACAACGATTTAGATGGCGGTAGCGTAGCAGATTCAACTTGAAAATTAAGGACACCCTACATTTTCAATCCCCCCATGACCACGGCTGCTGTAAATCATCCATAACGTCGGTTACTTAGTTAGTTATAATAATTTGTTTATTAATTCAGTCAAAGATGGAAGATAGTCCTTAGAGCATGCTTAAACACAGAAGACACCCCACGAGCACTTTAACTTGAGTGGACAACTGAGAAGAATAAATTCAGTAATATATCACGTTTTAAACCGTTTAAAGTGTTTTTTTTAATGAAAACCACACGCGTAAACTACAGCCATCATTTGAAGCTCAACTGTTTTAGCACAATGCAGCGACTGTACGGATTTCAAGCAATGCCCAGGCATACAAGATTTTATCTCAAAGAAAGCAAGTGATTCGATGAAGAGATTCCGCGATGCTATCTGCTATTTTGATCGACAGAACCCTCGTAGTTACGGTGTAAAGGTAAGACGTGTCAATGCAAGGAAATCCTAGTATAAAGGAATCATACTAGGATTACCTTTATGGGTAAGAATTGTAAGCAGCCATAGTCTATTCACCAAAACGAGTTAATGGAACGTTGTCTCTTTCTCACAATTCTATGTAAAAAACAAGGACAAAAATAGTTTATTCCGATTTTAGGTTAAAAGGTTAATAACGGAATCCAATTACTCGCTACTCTCTTGCCTGTTTTGTGTGCTTCTAGAACTGCAATAGCTAGACTGTTGTATTTTTAAAAATTACGAATTTAATAAAACACTTTAAAATTATTTCTACTGCCTGTTATACGAATACAACAAATACAAACAGATAAATGTTTAATAGGGGCTTCCGAACTCGACACCGGAGAAATGATATCCTTTTTAATAAAAACACTTTTCACGGTTTAAAACGTAAAATATATTAAGCAACGCATTTTTAATTGTCTTACCAATGTCTCCCTGACCACTACAGCATATAAAACGTCGTTACTTTAAATTCAAAAATCGGTGACTTATATATTTCTCGTTTTAAACGGTCAAATGTTATATTTTAATATGTGCTATTTTAACAGTAGACACGAAATTGTATCTACTTTTGTATTTACTTTTTATCACTTCGTGGCTAAAAGTATGTACTTTATTTAAATACACAATTATTAAAGTCCCTTTCTTCATTACAGGTATGTTGTTCCATGTTGCAAGAAGTCGAGAACAGACCAACTCCACAGCAAATCGATCTTCTACCAGACCGATGCGGTGAAATAAATCAAGACAGAATTATAGGCACAGAAAAAGTTTTGCCGTTTGACTTCACTTGGTTGGCTGTCTTCAATACTACTAGTGAGGTTCTTTTTTCACGGGAAAGGAGGGCAGACAAGCTGGGGCTCACTTGATAGATTGTGAACATCTCAACAAGATGCGCTGTCAATCTAGCTTTGGATAGTCGGAAATCTACAGACTAAAACCCAAACGCGGTTGTCTTTTACGGTTCTTTTTTATCTGTACACATGGATCGTGAACCGGCATCCACAGCGTTCCGTGCCGTTGTTATACCCAATTGAGCTATCCTATCCTAAGCCATCGTTGTATTGTTCCACCTGTTGATACATTGCTCTCGCGCAATGTAATTTCAACCTTTACACTTGAAATTCTAGGAACACCTAAAAGCCACTGCACTGGAAGTATCATAAACTCCAAGTACATATTGACGGCTGCTGATTGCGTAAAAGACGTTGAAGTGAGGACAGTTCGGGTGGGCGAATATGACCTCAACACAGACCTGGACTGTATAGGCTATGGTCCCGAAATTGATTGTTCTCATCATACGGTAAGTTGAAAGATCTTAAAAATCTATTCTAGTTCGAAAAATGACCCGCGCGGCATTCGAACCCACATTTAATTGTACCACAGTATTGTCTTCTCTTGATTAGGGCATACACTGTGGGCTTGAGTTCTATCTCCTTTCAAAGTACTATTTTTATTTGTATTTACACATACACATAAGTCTTTAAGGAATAAATGTTTAAAGCCAAAAAACAAATGACAAGGCCGCGACTCGAACCCACGACCCTCAGCTAATCGCGCTGTTGTATTAAAAATTGATGTTATAATTTTCATATTCCGTGTTAGAAGGGGGACGATGTAAACGACCAAAAACGTTATTTCAGGATATGGACGTCGAAGCGATCATCGTTCACGAAGGATTTCAATGGAATAGCAGAGAACACAATATCGCGTTGATTCGTCTCAAGAGTCCTATTAATTTCAAAGGTAATAAATCAAAGGGTTAGTCAACTTTTCGTATACTAATCCTCTGTGATTCCCAGGGCTTGAACTTGGGCCTTTAATATTTAGGTCTAAATTACAGACACCATTTCTTTATAACAACATAATGTACGGAGTTCACTCTGATGGAAGGTATATCATAGACATATATAACATTTAAACAAAATGCATCGATCTATTTTGGCGTTAGGGTATACGGAAATTGTCGGACTGAAACCGAACCGCGATGTTTACGTATTTACAAATTGTGGACGGTGATTTCGACCCGGACGGAATTTCTATATTCTTACCACACTTATTTAATATTTACCAGATTTTTTGGACGAAGTCTTACAAGTTTCAGATACATTAGTGAATGATTTATAGTTTTCCTCACATATACCGTGATAGTAACGTTGAATATTTCTGGTTGGACTTAGACCGTCGTAGAAAAACATCTTGTTTACTTCTAATATGAGACTACTATGCCTAAAAGACTGGCGCCATAACGCGTTACGTAACGAAGCCTTTCCATAAGAAGTTATCATCTAATGATATATTAAACCGGTTATACAATTCAAGATTTTCAGGTATCACGTCGTCGCTGTATATTTTAAAAAACTACTTGTTACAGATGACCTAGATACCCTCTGCCTCCCAAAGGCGACTAAGATCCAGGAGTTATCAATAACTAATAAAAGGGGGTTGATGGTCGGTTGGGGCAACCATGAGTCTGTGCTGCTAAAAAGTTACATCTCCGTTACCAATGACACATATTGTGACAATCACTACCCAAGGTATTTAAAGATTTTTTTATAGAAATCGATAATAATACGCATAATGACAAAAACGAACCCAGGTCCTGAAACATGCATTGACACCATCTGGTTATCAAATGGCTTGTGATCTATCTTTGAAACATATTAGACTTCGTCTGGATATCTGGATATTATCACGGTTGAAATATTGAAATTCCGTCCGGGTCACGAACCAACGTCCACAGATGAGCAGCCGTGCAGTTCAATCGTATTTCGGATTCAGTCTATAGATTTCCGAGTAAAGCCAAAATAGGTTGGCATCTTGTTGACATGTTATATGGCTATCCCCCTTTATCATCGAAAAAATCTCTATCTCTTGTACTTTATGGATGTGTATCACATTGACATGTGAAAAACATAATGATTATTATTCCAGGAGCGCAGCATTAAGAAAACACACGTTGTGTGCCCTAAACATGTCCAAAAACTCAAGTTGCATGGACGCGGGGTCTCCCCTAATAATTCCGACAAAATACGGCGATTATCCCCGATATGTTCAATATGGAATACTCCATTCATCGATTTGCATCTCGCCTTTTAGGTTATACACAGATGTCGCTTCCTATATGGGCTGGATCGCTCAAAATTTACTTGAATAAAATTAAGGAACGTTTATATATATGTTGTTTCTGCTAGTTCATTAAAACATAATTTGGCACTGCACATATTAAACAATTTATATCACTTTTAACAGTTTAGAACACGAAGTATTTTAGTTGAGTTTGTCCCACTTAGTGACTACTGCCGTAGTTAAAAAATTGTAAATAAGTTAACTAATATATTTTGCGTTTCAAACTGTTAAACATGTTTTTTATGTCATACGGACATACTTTGCTTAGTTCCGAGTTCTATTATTATTTACTTTCTACTTTAATAAGAAAAATCTAAGAAAACCTTATTTTTTAACAAAATTATATAATTTTAAATAATTTGCGCATTTAAATAAAACACTTTAACGCTTTAAAACGCGATCGGGACTAAAAATATATCGCGTTTTAAACCGTTAACGAGTTTTTTTTTAAATGTAGTGCACATTTAAAAAAAAACTTGCGTTAACTACAGACTCTATTTAGTATTTTTCACGTTGTAAACCGTTAAAACTGAATTTCAAACTATGCTTACATGAAACTATTAAGTCTGGTATTTCAGCGTGTATTTTTTAGTGTGAATTTAAGCATTGAATATTTCATGTGGAGCGTTGAACAACGAAACGATATGAAAAATTGATAAAAAGCGTACATTTACCGAATAAATCATTCAACTATTTCGAATACACTTTGTAAACGAGCATAAAAGCAAATATTGGACGCAGAAACACACGTGATATCCATCAAACCGCGGAATAGAAAAAAGTATATTCGGTTCGCTTGTTTACTTTTCTATCAGCGACGTCGTACCTTTGATGTCACTTATTTGTATCATGCGACAAGCAAATGTGAAATAAAGGAAATATTTCGCCTATTTTATTGCGCGCCTGTAGGGCAGATTGCCTCTTATATGTGCACTTGATTCCGAGTAGATTTAACGTAAGATATTTAGAAGAAAATATTGTTCTATTCCCAATATATTTGATACTTCTCGAAAGCTTTTACTATATATTATTATCATCAGTTTTTTAATATTTAGATAAAACACTCGTATTGGTTTAACCCGAAATAACATATTAACTACGGCCCGGACTTTCGATAAATAGTAGCCGTCAAAAAGCCTATATATGTATATATTTGTGAAAAACACTTTTTGCGTTTTAAGCCGTTCGAAGAGTTTTATTTAAATGTGTATTACTCGCGTTAATTACGCTATGATCACGGCTGCTGCAAAATATTTAAAACGTTGGGTGATAGTTTAAATAAATTAAATCTTAGTTAGAATTTATTTTGCTTATTAAACTGTTAAAAGTGTCTTTAAACATTAAAATACGGATGATTATAATAGTATCCCATTTATTAATTCTTAAATCTAGTAATAGATTTGATTCCCGGGAAAATGTAACAGTTTCCAATGGGCAAGGCAACGGGAAGCCGTATTCACTACTTTTCTGTAAATAGTAGTGATCAATGTAACAGACAAATGAGATTTAACTTTTTATTTTTTAAAGTCTCCCTCGCAAAAAAAGTAAATAAAGTACAGAAACCAATTATTTGCACGGATTTAATTCCGTGTCGGGCCGCGCAATAAAACTGTAATTAATTACTCGTCTTTTTTCGAGATTAAAATGTTCGCGGAAATATTTCGCGGTTTAGGCATTTGAGTTATGGCGGTTCGTATTGATTTATTTGTTTTTTATTCGTTTGGTAACTAGATATTCTTTAGCGTCAGCGATCAATAAGCTGCCTCGGTAGTCTATTGGCTAGTACGCTAAAGATCATCGGGTCTCGGCTTCGAATACTGGGCGAATAATGTTACTTTGGTATTTGCAAATTGCCTACTAGATTTTTTATCAGCTTAAAGTTTGAAAGCTAGAAGTCTCTGTGCCCTGGATAACGTTACGTGGGCCCTGGTAATCTTCACTAGTTTATTATTAGTAGGTGTATTTAGTGGCGGTAGGTAATAAAGCCAGCTAACCTGCTCTGGAGCTCCGTGGTGAGTCTTTACTCCTAAAACCTGAGCTACGCGAGAGGTCTGTTGTTGTTAAATAGCACATTACGGACGTAACAACAGACACTCTTCTGCCATTTTTTAATATGGTTCGGTCTAAATTGTAATTAAAATAATAATATTCTATCCTGTCTGTAGTTACGCTTGTAGTACACATTTAAATAAAACGCTTTTAACGGTTGAAAACGCGAAATATATTAGTTAAACTTTACGAATTATTTTTAACTACGACCTGATGTTTCTGATGCTTTTCGACAGCCGTGGTCATGGGGAGACTCTGTTATTTTTTATCACAAGTCTGTAATATTTGATACAGTTACTTTTTAATGTGTTCTATATTTTACTAAAATTATATCTAATAGCACTTTGAACGGTTTAAAGCACGAAAATTAAAAATAAGGATTTTAAACTGTTACAAGAATTTAAAATTGTGAAATAATTGAAAGTATTTACATCTCAAACAGGACTTGCACCGGCATCATCAGCGGTGCAACAATGGACTACCAAGTACTACACGTCATCGTCAATTTTTTTTAGCCTGCCCTATTCGTATTTTTTTTTTTCAATTTATTATCGATTTTTAATTCATATAGCCTATGCCCAACATGTGATAAACATTTTTGTTTTCAAACTGTTACAAGTGATTTGTAAAAATGTCTCTCGCGTAAGCAACAGACAGTCCGTAGTGAACAGAAAAAACGCGCACGTAATCCGCGGGTATTAGGCTCCGATCAGCGAGTGCGGAGTAAGCCGCAGCCAGTGAGCGTATCGCGCTAAAAGTCGATCATCAAAAGTGCGCCGGCGAATATAAACGTCAAATGGAATCGTATTAGGATTTCCGGCTGTGTATAACCGTCGCTGGAATCATCCGCGGTTCTCAATCCGCTCGTCTCGGGTACATTTCGCCTGCCTACCGCAATATCGCTACTAGCTTTGCCCGCGGTGCAAGTCACGAGCGAAAGTGCAAACGTTTTAAATCACACTAATATTGTAAAGTTATAAAGCTACGTATGTAGTATAACATAGTTGACATGAAACATTGAACTAAATATAAATGCAATCATCCATATTTATTTATAAGTATTTTTTTGAGTTTAGGTATTTAGTAGGATAAAAAGTGCCTTCAGCGCAGTGGTAACAACGTGCTAGATCTGAGCAGATGGTTCCCTTGATTCACGTATCCGTTCAAGAATAAATGTCTGTTTAACAAAGGAGATGATGGCTAGATTCAGTATGTCTCACAATTCCTACTTTTAAAAGAATGGAAGAAGATGAAAAGAACAATTAATGTAAATCCATTATATTTATTTAACTTGCGGTCACATACACATGAGCAAGCTAGTTCGAAGCGATAAGAACATTCGTTGTCAATTTAGCAGTTTAAACGAGATATTTACTCGACTTGAAGTAAAATTATATCAAAAGTGAGAACCGGCAATGATCAAATGAATTGAAAAATAAAAAAAAAACACATTAATTTTCAGAACAGATCCATAACGAATATAGAGCGATATGCGAGAATTTGTAGATTTTTAGATCTTACAATTTTACTTCTATTTATCCCGCGCAATCTATCTATGCGAACTACAAGAATCGCTTCAGCTCATGATTTGCGCCACAAGTGGAAGTGAGCAGCGGATATGAGGTAGCGGCGGATATTGCAGCACTGGCAGGTACATTCAGTTTCAGTGTAAACTGCCCGCATTTGGTTATGAATGTACCGCCTCTACTTCGAAACGTCCTTTATAAACTTTATTTTTCCGATACGTTGTGTGGTTTTGCTTTTCATACGAACGTAGGTTTACTGTGAGTGCATCTTTGGAGACAGTTGAATTCTTATCAAATAACAATTCCTGACGTTGATTAGCTATAGAAATATAGAAAGCGCGATAGTTTCTAGGTTCCAAGAAAATTTGCTGTAAATAGTTTCATGAGATTGTTTTTATATAATACTTAAGTCAATATGAAGGTTACAGAAGGTCACCACGTTGTAGCATTTAGACTGTTTGTACCGAACAACTATGGCCGCGCTAGAAGACACGATCTCTTTGACGTCCCGAGAGTCGCACCTCTGCCCGCGCGTTTTCACCGATACCACGAATTTTAACCTCACTCAACGCTCTCCTCAAGTTAAGACCCAAATGTGACCTTTTTGCAGATCAATGGTCGTCAATACTGAAAGATTTGTCCGAATGTAATTGAAATATAATCTATTTTTACGTGTAATTCTATTGTGTACTTATAACCAATTAATGTAAGTGGCTATTGCCGTTTTAATTGTTTATAAAAAGAAATATATATATATATATTTTTCGCTTTTTAAATTCGCTTTTCAGTTTAAATGCCCTTAACATTATTGATACCCCATCGACGCCACTTAAACCTAACGTTACCTAATTCACACAAATGCCATGGGAACCTATCGCCTCCGTGTTTCAACACCAAAAAATGGATCTTTTATAACACCCACTAAAACTTTTTTATGGTTGGCAACACTCGTAAAAGGTATAAATAAAATATAACGCGGTAACCGACAGGGCTGGCGGCGCGTAATAATTTCCACGTTTTTGGCCATCCGAGAGGTTGGCGTTTCGATTATAATTTATCGCTCCGGATGAGGGCTGGCTGAGCATAAAACCATAAATACTCGCATAAAACTGTTTGCCCCGTTCCATAATCAGATCATGCTCGGGACAATGATAAAAACTGGGTACAATCGTAAACCGTTGATAAAGAACTTATTGGCAACGGGAGGTTTAATTGTAGGCAGTAAAGAGTGCAATAAAACAAATCTGATAGTAAAACTTCTACTAGGACGTAATCGTGAATTGGGGAAAACAATTTATGTTCACTAGAGTTGCCTGTAATGTGTGTTGTGATGAAAAACCACATGATAATGTGTGATGTCTTCACCGAGCAGCACACTTTTTACTTATGCGTGGTTCGGTTCTGTTATATCGAATATTAATGTCCACACACTTAACACTGGTTATTTTTAAAA